TAAAAGGGGTTCGGGGTTTTCGATTGTTTTTGTGTCTTCGAAGCATACAAGAGGAAATGTCTATTGAGGAAATTTTTGTTGTAGAATGCTCATCTGTTTTTGAAAAAAAAAATAAATTTTAAATTGAAGATATTTTTTCTGATAATTTTTCGGGAGCAGGCCAACGTACCGCGAACCCATCGTACCGCAGAGCTAAATATAACTAGGTTCAAAATAGTCGAATCCGGGACGCCGTGGTTCGATGAATCGAACCATATCAGGTCGTCCCAGATTTGGCCATTTTGAACAAAGTTATAGCTCTGCGGTACATTGGCCTCGCGGTACGTTGGGGTGTACCCTAATTTTTCTTTCAAAAAATGAAAATTATTTAGAGTCAAAAGAGAAGTTCTTGAGAAAAAATTTCTCCAAAAAATTTATTTCTTTACCATAAAATTTTCGTTGTTCCTTTCCATTTTCCACAATTTTTCCATTTAATTTACTTCCTCCTTTATCAATAATTGTAGAGGATTTTTCTGTAGATGAAGAAGAATAATTAATTAAATTTTGATTTTTATTTAAATTATTTTCTTCTTCCTCTTCACCTTCTCTTAAAGAATTATCAAATGGAGGAAGTCTTCTTTGTTTCGAAATAATTTGTTGTTGTAACCAAAACATTGCTGCAGCTGCCCCAGCTATTGGAGAAGTTGAAATTGAGGGGAAATAATTTGAAAAAGGGGAAATTTGTGGAGGGAAAAATGTTTGGGGAATATTTGGGGAAAATTGGATAAAATTATTGTTTGGTTGAAATTCTTGTTGGATTGTTGAAGTTGTTATTTCTGTTTCCTCTTTATTTTCATTTAATAATGATGAAGCTTCAGGTAAATGGGAACGTTCATTTGAAGTGTGGCTACTTGTAGAAGGAATAGACTCTTCTATAATCTTAAATAAAAATAATAAACGTGGACACGAACTGTTTCTTAGATCAAAATCAAAATAAAAGTCAGATAGTTTAAGTAGGTTTGGGGTTTTCGGCCGACGTTCGAGTCATTTTTTCGGGCCTCATTTTTATCGGGCTAACTCAACTGTGCCTTTTTCAGGCCAAAATTCAATGACGACTCGTTCTTTCGGGCCGGCCCGACCGAGCCTCCAACCCTAAGTTTAAGTAATGGTTAAAAGCTTATCCTTAACATAATAAAATATTTTGAGAGATTTTCTTAAGATAAAGAGAGCCGATAAATTCTCCATCTCTACTACAATCCCCTTCTTTTTTTTAATTTTCAAATAATTTACTTGATTATTATTTTCACCACCAATTTCTCGATTTCCATTCCCAACTTCTTGTTTATTTAAATTATTATTTTCTTCTTTTATTTCTTCCTTTTTAAAATTTTTCTTTCTTTGTCGCCATTCTTTGTTTTCAAATTCGCCTAGAAGAGATTCCACGCTGAACATTTTTTTACTAAAAAATTTTGGAATAAATTAAGAATTTTTAAAATTATTATTGTTAAAGATTAAAAAGAAAGAGGTTATAGGATATTCTGAAAATAATTTCCTTAATATTTTCAATATTTATTTAATACCACACATAATTAAATATCCCTAAATTTTAATTAAGTATTAACTATTCCCCTCTTTTTTAATAACTATTCATTCTTGTTCTGTTAAAATGAAGAAAAATTTCCCCCTTTTAATTAATTAAATGAATTTATAAAGTTAAAAAGAGCAACTAAAACTTGTGTGGCAGTCGAAGCAATTACGATAATTTAAATTTATAAAATAATTATAGTAATAGTTTATGTTGATTGTCTCGTTAAAAATAATGGGAAGAAAAATAAAAAGAAAATTATGGAGAAAATGATTGGAAAGAAGAAAATAAAGTAAATTACTTTTTGTCGGAAAAAAATTCCGCCTCCCGTTGCCTTAAATGCCGCCGGGGATTTGGGAGGAGCTGTGAGGGAAAAACGTGGAAAATAAAATTTTATTTAATTTTTGGTGTCTGCGGTCTTTTAAAGAAGGAAGGCTCAATAACTTCTTAATGACAAGAAAAGAAAATAAAAGAGATCTTGGAATGAAAGGGGAGGGGCTTGCTAGATCTCTCTCTTTGATCTTTTAACGCCTAAATAGATACGCCCATATTACTTATAATAGTTATTTTTTAAGCAATAAAATCGTGTCATTTTTGTTTGTTTTTAAATGATTTTTTAAGTTTAACTATTTTTAATTAAAATATACATATTTAATTAATTTTAGTATTTGGTATTGGTAGTAAGAGTGAATTTGGTATGATGTTTTGATTAAAATTCCCATATTAGTACATAAAAGTTTTTTGGGTAATAGTGTCGTTTCCCAGCCCCATTTTTTCCTCCCAATTTTCTACCCTATGTTTGTACGGAATGGTCAAATTTTCCCCTTTCTTTCATCAAATTTGCCTTTCCATATTTTGCCTAAAAACAATCAAAAAGATTAATTTGTGATATTTAAAAAAGTATTAGAGTAATGAGAAGAATCATTTTCCCAATTAATAAAAATGGAAAAACTAAAGAATTTCAAACCTATTGATTTATATGAAAAATTACGTTTGAGTGATAATGATTTTCGATGCATGGCTTGAGAAGCTTGGACTTCTTCATGGAAAGAGAACTTGCTACAAATGTGGGGGTCGAACAACAATAAGTGTTAAGAAAGACGAAAGATATGGATGTTGGCGGTGTACAACCAGAAATTGTAGAGCAAGACAAGGTTCTTTTTTTCAAGTTTTTTTTAAAAAATCTTTACTCTAAGGTTATTTATGTGGTACCTTCTTTGAAGGTACGCATCTGACCACAAAAAAGGTGGCAACAACACTGAAACCTATAAAAGTTATCTCCCGGAATTTCTGTGGCGAAAACGATTTGGCAATATTGAAAATGTTTTTTATAATTTTTGGCATCATGTCTCACTTTTTTATCCTTGTGAAAGAACTGAATAAAAAATTAATCATTTTGATTGTTTTTAGGCAAAATATGGAAAGGCAAATTTGATGAAAGAAAGGGGAAAATTTGACCATTCCGTACAAACATAGGGTAGAAAATTGGGAGGAAAAAATGGGGCTGGGAAACGACACTATTACCGTTTTTTGTAATATCACAAAATTTAACAGTGTAATTTGAAGAAGTCTGTTATAATTTTTTGGATTATCCTTACAAAATATATAATTTAATTAGCAATACACATACATACCTAATTATAAAAATAAATTCTTAAAATAAAATTAAAAGCCTTTCTTTTCTTTTTCCTATTAAACAATTTAATCTTTGCCGAATTATTTGCAGATCTATAGCAATAAACAATATTATTTAAAAAAAAAGAAGGAAAGAGCCAATGTGTGCCAAATACGGAAATTGGTCCTTTCCTTTCCTTCTCTCTCTCTCCTTATCCAATAAAGACCGCCCTTCTTCCCCTTCTTTTCTTCCTCCAATTCCCTCCATTTCCTCCTTTTAAGGCGTAGATCCATTTTTCTTCCCCTTTCTGATTCCCTGTTCAATTGGTGTTTGTTTGCGCCAATTTCCATCTTTAAATTCCCGCTTTGGCCCTAATTGAGTTTAAAGAAAGCAAAAATGATAAGCAAATGAAAGTGAGGAATAAACAATCTTAAAAATGACATTAAATTGTTATTTGGCATTTTGTGGGCGAAAATTGGCTGTCTGGATTTCCTCTTATTTTTTTAAATCTTATAATAAAACAGAAATTTTTTAAAGAAATAAAAATATAATTTTAAAAATTTAACAAGATTGTTGATGAAACTTTATACTCTAGGGAATGCCAATTGAGCTTATATAAAATCTTTTTTCTAATAAATATTTATATTTATTTTGATATTAATATTACGAATTAACAAGTTTTTGCATAAATATATCAGGGATCGCGCCGACAGAAAACAAATTCCCGATTTCCGGAAATCATGAATCGGGTCGGCGCTATCCCTGATTTATCTTATTTAAGTTTCCGACTCACTGACAAATTGTTGGAAACTTACAATAAGTATTTACAATGATTAATTAAATAAATATCGAAATTTTTGAAAAAGTGTTATAATTACTTATGTATTTAAAAAATTCTATTCATTCCTATTTTTCTTTAGTATGATGATAATAATGAGTGTTAGGAGGTGTTCAACAAGTCTAAAACGTTTACCTTACTTTCGGTTTGCTTAACCGAGTTTTGACCAACTCTAATTTATTTCCTCTTTATTAAATTGTTATTTGGCATTTTGTGGGTATTTTTATACATATTAGATATATTATTTTTATATTAAATACACATAAAAACAAAAAATTAAAACTTATTAGTCCAAGTTGAGTAAATTTAAAATTAAAATTTTCTCCCAAAAATTCCAAAATAATTTTTTCCTTTTTTAAATATATGTATTTTAGCCTTTAGCAAAGCTGCTCTTAGCAATAAAAATACTTTTAAAGTTTTACCGAAAGGTGTTAGGCAAATACAAAATAAAACAATATAAAGTCTGCGGCAGTATCCATTTCTTGATTTAACCCTATGGGATTTTGGCTTTGAGCATTGGAAGGAAATTGACACAAATATTATGAAATTTCAATATATTCTTTTATCTTTTTTGTTTCTATTTTACTTAATTTTTTCTAAATTTAAACATTTTTCGGTAGGCTTTTGAGTCAAGCAAGCAAAGCCGTGGAAATATTATGAAGTTACTTTTGGATGTCATTCTTTAGAAGCTAATTAAAAATAAGTATGATTTTGTGAATTCTTATTAACATAAACTATTAGTCTATTATGTTAATTAAAATCTCTAGAAAAATTTATAATAAATATAAAATAAAACAGCTTTAAAATAAAACATAAAATGGATAGTATATGGCATTAAATTGTGGGCAAGTTGAGGCGAATAGTTAAAGTCAACTTTCTAATAAAGAATGTTGACTGTAACTATTTTTAAGACAGTTCAAAAAGGAAGAAAAATTAAAAGTTATTTAAAGTAAATAGAAAAAATATTGAGGAAAGTCTTCCTTTCATTTTAATTTTTTCAAAGATAAAAAATCTTTAGACTTTCCTCAGTTTATAATAAATAAATATTCTCTAAAAATTAAAAAAAAATTGTTAATTAACAGACGGGTTTATCATTCATATTAATATCCTCTCTATTTTCCACAACAGCAATATCATCTAGAGCACAAGCACCCTAAAATAAGATTGATAAAAAAATTTTATTTAAAAAATTACCTGGTTGGTCCGAGTATTTTCACACATGAAAATTACCTGTAAAATTAATAAATGACTTAAATAAAATTTTTGTGGATAAAAAATTGAAAGTTAGAGAAATTATTTTCAGAAATTAATGAAAAACTACAACTACTCCCCCTCCAATTTAAATTATAACTTAAAGAAGTTTGAACCACAAAACTTCAGACTCACAAATCAACTAACACAAAAATTTATTTTAAGAAATTTAAAACAACAAACATACCCTTTTAGTTCCTTTAGGACATACAAAAGTTCCCCATTTCCACATTCTATCAGAAACAGAAACAAATTTATCAGAAAGAAAAGGGCAATCTAAATTTCCTTCTTCTGTCGTTTCACTTCCAGTTGTAACAGAATTTAAAGCGCAACATCCCTTTAATTGAACTCCGTGTGTTCCTTCATAATATTGAAATCTAATTCTTGTTGGTTCTGATAAAGAATTTATATTATTCTCTGAATTTCCATTAATATTTGTCCATAATCCAGCTTTTTCACGCGGATAAAGAAATACTGCTGCATAAGAGCTAGACTCTAGAAAATAAATTAATTAATTAAAATAATTATTCTTTTTTAAAAGTATTTTTCAAAAATTAATTAAAAAAGTTAATTAAAAAAGTTAATTAAAAAAGTTAAAAAAGTTAGACAATGCTTTTCACACCTATTTGTAATTAATTAGAAATATATTAATGGTCGTTGCTTAATCATGCCTGCCTGTTAATTACAAAAAGAATCATTTCCCAAATTAATATTTATAGGTATGTATATAAAATTTTCCTCTTGCCTGTTACTCCTTGTCTAATTCCAGTAACTCTATTCATAAATTGTCCTTTAGTAACTTCAAATTTAGTAGTTAATCCACGTGCTGCATTTTCTGCTTCAACTGTATCTTTATATGAACAACTAGTTCCTTTAAAAAATATTTTCCCTTTATTTATTCCTTAATTCCTTTTACCATCTTCAAAAGAACATTTAATTGACTGGCATGTTGCAGAGTCAATAGAGGAAGTTGTTGATGGAACAACTACTTCATCTCCACTTTTTGCTATTACTCCATGAGCTTTTGCATTAATACTTTCTTCGCCTTTAAAAATAATTTAAATTTTAAACATTAACTCGGCCCAGAATCATTTCCTAAAGTAGGGAGTGGTACCGTTCGACTCAGCCCGTCGAGACGAATTGAATGACATATGTCACGTCCCGAACTTTTAGTACACTACACTACAGCCGAAAGAAAAAAAGGGGAAACACGAACTTAACTATTACCAAATTAATAACAAATGAATTTAAAATCTAACTTTAATCAAGAATCCTATTTTCCCGAAATATTAACTATCTTAATCCCAACCATCTCTTTAAATAATTAGAATTTAAGTAATTTATGGATATTAATTTTTCATAAACGAATAAATAAATAAAAAATTTTTTTTTAATTTTTCACCTTGTGATAATGGAACAGGTTCCCTATCAACAGGGGGAATTCCTTCTTCAACTTTGTCTGAAACAAGAACTATTGAAGATGAAGCAGCTGAACCTGAAGCAGCCGACTCTTTTGGAATTTTGTTTTCACTTAAAAATAATTAGGTATTTAATATTTATTTTTGAACCCTTAATATATTTACCTTTCGGTAATTTCTGGTCTTGAATCCTCTTTTCCTTCCAGATTTCTTTCATTTCCTCCATTTTCTGTTTCTTCAATTAAAGGAATCGTTGTTGTTTTTATTAAATTTTCTGTTGTTGTTTTAATTTTTTTAGTTGATTTTATTGATATTTTTTGTGTACTGCTAGTTGCTGTTTGTGTAGGAGGGCCAGCACAATCTGGGGGTCTTCTCTCATAAAGAATTTCAATATCATCCAAAAATGCAATATCCCCTATTGTTTCATCAATAAAATTACTGGCAACAAAAACAATCTAAAAAACAAATAAATTATTTAAAAAAGAATTAGAAGTTTGCCTTATTATTTTTTAAAAAGTTGGGGAATCTAAATAAATAAAGATCAACATCTGATCATTTTAAATCTTGGTCTATTTTTCTTTCTAGTAATCTTTGTATTTTTTAAATCAAAATTTAAATTACGTCAACATAAGAAGCTTTAGGTAATGCCAATTCTGTATAGGCCACATGTCCAGGCGATGGAAACTCCTGGCAGTTTAGTAAAGGATTGAAGCCTAAAGTAGCTGGAAATGATTCTCTCTGACAAACCTTTAGAAAATAACTTTTTTTTAATTTTTTTAATTAAATTCTACTTGAAGTAAAACATTAGATGATTGCCAATGTCTAGCTCTAACTTTAATTGGAGAACTTGCACAAGTTATAGCACAAGAAGAAAGTTGGGCTTCATCTGAAGGACCTGCCCCTTTTGCATAAGCAAACTATTTTTAAAATAAAATTTATTTTTAATTTTAATTATTTCTTTTTTACCAAATAACGTCCTTTCATTGAAATATTTCTTAAATGGATACTTTCTGGAGTACCCTGAACTAAATACCAATCAATTTGATCATCACTGGGTGTTGGGATATTTGCCCAACAACAAGGTTCTCCTTCAAAGTTGCAACTCAAAGCCTCACCTAAAAAAGGTCTAAAAGTCTAAAAATTGTTTCAATAAATTTTCTTATCTAATGATTAAAAAGAATTAAAATTGATGGTTATATAAAATAAAGGTTTCTCTTATAATTTTGATTATAATGCTGAAGATGAATTAATTCGAACAATAAATTTTATTTTTAATATAAAATAAAATAATTATTTTTATTTCAAAAACCAACCATCAACTACAGGACCACCACCCTGCGAGTTATAGCCTTCCGATCCAAATTCGGCTAACCCTACACGACTTCCAAGTAATGCTTGGGCTGACTGGCCAATTGGAGGTTCCCCTCTAGTTCCGATTGGAGTTAAAGGTAAATTTGGAGCTCCTCTAGCAGCCGCATTAGCTGGGCCACCTCCTCCCCCACTTCCTCCTCCAGCTGATAAGTTGGGGCAGAAAATGCAGCTGGTGACATGGATCTTTGGCCTGAGGATATACAACTTAGGGCTGAAAAGATAAAAATATTTATGATTGAGTTTTACAAGAGTAATTTTAGAAGATATTAAACGAGAATAAAACAATTTTTGATAAGAATTTTTATTCAACAAGAAAAGGGGAGAAAATTAAAAATTAATTTTTTTTCAAGGTGCTCTACCTTGTGCCGTCCATTGAAGTAAAAATAACGCTGCTTGTGTATAATAAGGATAACGCCATATTTGTCTTCTCCTTTTGTGCATTTTGTATAGTATATTTTTAAATAATTTCTAAATTTCCAATCTCTTAACAAAAAAACAATAATTATTACAGTCAGAATTTAAATAGTTATTTATTTTTACACTCTTCAAAGATATTGGATAAATTAATCATCGAATAGATTGATAATAAATACATTATTTAATACGACATAAATTAATGAGGGTTTGTTTAAAACTGTAGCTAGCACAAAAAATACAAGTTATTTAATTAATTATAATTTCGTCCAAAATCAGCCAATTTATAATATGTATAACGAGAAGCTCTTTTGAGAAATAATATAACATTTATTATTAGAAAAAGCACCGCTATAGGTATATGGAGTAGAATCTGCTTTAAATTAGGATTAAAATTATAAATAAAAAACTGATAGTTAGCAACAAATATTTAATTTAAATTAAGTTTATTTTCTTTTTATTTAGAGAATTTAAAGATTTTTTCTAGGAATGAATTGGAAAGATTCACTTTCATCCACAATTATTTATTTATTACGCACGAGCAATATATCGGCGTAACAAAAAAAATGCAATATTTATTTATTAGCAAACTTTTTTTAAAAAGAAAAATCTTGGAAAGAAAATAATTCGTGATCTAAAAAATTCCAAAAAGTTTTTAGTAAAAAGAAGATGGCGCAAATTTTGAGTAATTTTGCGCAAGATGAATAATATATTGAGTGAAATTTTGAAAAGAAAAAGGAAAATATAGAAAAGTGAATGAGAGGATTTATAAAAAAATATTTTTTGTTGGCAAATAAATTAATGTTGAATAAATTTTAATTTTTTTAAATAATTTTTTCTTAAAATTTTTTTTATAAATTACATATTGGCTCGGATACAATGAAAATTTATTAATCAAAATTGAATTAAAGTTATCTTTTCATTAAGCGACTACCTAATTAATGAATCTGTTTTTAGTAAAAAATGAAATTAAATGAAAATTAATTTAAAAAAAATTATTTATTTAAAATAAAGATTAAATATTATAGTAGAAATTAATTTTTAATTAAATGGATCATTTAAGAAGAAAAATAAATAAAATATGCGGATATATTAAGGAAAGAAATCATCATTAAATAAATATTTTAAGAATGAACGGGATTTTTAAAACAAGATTTTATGTATAATTATAAAGAAATTTGTTTGAATTATTTGAATTGTTTCTCTGAGATGAAATAAAATAAGAATAAAATTATAAAATTTAACAATTCTATGTTTGTGTTATAGTAAGTATTATGGCTTTTAAACACAATTAAGTAATAATATTTTTATTAAAAAACTCAAGAAAAATTTAGACTCTTGTCCAGTTTATACAATCTAACTTTGTGTGCCCAAAAAACCCTCTGCATTCAATCAAATTTATATGTGTATGTCCAATCAAAATCCATACGTCCAGACTTTATTATAAATGGTCCCCTAATCAGTGGATGTAAGGTAATTGTGGATGTAGGGTAATTCGTTGGCTTGATCAACCCATGTTAATTCCTTGGACTGTAATTTAGCCTCTGAAATATTTTTTGGACGCTTATAAAAATTTAATTGAACGAAACTCATAAAGTGGATAAGAGACCAAATTTCTTTGCTTTATTCCTTTAATTTGAGGTATTTTCTATTACAATAAAAATTAGGATGGTGATTAAAAAACATATTCTGACGGAATATTTTAAAGAACGTTTTATTTAGAATATATATGTATGTATACCTCTCTAATATTAGATCATCATTTAATATTTTTAGGATAATTTTATTGATTGTATATGTAGTTTTTATTAAAAATTAAAAGAAAAAATTTTGCCGACAAATATCAACTGGTTAGAAATTTTTCAGGATTGAAAGATCATCTCTAAAAAAAGGAGAAAAAAGAAATTAATGCTCGCCCCAATCCTTTCGAGCAACATGGATGGCATCTTTAAATAAATAAATTCTTCTAAATGGTATTTCTCTCTCTCTCCATACACGCGACATATAAAAAAGCAAGTTTTGGGTTAGAAGAAGCTAAAGAAATAATTTGGAGAAAAAGTTGGATTGAGAGAATGGTGGGAACAAAGAAAAAGTAAAAGAAGAATAATTTTGGCGCTTTATTTTAATCTCGGAAGAAAAAAATTTAAGGAAAAAATAATTTAATAAAAGAATGAAAAGTGTGAATATTGGGGAAGAGAGGAATTGATGTTTGACTGCTTGAATGATTATTTATTCGCCTTCGAGATTGGAGAGAGGAGGAGTCTTCACTTTCTTCCTTAAAACGGGTTATTTTCTAAATAATATTTTTATTTAGTCTTTATTTTTTTTATTAAGCTAAATTCTTAGCTTAAATTTAACCAATTTATTTGTAAAAACATAAAGTAATAAAATCTATGTAGTACACAAAATAATAAAGGATATCAAGAAGAATTAAAGAGAAAAAAACATTTTGATGTTCCATTAAATAACATCCTTTTATTGAAGGAATAAAATCAAAAAAGAAAATTTGAAAGGAAAAAATTTTAAAAAATCCTTAAGAAAAATTATTAAAATTTTAATTTAAATTAATATTTAAATTAGTTTAAAATTTAAATTAAAAAGGCAAATCCATTTTTGACTATGAAGATTATGATACAATTCATAGAGTGAATTTCCTTTCAAAAAATTCTTTCTTGCAATAATGCTTAGCGGATACCTAAGATTCCTTTTTTACTTCCAAGATCTTCACTTCCAACATATTAATTTACCTCTTACTATCGATCTTCAAACACATGGAGTAATTATAGGAGAAAAAGAAAGATATGTATTGGCTCTCTAATCCCGCAATTGGCGCAAATCCCAGTGCAATTGAGTGAAGTCTTCCTCAAAATCCTAAAAGTCGCGCACCTCTGCCAGCAGAATATATCCTTTATTTAATTTTAAAATGAGGAAGACTCTCCTTGCAGAAGTAACTGACCTGCTTCTTTAATTTTTCTTCTCCCTAACCTTTTGTCTTACCCAGATATTAAATAATGAATTCAAGATATGATCCTAAATATCAAAAGGTATCTTCACTCATAATACCACTTCCCTTCGATGCCCTTAACAAATCCAAATCAAAGAAATAATCAAAATGTTTTACTCACAAAAACTAAAGTATAATAAACACAAAACCATACAAAACAATACAAAAACGATATATTTATCTAATAACATCCTTTATTCTATCCACTCACATCTCACTTCCATCCTTGTTCAATCTTGTAAGCACGGTATACAATTCTTGGATCTTTCTGAAAAAGGTTATCAAATAAATTAATTCAAGCTAATTCTCACTTTCCAACTGAATGGCTCATTCAACTGTTCCAGACTCAGCTTCGCAAGTTCAGCCTTCAGAAGCGCCGAAATCCGAAAATAGTCAACATTTGTCTTTGAGGAGTTGATGGCCTCTAAGATCTCATCAAACACGACAGGCATATTAGTCAGCAACAAATCACGCCCCAAACCGCGGCAATGGACCTTGAAATCGACTGTAAAGTTGTGCGGAAGCTTGTCCCAGGGCAAATTACCTGTAAAAAGAGAATAAAATTAAAAGTTAGAGTTAATATCACCATTAAAGAATTCGTGACACATATAGAACCAAGATTCGATGTCGTCTTTTGGCTGGTACTCCACCCGGCTGTAATTTGAAATCGGCCTGTAGGCATCAGAGCCTACAATTGGACATGCTCCGAATGGACGTGACTTTTCCCGGCACCGCCGTGCTAATCCAAAGTCAATTATGAAAATTTGGTCATCAAAATCCGAATGAGGCTGTCCAACAACAAAATTGCTCGGATTAATGTTCCGATGCATCCAACTGCGATCATGGAGAGACCAAATACGTGTAAACGTTTTCAGGCAAAGTTTGAGAGCATCTACATGCAACAGACTATGACCCGGGTGAGCTCGTCTGATTCGGTTTAAATCCGTGCCCAGGCGCTGGATCAGAAGGACGCGACTGCCGTTTAAAGTTTTGAAACGATCATATAGTTCCGCGAAACCACGAACACCTTTGCAATCAAGATAAACACGAGCCTCAATGCCCAGAGTTCTCCTGTTAATGATTGAAAATAATTTTAATTTACTAAATATTCTAGACAGGAAAACTCACTTATTTTCATTGTAAGATTCGACTTTCGCCATACACTCGAATGCCGGATTCTTTTTGTTGCGCACAAAATAGACTCTGGTGAAAGGTCCAAAGTGAACAAGACGAAGCGGACTATACCCAATACATCTGATGGTGAAAAAATCACTGTCACGTACCAACGGATCAGCTCCTTGCACTGCAAACTTGGCGTTATCCAGGCTTTCTTTGTCTTCATTTTCTATAGTTGTATGATGAGGCAGCTGCTTCTCAAAGCTTGCATCCGGCGCGCTTGGAACCTGCAATTATCTTGTATCATATGTATGAGATGCACTCAATTAATAAAAACTAGCCTGCTTGGCCTGATAGAGCGTCTCGTTCTCCGCCATCGGCTGCGCCCTTATAGACAGGTCAACGTAGGCGGACTGATCGAAATTCGGCTGCTGTATCACATCGGCTGAGTTGGTAGGTTCGGCTTGACCGCCGTCGACGCAGCAATGGCCAGCAGGTTCGGGCGCAGTACTCTGCTGCTGTTGATTCTGCGATGCTGTATTACATGCGGCAGCAGGTCCGCCTAAGTTGATGTAGTCGGAGTCCATTGAACAGAAAATTGCTGGTAGATTGGGTCTGTTGTCGATGATGGTTGTCCGATGATAACCCGGTTGCTTTTATACACTAGAAGCGTAACTGATTAAACAGGAAATTCACCATTCGCGGGTCATCTTGAGAAGAGCCGGCGGGCCAGACTACACTTATGCATTTCATGTAAAAGGTGGGCCTTTTCCAATGATTTGCGCCCAAGGTCCTCTGGACAGGACGATCGGCCACTTTAGGACAATGTTTGCAGAAACCAACTGTGTGGTGAGGCTTAAATCTTTATTTAAGTCCGCGCAATCGCGCAAAGATAATCAAAATAACTAATTTATGTAACAACTACAAGTTTATGAAATTTTAACTTTGTTGAAAAATACATAGTAGATATTCATTAGAAATTTAGTTAGGATTATTCCGAGTCAACTTTAGGAGGAAATTATACGCCTCTTTCACATTCCAATGAAAATCCTAAATAAAATTACTTAAAATTTTAAACATTAATTTAAATAACTTGGAGCTGATTCTTGTTACAAAGCAATTTTACTTGTTCAGAGCCGTTCTGCGAAATTGCTTGTAATGAAACTTCAGCAAGTGGTTCTTCAATATCAACTTCCCCATTTGACTACAAAATAATAGTTTAAAATTCATTAGACAATTTTTAACCTCAACAACGCTTAGAATGCTCCAATCAATTCCCACCATTTTTGGATAGGCCGAGAGCCCGTCAGACGACATTTCTTCGGATTCTGTGGCCAAAAATAAAAAAATGGAAGTCTGCAAAACTTGGGAATAATTTTACGAAATGGGTATAATTGTTCAAATATTAAATTAAATATTGGGAAGGTACTTTTCCGTTTTGTTACACCCCCCTATATTAATGCTCAAAATGTCACATATGGGGTAATTAAAGGTGCTGAGTCGAACGGTACCCTTCTTTTTCCTAGGAGATGTCTGTGAACCAAGATGAAGGGCTCGAAATGGTCAAAAACCATTGGGCCATTTTGGGGTAAAAAATTCGAATGTGCACATAATAACTCATTCGAAAGAGCTCGACGAGCAGAGTCGAAAGACACCAAAATCACCGTCTTCGAACAAGTTTGGACCGAGTTACGATACAAAAAATTGTGTGGTTCTTCAATTTTCAGGGACCTGAATCTCGGTCAAATCAAATCAGATTTCGTTGAACTTAGTGTCTTTCGACTCAGCTCGTCGAGCCCTTTCGAATGAGTTATTATTTGGATATTCGAATTTTTACCCAAAAATGGCCCAATGGTTTTTGACCATTTCGAGCCCTTTATTCACAGACATCTCCTAGGAAAAAGAAAGGTACCGTTCGACTCAGCACCTTTAATTACCCCATATGTGACATTTTGAGCATTAATATAGGGGGTGTAACAAAACGGAAAAGTACCATTGGGAATTAATCAAACAAACGATTTTAAATGAATCATTTTTTTATAATTTTTCAAAAATATGCAAAAAATATTTTCTCACATACAGCTAGTTAAATGTGAGAAGACCTGTAACAAGAAAAACAAAAAAAAATAAAACATTTTTCTAAATTATCTGATCAATCAGTCTCCGATTTTTGACCAGTTTTTTCAGCATTTTCTTTTGCTATTCTCATCAATTCAACATCCAATCTTTCTTTTGCTCGATAAATCTAAAAAATTAAATTATTTTTCAAAAAAATTAATAACCTTTGCTTGCAAATAAAGCGTTCCGCCCTTAGATTTTTCATTCGCGGAGAAAAGATGTTCATACCTCCGTTTAACTTCCTCTTCATTTGGGGGAGGTTTTATACCAAGAATCTGCATTGCTTCCTATTTTTTAGAATTTATTTGAAAATCACTAAATAATAATTTACTTGTGTTGATATTCCCATTCGCAAGTCAGTCTCAATTATTCCATTTCGCCTTTGCCTAGCATTAAACACATTTGGACTTTCAGAAGAAGGCTGCCTTGCTGCAGCTTGTCTGGTGGCTGTAAATATAATGATAACTATCCATTATCAAAAAATCCTTACCATTTAATTCTTCACTAATTGCTCTCCTCAAAGCAGTAAAAACAGCGCCAGCACCGGCAGCTGCAACTCTGGCTAGAGCTTTCCAAACCATCAAATAAAATTTATAACAGATAAAATCAAACTGAGAGATCAAAAAAACTAACTGGCAATGTTAAAAGCTTTAGGAAACAAATAATAAAAATACCATAAATATTTTATTCCTAAAGTAAAAAATTGAAAAACAACAACAAAAACAGTCAAATCATGGAATCAAAATAAATATTTAAATGATGATTATAATGAAATTTCATTGTTAAAGTATCAAATCGAAATTCAATAACAATTCATTTTTCAGCTCTTAAATATTAAATGTCATCAGTACATTCCGCCCATGCCTCCCATTCCACCCATGCCTCCCATTCCGCCACCAGCAGGCATTGCCGGTTCTTCTTTAGGCACTTCCGTGATAACACATTCAGTGGTAGATAACAATGAGGCGACACCAGCAGCATCTTGAAGAGCCGTTCTGATGACCTTTGTTGGATCACTGAAAGTTTTTAAATCTCTTTTATAATTATTCTAACATAATAAAATAATTGGGCCTTACATAATGCCAGCTTCAAGCATATCAACAAAGGAATCCTTCATTGCATCATAACCAAAGTTGATGTTTGAATTAGCAAGAATCTTCTCTACAATCCCTGAAGGTTCAAGTCCGGAATTAGCAACAATAGTAGCAATGGGTTGGCGAACAGCTTTTTGAACAATTTTTATTCCTAGATTAAGAGGCGTTATTAGAATGAAAAATTTGTTTATTAATAAAACCAAACCTTTTAACTGGTCATCATTGGGAGCCTTAATATCGTCCAACTTTTTAAGTGCACGAAGCAAAGCAACACCGCCTCCTGGAACAATTCCTTCCTCAACAGCTGCGCGAGTAGCACACAAAGCATCAGTCACGCGATCCTTCTTTTCATTAACCTCAACTTCACTTGAACCACCAACTTTAAGAAGCGCTACACCAGTAGACATTTTGGCCAAACGTTCATTTAATTTTTCCTTAAATTAACTTTATGTAATTAAATCCACATTTTAAACCTTCTCATAATCAGATGTTGAATTTTCAAGCTCATCTTGAATCTGAGCGATTCGCTTCTCAACATCTTTTTGGTCACCTTTACCGCGAAGAATCAAAGTATCGTCCTTAGTAATAGTGACCTCATCAGCCTCACCAAAGTCCTTAAAATTGAAATATTGAATATAAAATAATCAAAACAAACGTGATTCTGAATCTCCTCCAATTTGATCAAAGTTGCTTCTTCACCGAAAACAGTTCCACCGCAAGAAATTGCCCTAAAATCAATAATAATTTAATCAAGATCTAGGTAACTTACATGTCTTTCAAAGTATTCTTACGGTTATCTCCGAATCCGGGGGCCTTAACTGCACAGACTTGAAGTCCAACCTTCAGACGGTTCAACACAAGTGTGGTAAGTGCTTCACCATCAACATCCTCAGCAATAATAAGCAACGGACGTCGATATTTATTAGCCAATTCAAGAGCAGGAACAATATCCTTTAAAAAATTTTATTCATAAAAAAATTTTTTTTATCTAAGATTACTTGAACTTGACTTATTTTCTTCTCACAGAAGAGGATGTAGCACTTCTCAAATTCAACCTTAGCGCCTTTAGCCGAATTGATAAAGTATGGAGAGATATAGCCTCTATCGAACTTCATCCCTTCAATAAGTTCAAGCTCGTCTTGCAAAGTCTTTCCATCCTTTACAGTAATCACTCCCTTATTGCCAACCTAAATAAGTAAAAATACTAATAAAAAGTATTCTAAATTATCTATGACAGACTTTCTTCATTGCCTCCGAGATCAATTGTCCAATTGATTTGTCACCATTTGCAGAAATTGTCGCAACCTGGGCAATCTCTTCAGGAGTTGTAACAGTCTTGCTCATATTCTTCAATTCCGTCAAAATAACTTCAACAGCCTTCATAACACCATTTCGGATTTCTACTGGATTTGCTCCCTTGCTGATGATATCAAAGCCTTCCTTAGCAATAGACCTAGCGAGAACAGTGGCACAAGTTGTTCCATCACCAGCCTCCTCATTTGTTTTATTAGCAACATCCTGATGAAGATGTGATTAGTTAATCAAAAATCTCAAACCTGCACGAGCTTAGCACCCATATTTTGGCACTTGTCCTTAAAGTCAATAGCTTTTGCAACTGTAACACCATCTTTTGTGATTTTTGGACTTCCCCACGACTGTTCAATAATCACATTCCTTCCCTAAAAACAAAAATCTTATAGTTAGTGCAGACCTTTTAAACTGAAACCTTCGGTCCCATTGTCACAGCGACGGCATCAGCAAGCAAATCAACACCAACAAGCATAGCTTTCCGGCCTTCAGAGCCAAATTTGAGATCCTTTGCATAACCACGAACTGAAGTCTTCAAGACCCTACTTAGCATTTTTGTTGTAATAAAATTAAATGTACTGAAATTGTTATCAGTTAAGAAAAAATATTAACTATATGTAAGTAAAAACTTTGAGAAAAAGTAAGTTACACTCTAACCTATATTTATCGGACTGACCTAGGTCAACTTTTCATTTTAGTATCTGCCTACCCAAAATTTCTCGAACATTCGCTTCTTATTTCTTTTAGGGGTCCAGCCCAAGTAGGCGCGCGGCCATAACGGCGCAAAGCCATAACTTGCTTCAAGATTTCCAAATCTTACCAAATTTAGCATTAAACAAATCCTCTCGTCGAGCTAGAGAGAATGGTACCAAAATTGAAAGGGCCAGAAATTTTCCAGCAAGTTATAGCTTTGCGCCGTATGGCCGCGCGCCTACTTGGGCGTCCCTTCTTTTAGCAATTTAAAAATTTGGCGAAATGTTTCTACTAGAGAAGCGAAAATTCTAGAATTGCAGTGAATAAGAGTAAATTATTTATTTTTATCTTGCAATTTCGAGTTTTTTTTTCTTGCTTTCTTAACTTTATTTTTATATTATTTATTTTTCAGATATTTTTATTTTGACTTTAATATCTTTGTTTGGTTACTATGTTGCTCTCTATTGTGCGGAAATCGGTTCATTTTACTTCATTTATTAATTTAATACTTCCGTTTTAGGCAGCTGCCAAAAGCTTCAAGCCCTTTTTTGACCGCATTCTTGTCGAGCGTCTTGCACCTGAAACAAAGACTAAAGGAGGGATTATGATTCCTGAAAAGGCGCAAGGCAAAGTGCTTGAAGGGACTATTGTTTCTGTTGGCCCTGGTTATCGAACTGAAGATGGAAAGACTTTGCCAATGCAATTGAATGTTGGCGATAGAGTTCTTCTTCCGGAATATGGTGGCAACAAAGTTATTTTGGACGATAAGGAATATCACATTTTCCGCGAATCTGACATTATGGGAAAATTTGAATAATTACATTAAATGATCAACAGCGATTGACATCTCCACATTTTTTTTCACTTTGTTAAATTTTTTGTTCTGTTTAGGAGTAAATATTTATTTTTGAATTGACTTTAACTGATTTATTGCGTTAATTCGCATTTTATTTACTGATATTGTTAAATCATTTAATACTCAGTTTTTTACCTCCATAATGCATTAAAAGCAAATAAAATTTTGCTGGGTTTTTTTGACATTAAACGGCTTCTGTTATAATTTAATCAATGATTTTACTAGCATATTGTTTTTTAAATTTATTTTTAGACTAAAATAAAACGAGTGAATTCATTTCATCAATTATTATTGTTCGAGATGGCAAAGTCAAAGAACCACACAAATCATAATCAGAACAGGTAATAAATCAAACGAAATTTGGGCCATGTTTATCTAGTTCAGTGGCAACTCGACGATTTTTCGGGGGTCACAAGCAAAATCCTCGTAGTTATCTAGTTTAGGTTTATAATAGAAACTTGTGGACTTGAAAACAAATATGTACTAATATCCCAAAATTTAGCAAGGATCATCGCAATGGAATTTACAAACCGAAGCGTCAACGCTATCAATCAATGAAAGGGGTTGATCCAAAGTTTTTGCGAAATCTGCGCTTTGCGAAGAAACACAACAAACGACACCCAAAAGTTGAATCGAGTGCTTAGATGATTTGGATTCTATCTTCATGTCGATACAATTTTGTATTGAAATATTGTTAAATGTTAAACCGAAAAATTTAAAGTAAATTTATTTTGTTGTTGCTCTATATTGTGATAATGATTTTGAACTTTATAGTTCCTTCTCATTTCTTCCCAATTTTCATTTTTGCCTAAACCTATCACAGTAGGTTTTATCTTAAACATGCTGAATAAATTTTTGGCTTGATTGGTTTTACTAGCCTATGCAAAAATTAAAGTTGGGCAGAACACTGGGACCATAAAGTTCAAGATTACCAAGTTATTTTAAAAGTATTCTGAGTACTCGAAACATTTTTTCACTTGAAGACCACGTAGATTAAGACATACTTCGGACATTTTACTGATTTTAAATTATCTTTTCAAATTCAATTTGAGCGACCCTAATAGACACACAACGAACTATAAATCTAGAAGTATTTATTAAAACACGTCACTGCAAACAAATATCACGAATTAACAATCTATATTATTTTTTGCACAAAGGTTCTTTTCACTTATTTCTCTCCTTTTGCTGTCTTCGCTAACTTCATAAGTCCTTCAGTACTGTGTGATTTAGGTCGTTCAAGTGGCAATCCCATTCCACGCGCCCAAATCATTTGTGATAAGCAACCCAAAGCTCGAGAAACACCAAAAAGGACGGTGTAGTAACTCATCTCTTTCATTCCAAAATATTGCAGAAGAACCCCAGAATGTGCATCAACGTTTGGCCACGGATTCTTTGCCTTTCCTTGCTCCAATAGAATGTTTGGTGTTATCTTGTAGAGGTCAGAAACAAGTTTGAATAGCGGATCCTTTGGCAAATGTTTCAAAGCAAATTCACGTTGACAAGTGTAGCGAGGATCGGTCTTTCGAAGTACGGCATGTCCATAACCAGGAACGACCTTAAGAATTCCTAAATATAATCAAGTTCTACGAATTTACCTTTCCACTCTTGAGATGATCCCAGACCCATCGTTTGAGCTCCTCTTCAGTATAGTCGTGTCCAACTTCGCCAACTAATTTTGTGAGGAAAACGAGAACTTCCTATTAAGAAAAATAAAAAAAAATTTTTAATTTAAGAATTTCTGTCAATTTTAAGACTTCCATAACCCTCATTTTTTATAATATCCATTGAAATTCAACCTGATTTGCCAATCCATGAAGAGGTCCAGCGAGACCCGACATTGCCGCAGAGAAAGAGAGGTAGGGATCCGAAAGAGCCGATCCAACTAAATGGCATGTATGCGCAGACACATTTCCTCCTTCATGATCAGAATGAATAACCAAGTAAAGTCGCATCAACTCGACAAATACAGGATCGGTATAACCAAGCATCGAACAGAAATTAGCAGACCAATCCTTATTGACGTCAATAACTCCCACAGATGTTCCCTCACGATAAAGATTTCTAAAAATAAAGTAAATATTAATTGCTGATGAAAACTAGAGATCGGCCTGGGTCTGGACCAAGGCCTGGATTTTTCCTGTACTCAAAGTCCAGGCCAGAGTCAATGAATCAAATCAATGAATCTAATGAAAACGCCCTTTATTTCCCTTCAAAAAATTCCCTAAATAATTAGAAAAAACCTATAAATAGTAGCTGCAATAGTAGGCAATTTTGCAAGTAAGTTCATTGAATCCTCATAAGTATACTCCCAGTAAGTACTCTTTGCTACACCCTTAGAATATGCTTGCGCAAATTTAGATTCAGTCTGCAATGCTGCAATTGCCGCAACAAATTGTGCCATTGGATGGAGATTTGGTGGCGTAGTTTCAAGCAATTGAGCAACATGATCAGGCAAATCTGCACGTGCTGCCCATTCCTTACTGATTGCATTTACTTGTTTCTATTAAAAATTGAAATATATCCAAATAATTTTTAAAGTTATGATAATTAGAGCAATTAGTGAAAGAGACATTGGAAGTGAAGGCTTATAAAAATGCGTGGTTTAACAAAGATAGAAGGAAAATATGGGTAATACTTGGCTGACGCCCTTCCCCTTCTTTCCTGTTTCCTTGAAATAGGAAAGTAGTTAAAGACATGTTTCACCCTTTGCTTTGTTTTATCGGAATCGTTAAGATTCTACCTAATTTCCCATAGCATTAATTTGAAAAATTCTAATTTAAACCTGATCAGGAATATCTCCAGTACACAACAACCACCAAATTCCTTCAGGCAAAGGCTCGCTTCCCCCAGCAGCTTTAGGTAACTTTTCTTGACATTCAGGTATAGAATAACCACGGAAACGAATTCCCTCATCAGGATCAAGAACAGAAGTCTCACAAACCATAGCCTTCAAAGAACGCATTCCTCCATATATCTTTAAAATTTCAAAAAATTCTAAAGAAAAACAACAAAAGAAAACCATATCAACAGTAACACTCTGAACTATTGCATCTCCATAACCTTTGCGGAACTCAGCAACTTTCTTATTATGTTCAGGAATCTTTTTTGCCAACACTTCCTTTAGATTAGTCGAATAATCCGCAACAACAGAATAATAATGTGTTGAGGAAAAGTTGACCAAATTCTAAAAGAAATGTTTAAAAATTTATTTGAAAGTAACCTTGAACAAAAAGAAATTGTTCCGAAGAGTTATCCCAGCAACAGACATTATGCAATATTCCTTTGATTTTAGAATTTATTAATTAAAAATATGGCCCTTAAAATTATTAGAAAAAACAAAAGAATTTTAAAAAGAACACAAAACAAATGAACTTTAAATAATTGCTAATTGTGAGTAAAAAGAATGGCTGTCAATTTCATTCAATAAATTTTAGATTTAAAAGAATAGAGATAGACAGTTGGAGAAAAAGCTTTTGGATTACATCACTCATTTGTTCATGTCAGAGTTAAAAGGTTAAAAGATCATTTTTTAAAGGAACTTTTAATTTTCAGAAAAAATTGTGAGGAGGCAAGGGGAAAATGTGTTGCACTATTTGTGTTAAATTTTGGTATTGTACACATTTTCTTATTTTTGACCTTTTGACCCCAATACATAAAAATTTCCAAAAATCAATTTTACAAAATCCGGGACTTAATAATCCAAAAATTTTAGCCTGCAGTGCTGAAAAAAAGGAATTTTGATTTCGTGGATATCTGAAACAACAGAGAATATCCTTTTATAATAAATAAGGCTGTGATTCATAGGCAAATGCCTATTTTTTCTGCAAGCTTGGGATGATGTAATACGTTCAAAAAACGTGTTTTTAGCTTGGTCCGATAAGTCTAGCATGACTTTTAATTTGCCTATTTCTGCCTATTTTTGACTTTTTGTGCCTTTCTGCCTATTTTGAAATTTTTGGTACTATTTTTGCCTTTTTTAGCGATTTTTTCGAAATTTTGCCTAAAAATCAGTGCAAAATCTAAAAAAATCAGTCCCAAATTAGAAAAAATAGGAGCCAAGTCCCATTATTGATTTTTAGTTCGATAAATTGTTTATTTTTACTCTGTTGGACATTTTGAACTGGGACGATTTGGTATTGGGACGTTTTGGGGTGCGGCGTTTTGTGTGTTGGGCGAGATTTCCATTTTGTCAATTATCGACATTTTAAAAAAATTTACTCCATTTTTTTCAAAAAATGATTCAAAATGACGAATAAATGGTAAAATTGTTTAAAAAATAGTTTATAATTTAAAAAATGACGATTAAATGGTTATTTTTTCTGTTTTTATCTCCATTTTATGGTCTAATAACCTTTTTTACATGCCTATTTTTGTGCCTTTTTCGGCTTTTTGGTGCCTATTTTAGGCGCCTATTTCACTGATTTTACTTGCCTAACTATCACAGCCTTAATAATAAAGAACTTAATTTACCATTACCATTCTTTTGGAGGTTATAAAGTTGGAAAATGAATGGAAAATAAACAGAATAACATAGAAATTTCTTGAAATTAATTAAAATATGCAACATAGGAAAGTAATCATAAGTGTAAAATTATTTCTCGTTTATGTCTCGTGCTTCGCCTTATAAATTATATATCGAACGATTGGGGTTATCAGTACTCGTAATCAATCTTTCACTCAATCGTGGTTTTTCGTGTATTCAAAAGAATTCAAAAGAATTCTGGTTTTTGGTTTATTTTTTATCCAACTAAAAAAACTTTTATTGAAAATTACAACCATTATTTAGAAAAACCAATAAATTAAAGTATTACCCTCCTTCAAGAAAATTAAGTTTCAAAGTTTTTCATATTTTATTTTAACAAAACAAAAAAATATTTATTTACATTCGAGTAATTTAAATAATTACAACGGCACAAATGTTTATTAAAATTTTCAAAAATAATTTTCACCCAATATTTCCAATATCCACAAGACGAAAAGCTTCAAGTAATTCATTTAAATCAATAAAGCCGTCTTTATTGAAGTCAATACTTAAAAATATTTTTTATTAATTTTTGTCAATAATTTTCCCTCAAAACCTTTCCCCAATACTTTTTATCCCTTCTTCTGATAAGTCAATTCTGGCATATTGGCCAAGTACTTGACATGCCTCCGTAAATTCTTTCATCGATACCAAACCTTTAATTAAAATTATTTTTCTCATTCTTAGAATTTAAAAATTCACCAGAATTATCTTTGTCCATAAATCTAAAAAGAGTTTCCAAAGTATTTTTGTGTCTGTAGAGAGTTTCTGTTATTCTAGTGCTTTCCTAAAATTTAGAAATATTCCTCTTATTTTTTTCTAAATTTTCTCTTTACATGTCCCCCCATTGTCTGTTCAGATATTCTTCCATTACTGCTTAATTGAACACGTTGGTGATGTTTGTACAATACTTGTTTACCATCTTCAGTAAGTCTAGCAAGGCGTGAAACTAGAACACGCCATGGCACAGCCAAATTGGTAATTCTTTCAACAGTTGCGCACCATTGTGATAGGGATATTTGGCCTTTTAATGATTATAAATTATTTTGTTGAAAGGGAATGCCACTACAAGGAGAATTGACCATTTTTAATAAAGGAGAAAAAATGAGGAAAAAATCAAACCGTCCTTATTTGGATATACATATTTAGGGCAGAGAGAATATCTACTATTTGAAATTTTTAAAGATCCCTATTTTGAAAACATTTTTTTCTAAAATTTTTTTGAAGAATTGTCAATTTTATTATTTTCTATAAAATTTCTAATTACAAAAATTTCTCTCTCTTTTTTTTCTCTTACCAGTTCCAGTAGAATCTATTTTCATAAATTCTTTTTGTAATTCAGTATTGAATGAAACCAATTTTTCGCTAAGTTCTTTAATAGCAGCTTGTTCAACAATACTTAATCTTTATAAAATAAATATTTTATTTTTAATTTTTCTTTTTTTTCTACCTTTCTCTAACAGTAATCCTTTTGTGTATTTTACTAGCCATATATTGCTAATAATTAAATAATTAATTTTTAAATTTTAATTAATTTACCACAAAATGTGGAACTTTTTCTTTTCCAAGAAATTTAACATAAGCACCTCTATTACTTCCTGTTTCATAATAATTACTGGCAGAAAATATTGTTAAAACTTTATTGTCGTGGGTGAACTCATAACCTATAAAATATTGAAAATATTATATTTATTGTCGGAGTTGTATTTGGATAATATGTACAGAAGATAATTCAAGAAGAGGCAAAATTATGAGCACCCCAACTAACTTTTCCCCGATTAACGGGCTATTTAGAGGTCACAAAATTAAACTCAATTACCCTCATATTTGCATTCATGACTTCGTACCAACATTAAAAACCCATTACTAAAATTTTAGAAATTTTAAGGAAATCCTTTTATTTTTTAAACTTTTCCAAGAATTTCTTTGTAATGTCAGGCCCAAAATAACTGCCACCACCACGGAATGCATTTGGCCAGCAACCATTTTGAGGTTTTGGATCACTCCAAAGAACGTCAAGAATTTGGCGCCACTTAAATTTATTCTTTACTGTTCACCTCTATTTTATAAACTCTCTATATTGAAGACTCTCTTTGTAACTACTATTTCTGGATTTGTCCGGTAGTTTGGAGAATTTGAAAAAAATTCTCTCAACATTATAAACGATTTTTACAACTATGAGAGAATTCACAAAATAAACAATTCAACTATATTCTCTCAAAATTTACCTCTTCAACGTCAACAGAGCTTTTCCCTAATTTATTTCCACCAACAGGAGGGCGTAGAATTGAGAGATACTATAGAAGAAGAATATTTTTATTTTAAAAATAATTATTTTTAAAACCCTATTTCTCGGAATCTTTTCTAGAAAATTTAAATCTGTTCGGTCAGAAACACCTCCATGAGTTATAAAAAGATCCTAAAAAATAATTATTTTAAATAAATATTTCTTTGAAGAAGAACTCTGTCAACAACTGTAGCCAACGGCAACCAAGAAAAAATATCTTCCAACATTCGAATTACTGCTGCCGCTGAATCTTTATATTTTGTTTGTAATTCTTTAATAAATCCATATCTTTTAAATAAAATTCATTTTCTTCTATGTATTTATTCTTAATATTTACCTTAAATTCATTATGTGATCCTAAAAAAATTTTAAAAATATTTTTGGGAATTTTAAAATAATTTTACTTCATGATTCCCTCTATTTAAGGCAACTGCGGTTGGGTGTAAAATTAATAAAGCGAGTAAAACAACAAAAACTTCCTAAAAATAAAAAAGTTATAAATTAAGGGTGTATCTTTATTAATCCCTCCCCCTCTCCAATTTTAAATTATTAATCTAATTTTAGAAAATCGGTTTTGGTTTTTGGTCAAATGTACGTTTTGTTTTGTGAGGAGGTAAAAAGGTAATCTTCTAGTTTACTGGTCCCGAGAAAAAAATTAGGAAGCAGTGCTGTTTCGATATTTTTGAGGGTTACCAGTAGGTAATCGAGTGTGCTGAGTCCGAATCTGAGCTTAGAAATTGCTTATTTTGAATCACGGACCCAGATTCGACCAAGTCGAATTAGGGGTAAACACTTCGAAATTGAAAATTTAGGGATAATCTGACACGACTATTCTAGTCCAAAGCGTGTATTTAATTGACCAAGCGTGTATTTAATTGACCATAACTTCGTCCGATTTGTCGAAACTGGACAACTCAGCTCGAATAAAGGGCTAATAATAGCCCTAAATTTTTAATTTCGAAGTGTTTACCCGAATTCGACTTGGTCGAATCTGGTCCGGGATTTAAAATAAGCCATTTCTAAGCTCAGATTCGGACTCAGCACACTCGATTACCTACTGGTAACCCTCAAAAATATCGAAACAGCACTGCTTCCTAATTTTTTTCTCGGGACCAGTAAACTAGAAGATTTCCGGTAAAAAATCACTTCAGAAATTACTAGTTTTCGGTATTTAAATTTTAATTAAACCGGTTAATATTGGCAAAGAATTCCAAAATTTTCGGTTTTAAAACTGAACAAAATCCGGCCCTAATGGATAACAAAAATAATAAAATAAGATTCTTTCTCAAAATAATAATAATTCTTCCTAAATTCTCTAATAATAATTTATTAATTTAATTTAAAAACTCGAAAGGAAAAAGAAAAAAAATATTTATTTACTAACAACAGATTGAGCTCCTCTATCAACAAAATCCCCATTAAACACATAAGGATTGTCTAATGAGGGAAATCCATTCTAAAAATTAAATTTAAAAAATCTACATAATTAATTAATTACCTTATGTAAAATAATACAAAGATCGTCAAATTTACCTTTTAATAATTTTTTTTATTAATTATTTCTTTTTTTCCAAAATTACCATGCAAGTCTCCACAAACAGTTACTTGTCCAGACATATTTGTAGATAAATGAGTAACAGTGGGCATTGCCTAAAAATACCGTAAATGCTCTAATAATTACCCAGGGTAATTAATGTTTCGGCTGGCCGAAACTTGCGGACCGACTTTTGCGGACAAAAACTTGCGGACCCGACGAATTTATCGAAACATAGCTCATTCGAAAGAGCTCGACGAGCTGAGTCGAATGACATCAAAATCATCGTGATTGTACAAGCTTGGACAAAGTTACGATAGAAAAACAAAAACATAAACCCCTGGTCCGCAAAAGTCGGTCCGCAAGTTTCGCACTACCAATGTTTCAACCTCTCGCTGGAGGAGTAATTATTTGAGAGAGGTTAATTAACAGTGTTTCACCGGAACCGAAATTTTGACAGGAACCGGATCCAATTTGAGTTCCGGATTCCGGAACCAGAACCGGAACTTCCGGTGAAACTCTAGTAATCAATAGAGTTTACAGAAATTAATTTCCCTTTAAACACTTTCTACCTTTAGCACCTTCCTAGATTCATGTAAAATAATTAACAAATAACGAGCAGGCAAAATCTAAAAATTAATTTTTAAAAAATTCAAAAAATTCTTTTGCCTTATTTAATTTAAAATGTTCAATCATTGCCTCAACATGTGCTGTTCTAATTGGTAAGGAAATTACTGGGCCTTTATAAGATTTGTCAATGCGAAACAATTCTGGATTGGTACTCTCCCATAATTTATTGTCTTTTTCTGTTTCATCCGCTGCTGAAAAATTTTTTAGGAAATAATTAAAATTTTGGGTTTGGTTAACAAAAAATTAAAAATGTTGGTAATTAACTATTTGGGATTAAAGCAAAAAAATATTTTTAAAATTATTCACTTATTAAGTTATCAAAAAAAATATTTTAAGATTTGTTTTAAGCTGGTTATCTTCAAGTTTTGTTTTTAAATTAAAATATTTCTCCAAATTATTTATGAATTAATCCCAATTATAAAAAATATTTATATAAAAAAAGTTAAAAATTAAAGAAAACTAAAATTAAATTAAAATTCTCTCACCATTGAAGGCGTGCCTTGTAAGTGCTGAAAGAAGTGTCCCGACAAAATGGTAATGACTTGGGGTTTATTTATCAAGAATGGACTTAAAAAGAGGTTCTGAATCTTGGAGGAATTCATCATAAAAAGTGGGGAAATAATTTCTGACCATTACCATTTTGTAGGGGTAGAGCTAAAAGAACGATAGAAAAAACAGAAAATATTTGGAAAGAAAATGAGAAAACTTTGAAGAATTAAAAACCCCCACCTTGGCAAATTTCGTTTCGGCCATTTAAATCGTCCTTTTCTAACATTGCAGTAATTATTTCGTTGAAAAAGTTGTACAACTAAAAAGATTTAATTTAAAATCTTCTAACACATAGAATATATTTTTAATAATTAATTTCTCTCTTTTTTAATCCCTTTCACCTGCCTTCAATTGATCTTGTTCTCCCGCATACTCTAAAGCTGTAAATATATTCCATGTTGCCCTTCTTCTTGATTCTAAACGAGCCAAGCAACGTCGATACCATTTTTGGATGAGAATTGCTGATCGTATTGCTGTAAAATAAACAAAAAAATTTTTAAAGTAAATAATTTAAAATATTTATTGAAATAATAGAGAAGGAAGAAACAAAAAATAGAGCATAAAAAATAAGAATAACACAAAATCTTATGGTTTTTGATTAGTTTTAATTTCAATTAGACTAATAATAATTTCATAGTAACCCTTAAGGAATTGTTTTTTTCAACTCATTTCTAAAATGGGGATTTTTCGAAGGTGGGAATTAATCGAGTAAATAATTAAAAAATAATAAATACCCAATTTTGACTCATCTAAAATTAAAAATATTTACGTATGTAAATAATTATTACGTAAATATTATTTATAAACTTTAATTAAAATGACGCTTACAAAACGTTATTAATGACGAAACTTTCAAAAATAAATAAATATTATGCCATCACCATTAATTAAAAAACATAACAATATGTAGACCTTACACGTAAATGTGCAGACAAAAGCTACAATTAAAAAAAAGGAAGTAAAGGGTGCTAAACATCACTTTTGAGTGCTTCTTTAAAGCTTACACATTTGTGGTGTTTTAGGCTTCTGTTTTTGCCTAAAGCGATAGAGCGGTGATGAAGAGAATTCTCTTGGGGTAGGAACACTCGAATGCCGAATATTGCTGTCACTCCCAATTGATGTTTTTTGTTGTTTTAGTTGTTCATCTCGAATAATTCTTTCACTGTGAGGTTCAATTCTTGGGGATGAATGTCGCTGATTTTGTTCGCTAAAAGAAATTGGCATGTACGGAGCCCTTGGAGACGGCCTTCGGCTGCTGCTTATCCCATCTTTTTGACTGTTCGGACTGTTAGGAGCAGAAGCAAAGGGAGATTGGATTGGTGTATTGGTTGTGGAAGGTACAGAACCAGGAGGTTGAAGCCATGAAGTAAAGAAGCCGCTTCCTTGAGTTTCTCCAACACCCAATAAAGAATTACTGGGTGTACGGTTTTCCAGTCGGAGGTCACTTTTATTGGACATCTGCCAATTACCAATCTCTTCAACACGAGATTTTGTTTCATTTTCTTCTTTTGAAATTTCAATATTTCTGGATGTTTCTGGATGTAAAGCTGTCTCGAAGGATTTACTAGGCGCTAAATGAGAACCAGTGCTGCCAACACGTCGATGCTGGCGTGAAGAATGACTCTTTCTGAGATGACGATGACTACTAACCTCTCTACTACTTAATATATTACTTCCTTCTTCCCTTTCATTAACAACCAAACCCCCAATATTGAGAGATCTTTCAGAAGTTGACTTACACAATTCATTAGGCACAATTGAGGGGACGTCTTTTCCACTTGATCCACTGGGGCGAGGAGTTGTACCGCCACTTGCCGGTTTTTTAAAATGTTGTGGAGATGGAGATATTGGCTGTCCAAATACTCGAATATTTACAGTGGCAGGGAATTGATTTGAAGCTACTGTCGCTGCAGTATTTTTGCTTGTTGAAGGGCCACAGCCCATTCTTGATGAATTTTTGAAACTTTTTTTGTTCTCAAAGGAAAGTGGTCAATTTATTTGTCAGTTAATAAGAAAAGATCAATGGCAGTAAATATTTATGAGTGTTTTTAGCTAGTAAATAGTTAAAAAGTCAATCAAAACAAAAAATTGATCAATGGACAAAAATAAGAAGTTAGTAAAAAATAAAAGGATAAAAAAGCTAAAGATAAAAGGAAATCTGATCTGTCACTTTTTTGAGTCCCAATCTCATCACTTCTTTTAAGCTTGTCAACCTCCTGTTAATTTTTTATTTCAAGCTTCTCTCGTTATCTCTCTACGTCATTTTAGGTATAAATTGAAAAGAAGGGATATTTTTTAGTTTTTTATTGTGGTTAAGTGCACAAAAATATATATATCATTAAATGCGAACACGAGAAGGGAAATTATAAATGCAACTAAAATAAATTGGACTAAAAGCATCCCCGACAAAGCAAAAAAAAAATCTTTAAAAAAGTAAAGCATTCAAACAAAGTTGTGAAGGACTAAATGAATGTTTTAAGCTTTAATTGACTGCAAAAAACATTAAAAGTTTTTAAAAAGGCTTAAAATGATGAGAGAGATAAATATTAAAACTGCTATGGCATATTTAAGGTGTTAATAAGAGAGGGAGGGAAAACACTTAGGGGAGAGAAAACACTCACAAGAAGGATATTAAAAATCTGCCATATTTGTCATCTACATACATATGCTCATCTTCCTCTGCTTTCCTTTTAATAGTAAGCGGCCACAAATATTTAAATTGATAAATATGAGGCAGACGTGCGAAAACGGCACTTTTTATAATTAGACAAGTCTGATATAGGCGTGCGCTAATAATAACGATTTTAAAGTAAGCAAGAAGGGGATAAATTTTAGTCGGTAAATTTTTTAAAGTAATTAAAAATAACTGAAAAAATCGGTCAAGAAAAGATACGAGGTAATCAAAATTTGAGGATTGCTGTTTCTGAATTCAAAAAATTAAATATTTAGTCTAATATCTTTGTTCTCACATAAATTTGAGATTACCCCCACAATGTCGACAAAGACTTGCTTAATTGGCCTTGCCTAATAGCTCGCCTAATAAAACAGTTCTATGTGAATGCAACTTGCATAATTTCAATTATCGTCAAATGAAAATTTGTTTATGTTTTTCCTTCTAAATCCATCTCTCTTTCCATTCATTCTTCCCGTTATAAAATTTAAAAAAGGAAACCCGTCATATACTAAAACAGGGAAATAAAAATCCATGACGACAAAAATAATCATTTCTGACTCTTCCAAAACTTTTAAAACAAAATATATTTTATTTAAAAACAATCCACAACTAATCAAAAAATTCAAAAATCCAATTTAATCCCATCTTGTCAATCTAATTAAATCTTTCATTTGTTCTTCCACAGTCCTATGTGAATGCAACATATTTCCAACATTTGCCCGTCTCTTTTCCAAATTTCCATCATAAACTTTAAAAATTTTTGGTTTATTTGGCATTTTGCGTTGTTTAGCTTCAATTTGTGATTGTCTCCATTGATCAACAACATCTCCATATTGTTCAATATACGGCCTCTCACGTTCAGCATTTAAATAAGGATTTGCTAACCATTGCATAACATTCCATTCTCTCATTAATTGTTGTCTTGTTGTATCAACTGATTCTTCACTGAAAAAGCTCTTATTGAAAACACAAAAATGCCAATTAAACAAAACTCAAAAACAAATACAAAGTGACGAACACAAAAAACTACATAAACACCCCAAAATTAATAATAAAAAAACTCACGTTATCGGAACTTCCTGCTTTCCAGTACTAAAAAAAGAAAAAATTAATAAACAATAATTTTAAAAAACTCCGCTACCATTTCTTTTTTGGAAGTGACGGCCCAACATAACCAACCTCCCAAACTCTACGAAACCAATCTTCAACATTCCTTCTGCATCGTTTCACTCCAAGAGATAAAGAAAATTTCATTTCTAAAAAAATAGCTCTGTAAATAAAAAATAATAAAGATTTTGAAAGTTTGGTTATTTTTAGTTAATATTATTTCCGTTAAAAAATAACGATAAAGAACAGTAATATTAAAAAAAGTAAAAAAATAATTTTAAAAATAAAATTAAATATCAAAACATCGTAATTTACATTTAAATTTCTTAAATACAATAAAAGCCTTTATATCAACAAATTTATAAATTTTATTCCCAAATTTAAAAAATTGAGTTGGATAAAAAACTTTCAAAAAGAATAAGATTTGATTAAAACCAAAAATCAGGCGGAAATCAAAAGATCGGATTAACCAAAAACTATAGGTAACAATTACTAACCGGTTTTGTCCAACCCTCAATAAATCATTAAAGACTTTATTAAAAGAAAAATCACAACACTTTTTGGGGGGAAAGCCATTAATATGTATATTCAAAACATGAGTATGTGTACAATAATAAAGATTAATTAAATAATCTAAAATTATTTCTAAAATATGTGCACATCTCTTAGTAAATATACTTAAAATATTATTTAAAAGAACATTATAGAATAATATATATCTCTATTAAATCAACACAGGCCCATATAATTATTGAAAAAAAGAATATTTATTTAGGAAATAAAGAAATTTTTTGGTGATTTTTTAAAATTCATAAAAATAATTGTGGGCATTTATTTTTTAAATTTTTTGGCGCTGCCCGAAATAATTTGGGTGATAAATTTATCGAATATAGGCCTGTCACAGTCTTAAAATTAAACAGAAATTAAAAGAAAGGTCAATGATTCCTAGTCCCAGCACTATGTGATCTTATATTTGGCGATTGAGTTTTCCGTAATTCGTGAATTAGCAATCGAATACCGTGTGCCCAACCACCAATAGCACAATCATCTGCATAATTTACTAACATTTGTTCAAAAAATTGTCCAGCCTCGTCATAAACATGGCGATCAAGAGCTAAAAAACAAAAAAAGAAAAATAAATTTTTTAAAAAAATTACCATCAACTACAAAATTCAACTTTTTAAGGCAAGGTTCTGATATTTGTCTAGACAGGACAAGCTCTTCAAATTGTTTTATACGAAGCAAAATTCCTTCACACATTGGACCCTTAAATAAATTTAAAAACAAATTAAATGTTTTAAATACCTGTGGTAAAAGAAGGGCAGCTTTTGTTAAAAATGCTGCTAATTGTGGGCCACTAAGCGAAACATCGCCTGCTGCTTTAATTGGAGTCCTAAATTTAAAAAATTATTTATACAGATAAATTAATTATAATTATTGTGGGGTGAAAAAATTGACCAAATATGTATATACTAATATTTTTATGGAATTTTATGTTACGTAAAACCCCAGTAAATATGGAGAACAAACGTGTATCAAAAAATTTCAAAAAAGGGGAAATGTGCGCCAGACGTTTGGGTTTACTGTGGCGTTCCGAACGCCAGCACACTTTTTAACCTTTCTTGAACAAAAATTTTTTAATATTCAGAAGGCCAGGAAGCCAGCTTTCTTTTACTTTTAAAAATTCTCTCAAAATTTTTCTTTTCACCTCGGAGGAAAATATTTTTTTCTGGATATCCTCTGGACATATCCAACTATGGACACGTTACTTGAAAGGAAATAACATTTGTCTTATAAATATTAAATTTACCTATAATCTGTTGGAATTGGCTGTGTTGTCGGTCGACATTGTGGAACAATATTTGGAGGTGAAAAAATCATTGGTTGTTGGCCAATTGATTGTGTTGTAGCTTCTTCTCCCGTCATTATTGTAGTAATACTTGGCATTTCCGAAACAATTTGTTGTTGATTTAATAAATCTATTTGTCCGTTTATAACTGGATGATAAAATGGAGGGGCACAACTCTGTTGGTTGGGATGAGAAAGAATGGCTGTAGCACTCAGATCCTTAAAATAAAAATTTTTTATGTCCATTCAAAGTAAATAATAGCACAAATAATCCCCTTCTTGAAATAGCCCCCAACACTTACCGCTGTGGGAATCGATTGAAGAAATGGTGGTAAAGGTTGAGGCAAATTAGGAGCCATAGATTGTGAAGAATTAGCCGCTAATTGTTGTATATTGAGCTGAGAATGCGGAGCAGGAAGAATTACAGGAGGAGGAGGTATAGTCCCGTGAGAAGTATCTGTAAAAATAAAAAAAATAATTACTAAATGAAAAAAAAGTAATATTAAATGAAAAAATAATATGTAGGTATATTGTTTTAATAATTTAAAAGAGTAAAATAGTAAAAATAAAAATATATAGTAATAAAATTGGATATTGTTGGATGAATACTAAAAAAAGTAAGTGATATAATAATACTATATCAATGTAATTGAAAAAAAGGTTAATTATACGTTTAATTACCTAACATTTTTATGTAAGTCAAAGAAAACTGGTAATTAAAAGTAAATACTTAAATTTTTGTAAACAGGAAGGAGACGAGTAAACTAAATTTATTAGGTCACTCACGCTTTAAAAAAACGAATAAAATCAAAAATTAAAGGATTTTAAAGTAAAAAACCTGAATCATGAAGAGGACCGTAACCATGATTTTTTTCGTGGTTACGGGCCTGAGCATGGATTTAAAATTTAAAAATAAATTAATACAGTATTAATAGAACGCAGTCATTCTATTATAGAGAATACGGGATCTCTAGAAAATATAAACTTAAAATACCAGTAAAGTGTCTCATCGACATCGAAGGTGACGAACAATTTGCACTCGAAAGAAGTGATCCAGCAGAAGTTGGAGTGAATGCCGAACCTGGATGAGTCCCCAACCCTTGTACTAATTCTGGCTTTGTAAGCTGAGGAAAAGATCTTGATTGGTGAAAGTGGGAGTTATTATTAGGAGAAAGAGAAAAATCCTTTTCTGGCGTGTTGAAATTTGAACCCTGAAAAATCAAAAAAAAATTGAAAAATATTTAATTAGAAAATAAAAATACCTGAATTGATGGATCAACAGGCCTCCTAAGCTTGTGTAAATTTGTTCGACTATTTAAATTAGATTGATTAATTGTAGGTGGAGGGTCATTCCATCCAGGTGGCGCAGTTGAATTGTTTTGATTATTTTCAACATTTAGCGATGAAGACATTCAAAAATACAAAAAACAAAATCTGAAATCTTAAAGAAAATAAATTTATCAACGAAAATATTAGCAAATTAAAGGACAACTAACTTATCAGTCCAACCCGCAGATAAAAAATGACGATTTTGCTGATTTGGAGGGTAGACAATAACTATGTACTAAACAGAGAAAAATAACGAGAGAACATTAAAAAAAGTGAGAGAGTGAGAAAAAGACGTTGGGATAAATTGTCATTTTTTAATTTTTATTCAAATTTTTTAAGCCCAATGATCAATTTTTGTAAATTGGTTCAATTTTTTTACGATAGATTAGTAAATCTCTTAAAATCAGCTGGACATTTTTTATTCTAGAGATTCGACTTTTTTGTAATTGATATTTCTTTTTAGAATTATTTTTACATTCCTTTTTTATTCCTGAAACATATAATTTAATTTATTTTATAAATGGAGAATAGCAACATCAATCAAATAACTATTGGAACTTTAAATCGAATAAATAATCCGTATTCTGTTGGAAGTATTGAAGGACTCAATTTTATTGTAATTTTAATTTTTTTTATTTTAATTTTAAAAAAATTTTAGGCTTGTGCAATAGGATCTCATTTACATATTTTAACTGAAAGATTCGAAAAAATTCATGTTATTCATTGTGATATAAATAATTGTGAAATTACTGCAGTCAGTTGCTGTTCTGAATCTGGAAAGGTTTTGAATATTTTTTAAAAAATAAATTTATTTTTTAGATAGCAATTTGTTTCAACAAAGAAATTAAAATTTTTGAGCCAGTTCAAAGTGGACAGAAAGTCAAAAAATTAAATTCTTTTTTAATTTAACAAAGTTATTTTCAGATTTTTCCATATACATGGACAGAAGCCCAAAGTTGGAGTATGGAAGATAAAATTGGTGGAGTTCATTGGGTGCTAGAAGGATTTCGTTTACTTTTATTTGTTGGAACAGAACTTATACTTTATCAAGACAAAATTATTTCCTGTTCAGTTGCAATGAATAAGCCTGCTCAAACTAATGGAATTAAATTTACTTTAAATTCAGATGAAGTAATTTTTTGAATATTTTTTTTATTTTTTCAAAAAAAATATTTAAGGAAATTAAATGGGAAGTTATTTGGAGAATTAAATTAGCTAACAAAATTAAACACGTCCGTTTTTCAAACGACGGGACTTTATTTGCTACTTGTGGTTCTCATGATCCTTTTGTCAAAATTTGGTATCAACTTAAAGGTTTCTTTCAATTTTCTATATTTTCTAACATTTTATTTTCAAGATTCTTTTTCTTTTATTTATTTGCAACACCCTTCTTCTGTTTGTGGCTTTGAATGGAGACATTCTGGGGGATTTTTAATGCCTCGCAAATTAGTTCACAATGCTTTAATTACATGGTGTGAGGATAATACTGCGAGAATATGGAAAGAAGTCCAAAATGGGGATACAGGTCTTCAATACAATTTTATCAATGATATTCAACATGCAATTGTTCAACAAAATGGGCATCCTTCTGTTATTAAACCAAAGCATAATCCACATCGCGTTTCATTGCAGATGAGAAAGGCAAAAGCAAGGCTAATACAAAAATTTACTCACCATCAGTGAGTTTTTTATTTTTAATTAAATGTTTGAAAAATTTTGAATTTAATTGTTAAAAATTTCTACAAGGAAATTTATATTGCCATAGCAATTTCTCCTATATTCTTTAAATTCTTCCACATCCTTGCTTTTTTTTAAAATACTCTTTTCTTTATTTCCATTTTTTGAATTTTTTCATAGTTTTATGAATTTATTTGATTTTATTTTCTAGAACTGAAAAAAAGAAACCCGACATTCAAAATTCTACACAAGTTCCCGATTCATCCGTTCCAGTTCGTCCCTCTTCAATTGCTGATTTTTCTATTCCTAATTATGCCTCAGGAAATCCTTTAGTTTTTTGTTTAATTGCAACAATTAATGCAGAAGGTAATATTTGAAAATACATAATTAGTTTTTTACTTTTATAGATTGTCTACTTGTTCCTGCAATTAGTCGTGTTTCTGAAAACAAAGACGATGACGTGAAAAGAAAGCGACATTCAAGATTATCATTTTCTGTCCACTGGTTGAACAATAAGGAATATGATTTTGAAATGGGGACACAAAAAGTTTTGGCAGAAAATTTAGCCGAAAATGAATCTCGAGGTTTTTATTGTTAAAGAGTTTAAAAATTATTCTTTTTTAAAGATTTGTCTCCATGTCAAATTGTTTCAATGCATTCTTCAAGTAGTAGTGCTGGTTTTGCTGCTGACTTTTTAACTCCACATCCAGGAAGTCTATCACATCCGTTAACTTCCCCAAATTTGATTAAAACAAGTCAACAGGCTGCTGAATTGGTTTTGTTTTTTTTTAAATTTAATTAAAATTTTTATTTAGAATGATCCGATGTCAAATGATTCAATAGATCACAAATTGGAAGGTCTTTTAAGACATTGGGTTAAATCTTGTGATATTCTTTTTGCGATTCATCCAATGGATGGAAGCTTGTTAACATGGTTATATTTTATTTTTTCTTTCGTTATGGGATTTCGAAAAAAATTAGACTTCGCTTTTTTCATTAATGTTAAGAAATTAATTCATTTTAAGGACACTGGAATGGCTAGATGATTATTGGAAGCAACCTACAGTCAGTTTTGCTTCACGAATTCCAGAAGCATTTCCCCTATCCGATGCAGTTTCTCTATTATCTCCAATGAACACTTTGCGTCCATCACTTCACATACTTTTTGAATATTCTCACAAAAGAAAATCTGATATTGAAGAACAAAGTCATACTCAAGATTTTCAAGGTTTTTTCTTATATTTATTTTAAAATTTGAATATATTTTTTTAGCTTTTCTTGCTCGAAATAAGTATTTGGCTAAAAACAATGAAATTTATTTATTAACAAATCACCGAATTGGTACCTTAAATTTATGGCGGATACAAATAGAAAATACTCCAAATGAAAGTGTTATCCAACACCAAAATATTCCAATTGCTGCTTCTGTTACAAACGTTGTACATGGATATAGGATATGCAAACCTTCTAATGAGCCAACAAATTTGGAAATTCATAAAAATGAAGGACTTTTCGATGCTGCTTGCCTTTCTACTCCTCTCCTTCCTCAATATCATCCAACTCAACTGGTTGGAATGCTTAATGCTGGAAAGATACAAAGAGTCCGTGCTATACTTTTGAATGTTTTACACGCATTACGAGCAAATAAACAGGTTTTTTATATAATTTATGCTCTTTTGATATGACAATCCTCCATATGTTAAGTTGGGATTTTTCATTATACATAGTCTTCTCTTATTACTTAATTTTAAAGTTGTGTCTGGTTTACATTGACATTTATTTTTTAGGTCCGTAAATTGTCTTCAGTTCGTCGATATTCTTTCGGTCGCCAATCTTCTGTAGTGAAGCGACAAACTATTGATTATGATTTTGATCCGGATGTCAAACAGAGACGAAATAGTATTTCTGCTCGATCTTCTTTCAACAATAACGTCATGGAACAAAATCAAGTTGATTCAATTCCTTCTCTTCCTTTGTATGCTTTGTTGTTAGCTGATGAAGTTTCAGAAAATGCGACAAATTCTCAACAAAGCCAACTTGTTACAAGAAGTTCTTTCGACAAAAAGGAGGTTTTATTTATCTGGAATGTATGTATTAATTTTTCTCTTCAAGGAGACAAATGTTTATGATTCACTTTTCGCTTGAAGCATTACTGAAGAAGAAAACTTTAAATTTGATGAGGACGATTTTGATGATCAATCAGACGATGAAAGAAAAAATTCAGTCAGTCGTAGCCGAAAATTTTCTATCGGAAGTTTAAATGAAGCTAGTTTTTTGGTTTTAACAAATCCAGGTTCTCCACCTGCCGCTAAATTTACTGCAAATCACGCAAGATACTTGACTGATATTCTCACTCACACTCATTTACATGGTTATTATATTTTATTTTCCTTCTAACCTTTTGCTTTGCAGGTCTATCCAACACTGATCAAATGCATTTATTAGCTGTAGCGGATACGATAAGTCATTTTTCCAGTTCGGCAGTTGACAGATTGGCACATGCAAACGCTATGTTTGAACAAGAATCGTCAGCTAATGATAAGAATGAACAAACAACTTTTGCTTACACTACTGGAATGGAAACTGTAGACGAATGTGGATTGCGGTTTTTAATGGCTAAAAAACAATATGAATATTTACTTCGTTGTTTACCGCTTAAACAAAGAAAACAGCTGAAAACAAAGTTTGTTATATTTTTTATTTATTAGAAAATTTAACGTTTTTAAGTGGAATTTCTTCCGCATATGTAATTTGGGCATTCCATTCTGATACTGAAGCTGAATTGCTTAGTTCAATTCCTTGTGTTCAACGTCAACAAGAAAACTGGGATGAAATGCGTTCTTATGGTGTTGCTTGGTGGTTGAGGAACGTTGCTTCACTTCGAACTTGTATTGAAAGAGTTGCGAAGAATATTTTTCAAAAAGATCAAAATCCTTTGGATGCTGCTTTATTTTATTTAGCCATGAGGAAAAAGAATGTCTTGACACAACTCTTTAAGGTTTTTACAATTTCTATCAAATTTTAAGATTTAAATATTTTAGACTGTTAATGACACACGAATGTATGAATTCTTTAGAGAAGATTTTACTCAAGAGAAATGGAAGAAGGCTTCGCTTAAAAATGCTTTTATTTTAATGAGCAAACAACGCTTCCATGTAATTTATAATTTTATTTTTAGTTTATTTGTAATATTTTTTAGCATGCCGCAGCATTTTTTCTCTTGGCGGGGTCAATTAAAGATGCTCTTCAGGTTTTTGATTTTATATAAATATATGGATATTCTATTTTAAAGATAATCTTGGCTAGAATTCACGATTTACAATTGGCTATAGTCATTTTGCGTTTATATGAAGTTGAAACTGAAGCACAATTTGAACTTCTTTCAGAACTTCTTTGTAAAGAGGTACTTGGCTGTGAAGTAGAACACTTTAGACAATTGATAAAAAATTATGAGAGTAAGAAAACTGTTGAACCAATTACTTTTCCAAATGCAAGAGGGTTAAATTTAACATGTTTTGGGTTATATATTTTTATTTTTTAGAGATCCTTTTGAACGGTCAATGTCTCTTTGGATAATGAATGAATATGTTTTTTCTGTTGAAACATTTCTTGAAGAGGCAAATGATCCTAAGAGGATTAAAGATCGTGAAATAAAAATGGAAAGGACTAATAGCGACGATACTTTGGTTTTTACATTATTATATTTTTTAATTATTTTCATTTAAGAGACATTTTGAACCATCATTCCCGGATATATTCAATTTTTATTCATTTTTGAGGAGACATCCACTAGTGGTAAAGTAAAATATTGTGTAAAAATGAAATTAGAATCTTCTTAAAGATTCGCCAAAAATTAACACGTGCTGGTATTGCAATGACCACAACAGAACATTTTCTTACATGGACACGTAGAATTGGTTCAAGGCTTAGCGATAGTGAAAAACGTCTTTATTTGAGAACGGCAAATGCTCATTTGGATTCTGGTTGTCCGCTTTTATCGCTTGATGTTCTTACTTCGTTGCCCAAACAATTTGGGCAAGAGGCGGAATTAGAAGTAATACTGCCTGATGTGAATAGACCATCTCTTGATGAACAGGTTTATTAAATAGAAAATAAATAGTAAATTTATTTGAAGTTTTAGATTGATTGGTCTATGCCTGTTTCATCTAAATTAAATCAGGAAGAACGATTTACTTCAATTAAGCCAGAAATTAATGGAAATTCACTTAAGAAAGATTTGATTACAAAACATGAATTATCAACTTTAGATTGTTCATCTGAATTACAAGATTTGAAATTATTTTCGACATTGAGTATAATGACTGATGAACTTACAACATTAGCCAATGGAGATTATGAAATTCCTGGAGGCCAACTTCGTTTAAAGCTTTATTGTTGGTTGGAAAGGGAATGTGAAGTTCTTAAAAATATTTGCTATTCGCAAGAAGATGATTTTGAAGATGAAGTGAACGAAGATGAGGAAAACAGTCAATGTTCATCAAATATTATAAAGTAAGTTAAGTAAATATCTGATGAGCAAACTTCGGAATTGCTCATACCTATTAAATATTCTATAAATCTTAGAGTTTCACAGAAAATTTTATGTCTTTCTGCTGGGCTTATAAGAAAATTTTTATATAAGCTCTAAAGTAGAGCGCGGAATTTCGTTCCGTACCGTATTTCGTACCGTACTACCGATACGGAATACCGATAAATACCGATAAAATACGGCCGTAGTACGGGATACGGCCCGTATTACGGCAAGAATTTTACCGTACCGTATTCCGTACCGTATTACCGATACGGAATACCGATAAATACCGAAAAATACGGCCGTAGTACGGTACGGTCCGCGCTCTACTCTAAAGGGTTTAAGTTGTTTTGAAGTACTTTCCACCATTCCTTGATGATTTTTGAAATTTGAGAAATCAATAAAAATTTATAATTTCTTAAATATTTTAAGCAATGAAGAGCCGACAAGTTCGATTATTAAAGGAACAGATGAAGAATTACCACCTCTTCACGAAGCATTAGAACAAGACAGAATCGAATTAAAAGAACGTAAATCAAAAGCATTGAAACGAAGACTATGGTTAAAAAGACACCAAAAAATTTTACATTCTTTGGCTGCATATTGTGCCTTACACGGTAGCAGAAATATTCGTCTTATTGCGGTACAAATGGAATTGCTTTTGCTTTTAATGGAAGCTCAAAGAGATAAGGAAGGTATCAGAGAAATAATTAGAATATTTTTAAAATTTCTAAATTATAGTATCAGATATTAGAACTTTTCCTTTACTTGCTGCATCTCTTTCACCCAACGTTAACTCACCTATTTCTCCACTTCGTTTCATGTCTGAACAATGCGCTTCGTTGCTCTCTGCAATAAATCAGTTTGATAAAATTCCTCAAATTGATACTGATGTTTCTAAAGTATTTATTGCTTCTTCAAATTTTTTAAAATTAATTTTAAGGTTATGAAACTATTTTCACTTTGCCAAGGACTTTCATTTTGCGTCTACCAATCTCTTTCAAATATTGAATTATTTAATCAATTTCGACTATCTCCTCAAACGTTTTCTGGGTATATCTACAAAAATTAAAAAGTACTTTTTTGATATCCCGCCCTTGCTTAATTTTGACTTTAATTTTGAGAATAAATAATTGGGCGGGATATTTAAAAGTACCAAAATTAATAAATGAAGAAATAATTTTAATTTTCAGTCCATTAACACAACCTATTCGACGAACTAGTGTTTCGGTTACTGCAATTGATGAATTAGATGTTCGTAGTCAACCACAACATTGGCCTGGCGTTGATAGTTTAATTAAACTTTTGAATCGAGAAAGTTTGCTTGACAACACTCCTCCAAATTTACGTCTTCTACTTGTTGAATTCTTTTCAACAATTTTTCTTTCAACATTCCTCTATGCTTTCACTTTTTACGACTCTAGACTACTTTATCGTTTGGCCGCGCATCCTATTGGTAATCAAATGTTTGGAGAGATTTTTGGCGGTGGTGGAGAACATAAACTAAAAAGCGCCATCCCAGTACGTCCACCACGTAACGTTAAAATTAATTTCATCTAAAAAATAATCATATATTTTAGCCCCAAGAATTGGTGAAAGAACTGAAAGTAATTCTCAACTTCAACAACAAAATTCTAATCAAGTTGAGGAAATAGCTTTAATGAGAGCAAAATTACATGCTAAAGTGACTTTTAACTTTTATGTAGAACCATTCATTTTTTTGTTTTTAAAGGTATTTGCTCCCTCATCTAAAGCTACAATTAACCAAAAATTACCTTCCAAAACTCATCAAGGAGGTGCTTCAGAACAAATTATTCAATGTTGGATTCCCCCAAGAAAACACATTTTACAATATTTTACAGATAAAGTTGAATCAAAATATTAAAAATAAATTTGATTAATAAATTTAAATTATAAAGGTATTAAGTAACCAAATAGGAACAGTTGCAGATGCTATTTTTGATGATTATGATTCTGATCAAGAATCAAATGAAGAAAAGGAATTAGATGAAACTACAACTGACTATTTTAAATTCCAAAGTGATTTGGATGAATTGTCTTTAAATAAAGAAAGAATATATCCACATTGTTGTCATGATAGTTATGCGTGGCAATTAATTCGTTTGGCACTTTTAAGGCTTATAATTTCTAAAATTGAATGTTTTGTTGAGCTTGCTGGTTTTGATTTGAGAGGTTAAAAATGAAGAATAAATTATGTATTTAAAATTTTAATCTTTACAGAAGTTGCAAGAAGATTTCCAAAATTAGAACAGTCGATTACATGTCTTAATTTATGGGCTGCACAAATTGAAGCAAAGCTGGGAACAGATTTAACTGAATGTCCTCCTGATTTCCTGCCAAATATGCATGTTCAAGTAGGGTTTTTGAATATTTTTAAACAGAATCTTGACCTTTTTCTCTATTAAGGAACTTTCTGACAGTGAACAACATCAAAATCACGGGAAACCTGTTGCTGCAACACCAACACTAAATAAATACCACAATTTATTGTTAGAACATGGAAACACTCCATTTGAATATGATGAAACTGGTGTAAAGCCTGTTAGACGTTTATGGATTCAGCTTGTTCATCAAGAGAGTTTAATGCCTCTTTTTGTCCGTTTTATTTTTGGGAAAGTATGTTTGTTAGTTTATAATTTATAAATATTTGTTTTTTCAAAGGAAAAAACAAAATCTCTAAGTTCGTTCACTGATGGAAGCGTCGAAAGCCGTTGTGGACGTCAAGCAGCCCCTAAAAATATTATCTCACAATTTCTTAAAATATTGAATTAATATACCTGTCTCTTGTCACTTTACCTATAAAATTAATTTCTTATATATTTTTCCAGTTATATTAAAAAATTATGACCGTTAAGGAGATTATTCTTTTCAGAAATACACTTCGACGCTAAAAGATGCCCCTACCTTCATTTTTAGATTAGTTTTTGGTTAACATTAAGGCTTGTATGACTTTTCTGATTTGAGTTACCTCACAGTAAAGAATTTAAATCATGAAGAAATCGTTAAATAAAAGTTAATTTTTTTTGTAATAGACATGAAGTTTCGGGTCTTTATTGTAGTATACCAATTCCCTAGTGATTTTTGGAGTTCCTTGATTCATCTATTGAAGGTCAAAAATAAAAACTGAGTTAATCCCCACTTTGGTAAAATACCAGATCTAGAAATAAGATTAGGCATATCTTTTTAACGTGGAGTGTATAATAAATTAACCTCAAATACTTAATATTATACTATTTCACATTCACTTTTATTATGGAAGAAATATACATGGTACATTTGTATTTAAATAATACTGAGAGATTTTTATTTGTTAAATTTTTAGCAATATTAAAATATAAATCTGGATATATTTTTTAATAAATTCAAAGTCATAAATTAAAATAAAAATTACATTAAGTAATTATTTTGTTTTATTAAAATTAACAATTGTAACACAAAAATGAAAAAATAGGTGAATATCTTTTGTGTTTTAACCCTTTTCATTTGGAAATCTGGCAATCGTTTGATTCTGAATCGACCGTAATTTTTCTGTCCATTCCTAAAAGAATATTTCTAAATTCTCCTTGTAAAAAAGAATTTAACATACCAAAGTTAATTGTGAAGTTAATGAATCTATTAATCTGCATATACTTTCATTGTAAACACTTAAAGGTTCTGCATTTGTTGTCTTATAAAGAGCCGGGACTCTTCTTGTTTTTTCATGTCCTAAAAATTCTCGATATCTCCTCATTTCATCTGTTAAATCATCCAATCTCCGATTTATAGCTTCTAGACTTTTACGGGAATTGTCGCATTCCTATAAATATATTTATTTTAAGAAAAATATGTAAAAGTTTATTAAAAAAGATAAGTAGAATCTTAGTGAAAATTCAATTTTTGTCTCGTTAAGCAAAATTTCTATTGTTTTGCTTTTACTGAATAAAAATCTAATTTCTTTTACGCAACACTAAAAAAGAATTTAATATAAAGTAATATGTACATAGTATGTTTAATCGAAAACAAAGGGAAATCCGTATTTGTTTTAAGTTTGTGAAAACGTCACGAATCATTTTCAATAATCAAGATAACATAGATAATTTCATCAATCAACTAACTTTTGTGATCCTATCAATTTGTTTTATCTGTTCCTCAATTGTCTGAGTGCCTGTTGGACCATTACATAATGGAAGTTGACCACTACTGCTAGATGGACCGATAGATGTAGAAGCACCATAATTTGTGGCAAGTCCACCACTACCGGCAGCAGTTGCTCTTCCACCACTACTGCTTGAACCCGGCATTGGTTGGATATTGCTTTCAGTTATTCCTCTCTCGTGTTGCTCTCTCTGGCGTGCAAGAATGCACTCCTCACAAGCACAGGCTTTAGTGCTGCTGATGGCGTTTAGTCTATCCAGTTCGAGCCTAGATGTTTGCACAAATAATGGAGGAGATTCTTGTTTAGTGGGTGTTGGTGGAACCTTTAAAGAAGAAAAGTACAAGAATATCTTTTGAGGGAAATCACGTAGATATTTCCACAAAATTATACAAAAAATCAAACCGAAGGGGAAACAATTCGGGTATCAGTGTTTCGCTGTTTTAACGTTTCTTCAGTACTACAACTACTGCTAACAATAGTAGTTGTTCTCTTGCAGCAACAATTTCCACAATTAGAGCTGCAACAACAAGATGAAGTAGAAGAACAACTTTTTAATTCTTTAACAATAATTTTCTCTTCAAAAAATAATTTTTGTTCTTCAGAAACTTCAACGTTTTCTAATAAGCTATTTAATGATGATTGAAGAGAATGTGTTCCTTTACCACAACTCTGCGCACTGTAAAAGCTATTTGTATTAGAACTTTCTTGACTGTCGCTGCTGTTGACACTTCGACAAATTGGTGGAGAATTGGCAATTATTAAAGAGGGAGAAGGCTCGTTTGAGGGGGTTTTGTGGGACAGATTGTTGTTTTTAATTTGGAGATTTGTAATTCTTTTGAATATTTATCGAATAGGTAGTAAATAAATATTTGTAGTTAAATGATTGATTAGTTGACAGCTGGCATTGTTAACTATTACTAAAAGAAAAAATAATAATTATTATTTTGTGACAATCGTCGATAATTTTTTTATTGTTTTAAAGAACAAAACAATATATTGGAAGAAGAATACATGTAAACGTAAATAGTTAACATCCCTCATATACAATATTAGGGTTGGGGGCCCGATCCGGCCCAGTCCGAGAGATCGAGTCGGGCTTTGAATTTTGGCACGAAAAAGACTCGGTCGGGCCGGCCCGAAAAAATGACTCGAACGTCGGCTCGACTCGAAAACCCCAACCCTATACAATATACATCCCCTTATTAAACCCAACTTATGAAATTCCTGTATAGTTAATTAGCATTAACAAAAGAATTTCAAAAATTAATGCCAAATTCAATAAATTCTTCTCATTAATGGCCACAGAATTTTCATTGTAAATATATAAATCCATTTTTGCCATAATGGGAAAATAAAATGTATAATGGAGAAATGGTTTATATTTTTGCTTTTACTAGAAAAGTCAATGTGAAAGAATTTAAGAGAAAAAAGTGAATGACTTGGAGAGGAAAGCTTAAAAAGCTGAAAGAAAAAAAATATGTCCCTCATTGGAGAAAGCCACAAAATGCATAAAACTGCGACGGCGCAAATAGCAAGACAAAAGAAAAATAGGCGAGATGGAAAGAAAACTAAAAAAAAAAAGGGGGGGGGGATTTGTGGCCTTATACCGCTTTAAAAGTCAATGGGAGTTGAAACATAGGTTTAAAGAAGGGAAGGGAGTAGTTAGTTATAAAACAGAAAAAAAGATTTTGAAATACTGAGGGGGGGTATTTCACTTAATGGACAATTTGTCGAATAAAAATTTGTAGAAAGACGTACTTGGAAAGTATATTTTTGGTAAAACATAACAAAAAGTTAAAATGAAAATTAATTTATCTAAACTGTTTATCAGTTAAGTCAGTTATTTTTCAGTGAAGTGCTACAACATGAGATAAGGAAGTAAAAAAGAGGAAAGAAAAGGTAGTGGAGATTAACTATTCTGCTCTTCTTCCGTTTTAAATCCACTCTAGATTCTTTATATATTCCTTGACTGTGAGAGAAGAAATAAATATGTAGTATAATGGCTACCCAATGTATATTTTTGGCAAGTATTTTGACTTTGAGAAAAAAAACTATCGGGAATTTGCTGCTATTTTTTCACCACTGACGCCCTTAAAATTTTACTCGTTTTCCTTTGGCATTTTCTAGTTCTGGATAGGAGATATTAAGAGAAGTTACAAAAAAAGGTTTCGTTCTTCTGTTATTTTTTTCTTCTTCAACAGACATTATTTTTCTTTTATTCTTTTTAAAATTGCAAAAATAATTTACAAAACATATAATTTATAAAATAATTAATTTATATAATTAATCTAAAATAATTTACAATTAAATAATACATATTTATAATGATAAGAATTTAGTCTTTTTTAAATTTATGGTTAGGTAGAAAGTAAGAATTAGTAAGAATTTAGAATAAATTTAGTATAAATTAAATGTAAATTATAAAATAAATAATAAATAAAAATTAGGTAAATATATTCTAAATGAGAAAATGATGTTATTTATTTAAGAACAGAGGATTTGAAAGGCGATATTATTATTATAAAGCTTAAACCTTTACAAAAAAATAAAAGAAAAAACAACGCCGCCAGGCAACAGCTTATTTTAAAAGCTTTATTTGAGGGAAAGAAAAAAGGAAATGAAAAAAGGGGAAAATAAAATAAATAAAAAAATAAATATTAAAAAAGAAAAAGGCACAAATAAATTGATTGGAAATAAAATAAATAATGTAAAAAAATTTTTTGAAAGATAATTTTATTTATTTTTGTTGCCTTTTTAAGTTAATATATGAGAGAAAGAGTTGGAAATAATAAATGAAAATAAAATGTTGTTATTTTAAAAATATTGAAAATTAAATTAATCTTTTTTTCTAAATAGTAGTTACCGTAAATGTTGAAATAATTAGCCTCTCTCAAATAATTACCCCCTAGTTTTTAAGTAGACTTTAAAAATATTTTAAAAATTATAATAAGATCTAATATAAAAAAATAAATCAACTTCGCCTCAATTAGTCTGGCACATTCTCCCTAATAATTGCCCTCTCCAGTTAGAGATTGAAAAAATAATTACCCAAGGTAATTTCAGCATTTACGGTAAATAAGTTAAACACAAACTGTACTTAATTATTTACAATCGTAAATATTTTAACAAATTTATTCTCGTTTTCAAAAAATATGTAAAAACATATATGTAAATATTTTAATTAGGAGAAGAAATATAAAAATACTTGTAGATTAATTAGCTTTTCTTTTTTAGATAAACATATGTACTTCTTAAAAGACGGAATAAAAACTTAATTGTTTATATAAAGTATTGGCTAAAAATAAAATAAAAAAAATAAATTTAAATTGTTTTTAAAATATTTTAGAACATTTAATAAATTCTTTAAAATAAAAGGAAATTTTAAGGAATTGTCAAAACAATTGCAAACTTTTTTGGCCTTAAAGCTTTTATTTTTATTTTTAATTTTTTTCATATATTGCTTAGAAAACTTCTTAAAAGCTTTTTAAATATAAAAATAATTTTTTAAAAGCTTAAATATTTTTTAGTTCTGAACATTTAAATTTTTAATATGTACTACATAATTTTTAAGGAATATTTTTAAAAATAAAAATATGTAAAATAATTTTAATTTAATTTTTATATTTAAATGAGTAAAAAATCATTTACCTATTGGATATATAAATACATATTTCCCAATATCACAGCCGATCTCTAGTTATCTATAAAATTTTTTATATTCCATAGCCTTAAGAAAATATTTTTTTCGAAACTCAAAAACCAATTAAATCAAAATGTATAAAGATTTACAGAGGCGGAAATTAACTTAAGACCGGTATAAATTGCTATCTAATTCCTTTCATCCTTGTTTTTTAATATTAAGATCTGCCAGATCGGATAAGGATGAAAGGAATTACATAACAATTTATACCGGTCTTAAGTTAATTTCCGCCACTGTAAATATTAAAAGATTTCATTTAGTAATTTATTTTCTAAAACATTATTCCCCATATTTCCTTTATGACAAAATATTTTATACATTTATTAATTTTTATTTTATTAATTTTTAATTTCGACTAAATTTTCTTTTTTTTCTTACATATTTTAAATTCTTAATTTGTAAGGGTCACTAATTCCATTTTTTACTATTTTATTAGAAAAATTTCTCTAAAAGATAAGTCCTTCAATTTTATAGGAGAAGCCTTCTTTTGGCATTTTTCTTTCTCCAAATGGATTTTTTCTTTAAATTATTTTTATTTTCTTTTTGGCCTTGGCATTTTTTTCTGTTTTTTCTTTCTATATACTCGCTCTTTTTTGCCATTTTTTCTTCTTTTCTCAACCACTTGTCCCTTCAATAGAGGAAAGATTCTCTGTGTAATTATGAAAATTTTGTTTAGCGGTGTCGGGAATGAAAAGCATTTTTTTCTTCTCTCTCGCTCTTGTCGGCACTCTTTTTTCTTTACTACTTTTTTAAGTAAGGGAAAGAGTAAAAAGTCGGGAGAGTTAGCCTCCTTTCCTTCTAAAAATACAAGGAAGGATTTTTGGCTTTTCCCGTTTTTGCTTGCTTACTTTTTGTGTCCACTAAACTCTAAACATAGTCCACTCATTTGTCCATTGTATGGAGTGAGAAAAGGACTTGGAAATTAGCTTTTCCTCATTTTCTAGTTAATATATTTTTAATTTAAAAATAAATTTTTATTAAAAAGTTTTTTTGCTTTTTTAATTTAAAAAAATTCTAATTTAGATATTCTGACGCTTTCAACCTCAAAAATTTTTTTAAAATTCAAATCTTACTTTTCCCTCACAATTCTTTTTATTCACCAGATAATTCATATTTTTTTCATAAATTTTCATAAATTTTCAATAATTTAATTTTAAAAAGAAAACAAATAATTAATTTTTACAACTTTGCGCATTTATTATTCTTTTTTTCCTTATTTTCTTTCCTTTCTTTCCTCTTCGTTTTTATATTTTTTAAGCTTGCTCATCTGGCTCTCATTTTCTTAAATAATAAATAAATATATCAATATTCCTGTAAAAATAACCCAATGCAGCTGGCAAAATGGACATTAAAATTGAAAGGAAACAAAAGCATCCTTTTATTTTTTTAAATAAATAAATAATATTAATAATTTTTTTGTTAAAATAATCTTATTAGTTGGTTAATTTAAAAATTACTTATAGTAAATATTTAATTTTATAAAAGTTATTTAATTACATATATTTTCCTTATTAATTTTGGTGATTAAAATAAAAGAAAACTACCTACCGTTTATGCCCCCCCTTTCTCAAATAATTATTCCGTCTAGCGAGAGGTTGAAAGAATAATTACCCAGGGTAATTATTCAAGCATACATATACGTTAATTTTATTTTTGCTGTTTTGTGCTTTGTGATTTTTTTATTATTTAAGTACTAAGGTTTTAAATGTAAAATAGTCTTATTTATTAAGTTTTTCTTTAATCAAAAATCAAAAATTAAAAAAAACCCCAAACTAAAAATAATTTAAAATCTACTTAATTTTTATTTGAATTTAAAATTACAAATAAAAAAAGGAGGGAAAGAAGGAGGTTTTTGTTTAAAACTAGGTCAATCCCTCATTCATTATTTATTTACCTCTGTTCCTTGCGTAATCAGCTTTTCTTCTCCCTCCATCATTTTTTAGATGTTCAAAATAAATAAATAAAAATTTATCCCTCTGGCGCCGTTCTTCCCTTTACTTTTCCCAAAAAGTTTAAAAAATATTTTAAAATAATTTTATTTGTAAAGGATTATATACAAGAAATATTTTTTACTGAATTTAAAAAAAAAACTTTATTTCTTTTTTAAATTTACAATATTTATGTCTCTACATTTTTTTAAAAATAAGGCTTTGTTATTTTTTTCCTAATTTTTATCGTTTCCAGCTTAACGTTCTTTTTCAAAAACCTTTTAGTTTTATATGAATAAAGGGAACTTTAATACATATTATTTTTTATTTTAATTTTTGTATTAGACAAATATTTTTTTAATAAATTTATTTTGTCCCTTTTTAATTATTAATTTAATAATTAGGTATTTAAATATTCTTTATTAAAAATCTCTTGGGGTCATCAAAATGACACATTTGATTATATCTGCATTTATTCCTCTTTTTCTGGACACTAAACAATCTAATTGGCCATAATTTTAAAAATCCTTTCCTAAATTTTCTCTCAATTTTCATTTTTAAATTGTCTCGCTTTACATTTTTTATATTGGCTCTTCCTTTCATTAATTCTCGAAGTGGACAACAAAAGGATAATAACTCCTCTTTTTTTTCACTTTTCTCGAAGGGGGGGGGGGGGGGGGGGGTAAAAAGTACAAAGAAGAAGAAGAGGTCATTGCTTTATTACCATTTTTCACGCCCTTTGGTTTTTGTCCCCAATACTTTGTCCCTAATATACCTCCATTCTACATATTTACTTTAAAATAATGAGAGAATATCCAAGTCGGAGAAATGTCAAAAAAAGAATAAACAGGCGCTTCTCTCTTAATATTTTATTAAAAACTTTCAACTATTGACCATTCAACCCTTAGGGATTGCTTCTTCCAATTTGTGTTTGCAATTTGAGACTTTTTATGTATTAAATAGTTTGTCAATTTAAAGAGTTTTTTAAAATTTATCTTTAAATTTATTTACTGCGCATTTATTTGACATACTCGTTTCAAACTTGGAGGAGACTTTAAACTAGCCTTTGGCCAATTCCACATTCCTCTCTCTTCTAATCCAAAAAGTATTGCGCATCCTTTAAGGGAGAGAAAGCTCTTCTTTTTAAAGCATTTCTCTGCTTAAATAAAATTCCCAGGCTTTAGGCCAAACACTAATCCTGTTATTTTCTAGTTGAGTTATTTTGCTTTTTAAATTTTTCTGTTTATTATTGAAAATATTGGAATATTAGATGTCAGATTTTTATAAAATTGGCACTTGGAATATGCAAATATATTTTTAAATTTAAGTTGTATTTATTGAATATATTCCTTATAAATAAATAAATTATAATACTAAAAACCACTACTTTTTAAATTTTTAGAAATTTCACTTTTAATTTTAATTTAATGGATAAAATTAGGAAAAAATTAGGGATGTTAAATAGCAAAAGTTTAGCCACCGGACCAGATTCAAACCTACGACAATGCTTTCCCTTTTATCCTTTTTGGTCGTTTAACCCCCGCCTAAGCGTTTTAAATGCTCTAGTTGAATCATCCTTACATTAAACTGACCACAAGATTTTTAATCCCATTTTTAATGACCTCTCCTATCTAGGGTTTATTACTTAAAGTCTTAAATATTGTCTAGACCAAATTTCTTCTTTAATTTTATTGTTTACTTTCGCTATTACCTGTTTTTTAAAGATTTAAAAAAATATTTTTATCCCTTATCGTTTTTTTTCTGTTGGTCAGCATTGGCTACATTTTTCACACAAACAAAACTAAAATAATATTTTACCTCTCTTGCTGTTTCAAACTCTTAAAAAATTGGAAACAAAAGCTTTTACTCTTCTCTATTTATTTACATTTTTAGAAATCCCTTTTTATTTTTAGAATTTTCCCATAAAATCTAAATAAATATTCTCCCCTTTTTTTGAAATTTTAGAAATTAAATCTTTGGTTATTTTTGCAAAAAAATATTTAAAACTTTTTATTTTTCAGATTTAATTTTAATAATAATTAAATATTAAATTAACAACATTTACATAAAAAAATTAAAAGTAATGCCTAAATTCTTTTTCCAAATTAGTCCAAATTCTTTATTATCGGTGAGTTGATTTGTTCTTTACTTAATCCCTCAATTATTTTCTCTCTCAGATTTGGTACTGCATAATTTGTTCACTTCTCCAAGGCTGGCTTATTTTTCTTGGATTTGAACGTTATCGTTTATATACAGAAATACAATGGCCGACAGGCTCATTTCCACGTTTATGGCTAACAATATTTATTTCTGTTTTGGGGGCTTGTATACCTTTAATTGCTCTTTTCCTCGTCTCGAGCCTGATTAAAGTTGGAAATTTGGCAAATGATAATGACAAATTGGGGGCACGTCCGAGGAGAGTAATTGAACTTGTTAAAGGAGGAAAGGGACAGAATGCACAAAGAAAAAGGAGAAAATTTTGTAGGTTTTTTTGAAAAAAAGTTTTTCTGATAATTATGAGGGAACTTGGACGTAGAAATTTTATTTGATGGCAAGGGGGTTGTAGAAGAAATTGAAATGCTTCAAATCTTTTCAATTACGAGTTCGTCTCGTTTGATAATAATTCTTTCTTTTAAAGCTTATCGTCTTTGCCATTGTATACGTTCTATATGGACTCACGGACCCCCTCCAGCACAGTCTTTACATTTACTTATTGCTTTATTACAATTATTTGCACATCAAACAATGCTTGCACAATTGTATCGTTATGGTTTTATAAATTCTGGTAAGTTTAATTTTTTTGATAGAGAGAAAAAAATATTTTATTAGAAGAAAGAGTTATATTAAAATTAACAAAATTAAATGGTGCCTCAAAGTGCCATTCATTTTTATTTTCTCTAAATACTAAACAAGTAAATTAATTAAACTTTAAATTCCTTTACATGCTTTTTAAAATAAAAATATTTGGAGGGAGTTACAATCCTTCCCTATATTGCAACATAAATTAAAAGTGACAAATACTTTTTATAAAAAATTGATAGGTTTTGGAAGAGAAAATAAATAAGATCTAAAATTTATTGGTATAATAAAATATGAAAAGAAAAATTTTTAAAGAAAAGTTGAAAATGGAAAAAAGAAAAATTTTTCTGTGTCCTTTTTAATTTTAAAGTTAGATAACAATGATAAAAAATTCTTTTTTTAAGGAGATTTTTTAAATTCTGAATTTGACTTTGCATTCCAAAGAGCACGCCAACTCGCTACAAACCTTCCAATGGGGGAAACAAGACTTCAATCATTTAAAATAACTTCTGACGAATTATCAGCTTCTCCTTTAGCTCCAAATCTTTTGCCAAGTTTAAGGAATTTATTTCTTTCTAAAAAATAATTTAATTTAAAGTTTTGATGCATGCCCGTTTATTTGGTATTCCTTTAGAATTTACAAATCTTCTCGTAGCATTAATTGCTTTCTCAACAACATATCCAGCTGTATTTTGGAGGGCTAGCCGAGCATTTTCGATACTTTTTTCAATCTTTTTATTTGTTCAAAGTGCAAATATTATGTGGACATATTTTGGATTTTCTATTTTATTTAGAATTCAAGAAACTAATTTTTATGGGCCAAGACCTGTGGGAATTGGTTTGTTTATATATTAATTAAGTGGATTGGGAGGTGGGTCGGAATTCCGATTTCCGACGTTTTTTTCCTTCCGATTTCCGACACCTCTGACTGTTCCAACCCACTTCTGGATTGGAGCTCCAAAGTTGTCTCTTTTCTTTGCCTAAACAAAAAATTTTCAAGTTTGAATCCCAATCAAAATTGAATGTTAAATCAGTTCTGATCAAACCTGAATCGCCCCACTTTTCTTTATTTCCATATGATTATTATTTTTCTTTATATTAGTTTTTTTAAACTAAACATTAATTATTTATTTTAGGTCAACATTTATGGGCACTTCGTTCACTTCCTTTTCTCTTCCATCCTCTAGCATTAATAGCAACTTTCTGGCTTGTTTTAGCATTAATGCAATTAGCACCTATAGCCCTATATTCTTTTGGTTATGCTAAATTTACTTCAAGTCAATCAAAATTGAGACATTTAAATCGTTGTCGACGTTCAAATCCCTCTTTTGGAAGATCTCCACAAATAAAAACAAATTATGAACCTTGTATGCAAGCTGAAGATATTGTTATTTCTTCAACTTTTTGTGATGGATTAACTCCACACGTTTTTTCTATTACTTTATTGTTGTTGGTAGCAGCCGTTAAAGCGCCTGCTTTTTATGCTATAGGACTTTTATATTATGTAAATTTTTTGATTAATTAAAATGACGTTTTGATTGATCAAATGATAAAGTTATTGGAAGTTTAAAAATAAAATTTTTTAGAAAGAAGAAAAACCTTTCCTTCTTTGTTGTCTAATGGCCGATTTGGTTTACATGTTTGTTTGGGTATTGCTTTGGTGTATACTTACAATTAAATGTCTTTGGCCTTTCCGTGTTCATTACGAAGTTCAAGAATTAATTTCTCTCCAAGATGCGCATAAAATTTCTGATGGAAAGGATTGCGAGAAGCGAAGTCCGAACGAACTTAAAAATGCCCTTCTACTCGTACATGGAGATAATGTAAATAATTGTTTTTGAAGGGAACGATAGATAATATATTTGGGTTAAGTAAAGTTTAAGTATTGTCTTCAATAAGGGACTAGTGAGAACTGATTAAGTTCGATGGGCGATTAACGTGTATTTATTAAAAACATTTTACATATTTCTCCTTACAGATGTTCCTCACAGACGATCCTGTAGCCAAACCTTCAATAATGCGTCAAGTAATAAATAATTGCTCTTCCAATGATTTTCCTCTTTGGCTCCGTTCTGGAGCTCAAATGGCCCCTGCCATAACTACAACTGCTTCTACTTCACTTCCTGGAAGCTATTCACTTCAGAGGCGAACGTTTACTTCTCAACATACTCCAGATTTGGGGCACAGACATCAACCTTTAAAACACTTCCAATCACTTCAACAACCACAACATTTTGGATTAGAACCGAGATCTCCTGATTCATCACCAGTTCCATTGGCCGCTCCACCTTATCAACGAGTAGGAGGTTCTCTTCCGCCTTTGATTGGAGGGATTGATGAAGGAAGGTTGATGAAGGAACAAATGACAACAAATAATGCTGTTTGCACTCTTCAGGTTGGAAAAAATTATTGGTGGTTTTGGCATTTTTGTTGAATAATTTTTATTTAAATACCTAGGTGGGTTTGTCGGAAGTTTCAAACTTAAGACATGAAATTCATTCCTAGCCTCAGAATGAACATTTTAAATAAATTTAATAAAATTTTTACATAGCAAAGACAAAGAGACAACGAATATGCTACTTATAGGGCTTCATTATTACCACAACAAAATTATCTCCATTATCAAAACAATTCTCAAAATCAACAACAAGGCACTTTAACTAGAAGTTTTAATAGTACTTCCCAACAGCCCCAACCTTCTCCAATGATTAATAGAGCAAATCTTCCAATAAATCCAAATATAAATAATTTACAATGCCCAACATCCACAGAAAGTTATGCTACAATTCAAAGACGTTGTTCAAAAACAAGCATTGCATCTTCTGGATTGACTACAGCTGCACAACATATTCCTTCTTTAGTTAATAATTCTTCTTCCCCAAATCAAAATCGTTCTTCTAATCGTTCAAATTCTTTGGCACAATCAGAATATAAACAAAAACAAACAAATTTAAGTGAACCACCACAAATTATGGCTGTTCTTAAACAACAAAATAACAATGAAAATGGATATAATACACAAAAAAGATATGGAACTTTAACTAAAAGAAATGGAGGAGGAGGAGGAGATGGGGTTAATAATACTTTAAGAATTTATGATGGAGTACATCCTGTTAGTTTTTAAATGTTTTAGTTTGGGTATATTCCGGGAGAATAACGAGTAGACCTTCTTCCCCCGAAACTCCAACCCCCGATGAATTTCTAGTCAAAACCCCGACCCAAACCCCGAAGGCTCTACCCCGGCAAACCTCGATCCCCGACGATCCCGCCCCCGAAGGCTCGGGGTGCTACTTTAGAGAATATTTATAATTAATTAAAAATATTTTCTTAAAGCAAAGAATAGCTCTCTCATTGAGTACAACAAATAATCAATCAACTATTGATAAAAACCAACAACACCAATATCAAAAACAAACACAAAACACTTTAACTTTTGGGGATAATTGGCAATCTAAAATTGAAGCAACAGGGGGAGGATCTAGTTTGAATGGAACGGGGACTCCTTCTGGATCGGTTTGTTAATAAATTAGATTTTCGAGTCAATTTCCAAAATGTAGCTGCAAACAAAACCGCTCACACAATATAACACCACATTGTTTATATAACCCTACTTATCACTAATTTTATTGTTAGAAGGGTGGGAATTATAATAACAATTGCAATTTTTCTAATCAAAAAATAATATTTTTTTTAGATAACATTAGGCAGCAGTAATAGCCGTGTTGGAAGTGCAGCAAGTAGCAGTACAACCTCTCAAGCAACATTTGAAGCAGTTGATGGGTATAGAAATACTTCGTTTGGAAATGATTATGGGACTTTAACTAGAAAAGAAATAAATAATGGAAATGAAATTAAACAAAAAGGAGGAGAAGGAGGGGGAAATTTAGCTTTAGAAGCTGCCCAATGGAAAAGATCAAAACCTACAATTGTTACTAATAATAAAAATTCTGACTTTGCTACTAGTGTAGTATAATTAATTAATTAATTAATGATTTTAAAAATAAGACTTTGCGGGTATTTTTCACTTTTTTTATAAATAAATAGATGAGAAAATAATTTGTATTAAAGATATAAATAATTTTTTAAAAACTTTTTTCTCAACTCAAAATATTTTTTTAAATTTTAAGATCTCTTTTATTTCAACAAAATAATTTTTTCTCAGAGATTTATGTAAAATTATATTTTTTGTTAAATTAATTTTTGAATTTATTAAAACATTTTTTGATAAAACATTAGTAGTATAGGTAACTTTTTAAATTTGTCACTACGTTTATAAAACACTTTGGAAAATTTTTCGTCGAAAAGTGTTTTAAAAATGGAGTATATACTACTGACAGGATTGATGCAATTCTAAAATTTTTATTATCCATATTGGAGGTTGGGAAAGTGAATAGAAACGTTGTCGCTTAAACATACATATCTCTTTCGATTTTTCTATTAATACCAAGTACGAGAAAATACTCGTACTTTCTGCTTGTACCTCGTACCTCGTCCATTTTTGACCTTGTCTCGTACCTCGTACCACCCCAATTTTTTTTGCTCGTACTCGTACTTCTTACTAAGTACGAGGTGCGAGTACGAATTTTGGTACGAGCGTCCAAGCATGGTTGAAAAATGACAGATAAATAATTTACAGAAAAATGACAGATAATAATTTATGACCACTAAATAATTAACATTAAAAAGAAAAAGCGTTGACAGATACTTGGAAATCCGAACCGAAGATTTTGGATATCCGGTCTTTTTTGGATCAACCAACCTTAATTAAGAAACCAAAAGAAAACAGAAATTTTAGAAAAGATAGAAATAGGAAAAATATTTTACAAATTACATGAGAAAAATAGGTGTATGTAAATATTTCATTGAATAATTACTATGGGTAAACTTTCGATATAGGGACAATTAATCGAGGAAGGGAAAATGATAGAGGTTATACAGTATTTATTCTTAGAAGTCATATTCATTTTTAATCCCTTCTTTCCAATAATTTTTCTAAAATATCTGAATTTCTAAAGTGAATTACATCCATTGAATAATATTTAATTGTGTGTGAAAGCATTAACCTTGTAGTATAATCATTTTCAATACTTCGATTAATTAAACGAAAACATTCATCCAATCGCTGAGCCCCTTCAATTGAACCTAATCTTTGTTGATTATATCGAAGTAAAATATTTGTGTATTTAACAGATTTGTTATAAAGTAATTCTTTTCCTTCGACAGACAAGCCCTCAGCATCTTTTTTGAAAAATATTAAAGTTATTTTAATTAAAATTTTAAGAAATTGAAATGATAAGAGGCATGTTAAGGCGCGAGCGTATACCATAGCATTCGCTCTACTATAGCCATAAACCCTTATTTCAAATTAAAGTTTTACCCGATTTTGTAAAAATAATAGCTATTAACAAAGCAAATTCAACGCTTGTTAATGTAGCACGTTTGAAGTGAACGACAGATTTTGTAAATGAATAATCTGCCCATTTGAGCATCCTAAAATTAAAAAAATATTTCAATCAGAAATTTGTTTCAATTATTTTATAAGGGATCGGCAAATTTCCACCCCTTTCGTTTTTTTAGATAGATTTTGGCATACACTAGACTTTAGTATGGCCAAAAAAAACACTGTAAATTTGCCAGACCGTGTAGAATTTTATTAATAAAATTAGAATATCGAGTAAAATTATTAGAAAAATATTTACTTTTCATCATGTAAAAATACATCATTATTCATAATAGCAAAAGCAGGCCCAACACAATCTTTACGTGCCCAAGTTTCAAAGCCTAATTCCCAAGCTAGGTAGGTGTTTGTAAATGAAATAAACAAATGGCAAATCTGCCTTAGATGTGCAATCTATTTTATAAAAAGAAAAATAATTTTTTTTTACAAATTATCCGAAAATATACTCATTGTTAAAGAGCTTTCCGAATAAAATTAGTAAAAAACCCAAGGAAGGATAATAAGTTGAGAGGAAAGTTAGGCAAATACAAAATACCTATAAATTGCTCTAATTACCTGATCAGATAAAGTCAATTTTTCAAAAACAGGCAAAGATCTAGCTATACCAACACACAAAAGTCTGTCAACTAAAAAATTTTTGTGCCAGCGTTTATTAAGCATTCCATTATTTTCTAAAAAAGCTTTCCAACTTTTTAATTCATCAAAAGGTATTGGAGATGTATTTGGCTTTAAAACAAAATTAATTTTTATTAAAAATTAAATTAAAATTTACCGAAAAAGTCCCAGTTAAACGAAAAATATTAAAATTAGATGAAATTATTTCTTCAAACAAAATCGGGCCTTTAAGGAATATATCATCCAAATCATTAAATGCATGCATAATACGTTTTTTAGCTTCAATGATGGGTAAAGTTGAGTTTATCTGTTGTAGATCTTTGATGGTTGTGTCCACAACTGGATGATTTGGAAGCTTAAAAAGTAGAGTAGATTAAACCCATTTAAAAGTTTTAAATAATCTAGTTCGTTTACTCGGGTTTGAACAAAGTGATGGAGAAGTTCCAAGTTCCGGAATTGTAGCTGTGGAACCGGTAAAGTGGATTAAGGGGCATATCAGTAATTTGGAAAGATTAAAGGATAGGTCTATAAAGAATAAATTCGTTTTATTAGCACCACAGGTGTAAATTTTTCGATTTTTGGATGTTTAAGGAGCCTAAATTGATCAAAAAGGAACTTTCCGGAACACCGGAACTTTCCGGAACCGTAACTTCGGGTGAAACTCTAATATATATATGCACCGAAAAATTTCAAAATATGCACTGAAATATGCAAAATTCCCGTTTAAAAATAAAATAAATTTACGTTAATTTCATTTCTTTGTTCGTCCATTGCTTCCCGGCATACATCCTTACGTAAATATCCAATATCTAAAATCACTTTTAGAAATTATTTTTAAATATATTTTGACAAACCCAATTTTTTCATTCCAACAGAAAAACATTTTTCAAGTCTACAACTTTTACATTTTTCCCAAGTTCTTTCAATTTTACTCGTTTCTAACAACAATTGTTTATGCAAACATTTACATTTAATATATTTACTCTTTTTTTCGTTTTCAAGATAACGCCTTTTAAAAGAATTTTTCCAAATAAAACAAAATATAAAATACCTGAAAAAAGCCCCACAAGCCCTACATGAAATAACTCCATAATGAAAACAAACATTTTCTTTTGTTTCACAAACTTTGCATTGTCTAAAGGAACTTTCCATTTTTAAAATAAATTGCTATTTTTTCTACAAAAAATATATAAATTTATTATAATTAAAATAGGGTCACGTATAAATTAATTATTTTTGGTAGACCGTGGGTAAGAGGAAGGAATGCTAGTTTTCAGTCTAAGTAGATCATACTAACCCGGCTAGTCCCTGATCTCCTTCAACTGTCCAACCTTCGCATAATTATAACTTTTTATTTTGGAACTCGAAGTAAATCTCGGAGAAATCAAAATTAAGTTGAATACAACCCTATATGTATTTTCAGACAAAAATTTATCAAAAAATATTATCTAGTAAAAAGTTTTCACACAAAAAATTAATTTTATTATCATAAAAAACGGATAATAAATTATAGTTTGAATTAAATTTTAAAATAATTTTTTTAAAAATATTTCATTAAATATAAAAAAATTGTTGGCAAAATTGTTTGTATATTAAATTTGAAATCTGTGAATGACTTTGGTATGGCTGAATTCAATTTTTGTTTTAGTTTTTAAAAAATTATCAGCTGAATAAATAAATTTTCTAAACAAAAATTAAAGAGAGATACTCGAAAATTAAAACTTGACTTGACTAAATATATAATTTTAAAAAAGGATGAGTGAATTTAATCAAACACCCCACAAAAAGTGAAGAAAATGTGACTTGTACACTACATAAACTCATTTTATCTCAAAGAAAAATTTTTTCTGTATAATGAGATAAAAACTATCTTATAGCAAATTTAAAGTGCATTCTGAAAAGTATTAAATAAAAATTTATTTCATCCTATAAGGGGACGAAAATATTTTTTAAATTCCTTTACTCCCGTTTTACGTTAATTTTCGGATTTCGAGATCTCGATGATGGGAGTACATAAAAACTTTATGTATTTCTTTTGTATTTCTTTTCTATATTGGTTGAGCTATCATTACACATATATTTTAAGATATTTTGTGCGTTAAATAAAATTCTAATAAAGGGGGGTTATAATTTATTAACATTAATTTTTTGCAAAAACGTCCAAAAAAGTCTGAGATCAGAAATTTTTAAAGATATTTCGTAAATATTATTTAATATACATTACAACACTACTACAAAAACTTCAGAACAATCCGACAACGGGAAGATAGAGATAATCAAAAAATTCAAGGGGGGGGGGGTTATAATTTCTTAGCACACTGTATCTCAATAATTATAAAAAAAATTGTTGGCAAAACTGTTTGTATATTAAATTTAAAAAGATATGTGAATGAATTTGGTGTGGCAGAATTCAATTTTTGTTTTAGTTTTAAAAAAAATTATCAGCTAAATAAACAAATTTTCTAAACAAAAATTAAAGAGAGATACTCGAAAATTAAAATTAGACTTGACTAAATATATAATTAAATTTAATCAATTTTCTTTTATCTTTCTGATTGTGAGAGTGAAAATTATATGTATATAATAAAGAAAATTTTATTTAAATAAAAAGAGTTAAATTAAATAAAATTAAATCACAAAAAATTTTAATTCAAAGAAAAATAATTCTGGCCTAACTGCACTTTAGTAACGTCATCTAAAAATAGATGATTTATATGTCATTCGAAAGAGCTCGGCAAGCTGAGTTGAATGTCACCAAAATCAGCTCGATTTGATGATTACGAACAAAGTTATGACCAACTAAATCTTCGCTGGAAAAATTGTTTTTGTGATGTTACGGAGAGTAGGCCGGGCATGGTCATCGCTAACCGACGACCGCAGCCTCGCTGCGGTCGTCGCGAGCTCTCACATAAGGCCTCCGCCTCAGCTCGACGAGCTCTTTCGAATGACATATAAATCATCTATGTATTTTTAGATCACGTATTAAAGTGCACTTTAGCCAAATATTCTATTAATATAAGATTTAATTTTATTTTTGAAATTATATTTGTCCTTGACGAGTAAAGTAAAATAAATAAATAAAAGATTTATTTATCTGTTAAATAATTTTAATATTATGAACTTTGCGGAAATTAGCTTTATTATTTTTCTAACTTGTGATCAGATAAATGATCGAATAAAAGCTATTCCTTCACCAAAACAATTTTAAGCCTTCTTTTGATTTAACTTTTTTGTTTTTTTCCATTTTTTTCATTTATTTAAATTTTTGTTAAAGTTTCGATCTATTGGATTTGTCTTCTATAAGAGATTTTTAATAAAATGTTTGAGAGAAAAGTAAAAAAGATCAGTCGCTTTCACGCCCACACATCTGAGCCGCTGAGGGAGGGAAAAATGATAGAGAGAAAAACTAAGAGAAAATTATCTAAAAAATATTTAAAAGTAATGGAGAACGGGTAAGAGAACAATTGTGGATTAAAGCTTTATATTACTTAAATATACCTATATCTTCTCGTATTTCTTCTAAAAAAATTAAAGTTGTAATTTTTGAACATTATTAAGTTTAAATATTTTTTAATTTTAAAATGATCATCAAGATTTTAATTTTAAAAGAACAGTTGTTCTTTTCTGTTCGTGTCATTTAAAAGAATTCTGTCATTTAGAAATTTTAAAGTTTTTAAATTATGTTCAATTTTTTATATTTAATATTTATATTTAAATATTTTTTGTGTAAATAAAAAAAATATTTCTGAATTTCCCCCAAAATTTTTTTAGTTTTATATTCTCTCAAAAATGTCTCCACCCGCCATCCAAGGCCAACCAAAAATTCGGCATGATGAACAGACAAACTCCGTCTTCCTTGAAGTTTCTGTCCTCGGAGCTGAAGCAACTAAAACCAAATGGTATTTGGAAGAAAAAGAAATAGCTTCAGGTACTGGTGCCTACAGAATGAGCACTCAGGAACAAGAAGGAGGCAAAAAACTGATTATTTGCGAGATTAAAAATTATGACAAAAGCATGCAAGGAACTTATAAAGCTGTGAGTTTGTACTTTTAGTAAATATAGGAAGGGACCTTTCTTGGAAGGTAGAAAGGAGATATGTTTTTAATCTTCTTGGTAAAATATCTTAATTGAGGAAATGATTGTGAAAAATTAATTAATGTCATTAAAAAATTTAAACAAAATTCTTCAGGTATTTTTCAGTCCTGATGGCAAAGAAAATTATGCAACATTTACAGTCAAATCTGGAAGTAAGTTAAAATAAATAAATAAATTAGAGCTAGTTTAGAAAAAGGTATTTGTGGGGCGGCATTCTTACGTGCCGAACAGAAAAATGTTTTTACTTTTCCTTCATTTAATTACAGGTATACAAACCGGTGATGGAGAAAAGTGTCATCACTCGGGAACTAATTTTGAATTGTGCAAAAGTCTAGACCCTGAAAGGTTAAAAAGTAAGGAAATTCCTTAAGAATGCCGCTTCTTAGAATTGCTAGAAATTAATAGAATTATTAGAATTTTGTAGAATTATATTGTAGTAGATGCTTTATTAGAATATAGCTTATTAAAATTAATTTTACAAAATACTAGATGGGTAACCAGAAATTAATGGGACACTTTATTTTTTCACAACTTTACTCAATGTTAAGATAACAAAATCAAATAATTTCTATAGATAAAGACCCATTAATTTCTGGTCACCCTGTCTAGTATAATTAATTAAATAAAGATGCTCCTGAATTTTATGAAAAGCCAAAAATTACACAAAAAGATGGTGGAAAAGTTATTCAAATAAAGATTCGAGTCAAGTCACATATTGAAATGAAAGCTGAATGGTTCAAGGCAAGTTGTATATTTATAATTAGAGACCGCCAAATGCTTCATGTAGGTCAAGGCTTAGATCAAGCTTAAAATAATTGTTAGAAATACGTATTTTCAACAAGTTTTAGAATCTCAATTAAATTTTTATCTTTTACAAACCTACATATTATTTTATAAAAGAAAATTTCATGAAAGAATTTTTTTAAACTAAAGCGGATTAATTTATGAGTAAAGGCGCCGAAATGTTTATTTTAAGCCTAAAAGCGCTAAGAAATTTTTATCACTGAAATAAATTGACATTGCACAATTTAATTAAGGTTTTGTATATGTATATGGTTGTTAGAGCCTTCCAAGACTCTTGGTCTTGAGTCTTGACTCAAGACTTTTCTTGGGGTTTTTTTCGGTCTTGGTCTTGGGGTGAAGTCTTAGAAAATTTTCGGTCTTGGAAGGCTCTAATGGTTGTTTCCGCTTTGTGTCCTATTTTTTATAAAGAATGTTTATAACTTTGCTTTTATTAAATACAAAATTTTTATTAAAGGATGAAAGCCCACTCAAAACCGATAACAGAATTAAATTATCAACAGAAAAGGACAGTAGTGAACCAGATGGGACAATTTTGTTGTTGGAAATAAATGATCCAACAAAAGAAGATCAAGCAAAGTATTTTGGAATTTAAATTAAAATAAATATTTTATTTTATTTAAAGGTACAAATGTGTTGTGAAAAATGGTGAAGGACGTAATGAACAATCGTTGAATTTAGTTTTTGATTAAAAATAAATGAAAAAGAAAATCAGAAAAATATTAAGTATACCCTCAATTTCTCAAAAATATTGTTTATTTGGTTAAGAAAAAAATTAATTTCTAGGATACAAAATCATTTTATGCCCCGTAATATTGCAACCAGGGCTGGACGCAACTGCTGATTGCGCTGCGTAAATTCCATGGGTTTTTGACTTGTGGGCTGCGGATTGCGACTGCTGAAAATTTTTTTAATTGCGTCCAGTACTGATATCAATAAATAGTTTTATGGAAATATTTAAAAAATATTCTTTAAAAATTTTATTTAGATTTCTTCCTTCTAAAATTAAAGAAAGAATTTTTCTATCAAAATTTATTTTTATTTAAAATAAATTTTATTATATCTCCAAACTTATAAAAACTTTTTTTTCTACGTTTTTATCAACTAACTAATTAGTAGAGTCCGACATTTTAGGCCCGAAAAATTGTGAAATAGGTTCCTATTTTAGGTTTTTTGAGGTAGCAAAATAGGTTCAAAAAAATCAGAAAAAGGCCAAAATAGGTCCAAATTTTGAAAAATAGGTCCGAATTTTTGAGTTACTTTTAGTGTTAAAAAATAAAATTTTTGGAAAAAAATTTTATTTGGAATAATATGTAGTTTATCTATCTACAGTTTATCTACATATTATTCCAAATAAAATTTTTTTCCAAAAATTTTATTTTTTAACACTAAAAGGAAGTAAATTCTTATCGGAGTAAAATGACAACATCGAATTCTGTTAAATTCAAGGTGACACTTTCATGAACATTAAAATCTGGTTTTGAAACTTATCGCAATAGATTTCACATTAAGGGTTGCCGTTATTCGAATCGGGCTGACGGTCGAGGCATTTTTTTCAAATAACTTAGGCCCGACTCGATCTTTCGGTCCGAATCGGGCCATTTTGGCAACCCTATTCACATATGAAGATCACTCAAACAATGGGAATTTTTGGCGCCGCAGGCGAAAATTTTAAGAATTTTAGATACATTTTGCGGAAAAATTCACCTTTTTGATAATTCCCCTACTAAATTTTTTTATTTTCCGATATTTCATGGGGAAAAGTTGAATAATTTACTAAAAATAATCAAATTTTTAGAAAAATCTTCAAAAAACCTAAAATAGGCCCAAAAAAGGTCAAAATAGGTTCAAATAGGTTTTAGGTCTAAAAAAGCCTAAATAGGTTTTTTAGGCTTAAATAGGTCCAATGTAGGAGCATGGTACCGTGCCAAATAAGTGTTTTTTGAGCTTTACTCAACATTACAAGGTTGCAAAACAAATAGGTCGGAACCTAAAATGTCGGACTCTACTAATTAGTTTATTGTCTAAAATCTACACATTTCTCTCTCACTCTTCCACATATTTTGCTACAAATTCTCTTCATTTCTTATGAAAAATGAAACTTTTTTTGAATAAAAATAAAATCTTTTAAATAAAGAAATGTGAGCTATACACAAAAGTAGAAGCTTTAAATGTACACAAACAAATAGTAAATTAATATATTCTCTTTGAATAATTTTAAATAAATTCTATATTTTTTTATTCAATAATTTTAAACTTTACAACCTTAAAAATTAATTGTTAAGGAATTAAAGGAGACCAAAAAAATTGCTAAAAGTCTCCTTTCTTTTCATATATTTAAATCTTATTTTTAATAGTTCTTTAAACGAGAAAAACTTAACTACGTAATATCCAATTTATCAAAAAAAAGATACAAATTCCCTTTAAAAGCCCCAACATTTTTGTCTAACCAACTTTTAACCTTAAAAGATATAACAATAAAAAAAAACTTTCGTTTTTTCCACTTTTTATCCAAAAAACAAACAATAGAGAAAAAAAGATATTGAGGAAAGAGTAGAATATATCCGAGGAAATAAAGATTTTTTTGTTAAAATGATGGCAAATTTGTTCGGCGGGCGGTCCACAAAATTGAATTGAAAAAAAATTTCAAAGCAAGGAAGGTAAGGGGAAAGGTAAAGGCATTTTTCTAGACAAAAATTTTTAAATTTTTTTATTTTTTAAAACTGGCAGTTTTCTTGTAAAGAAGAAAATCCAATAATAAAATTACCAAAAATTATTCAGAAATTTTGTAGAATCTCTTCTTCTCCCATTTTAGGGATCGGATCTGGTTAAAAATAAGAAAGATAAAGAGAGAAATAAATCTTTGTTCTATTACTTTTTCCTCCAATCTTTTTCATTTTCTCCAAAAATACATATTTTTATTGTTCCAAACAGAATTTAATAAAAAAATTTTTTATTAAATATTCTGTTGCCAAAATTAAAGTTACCTATGTATGTATATATTATTCCTTTATACAAATATTGTTAAATTTACATCCTTTTCTTTAAAAAAATTCTTAAAAAGGAAGGTGTGAAAACCCCAAAAATGAAAGGAAATAAATCAAAGACCAAAAAATATTTTCTTTTCCTCATTCTCCCAAGCTAAAATCATTATGCGTGGGCATAATAAAAAAAATTATATATATTTTTTATATAATCTTCCATTTCCTTAACTTTATTTTTTATTATTAATCATTTTCACCTGTTCCCAATATTCTTTTAGACTATCCACATATTCACAATGTATTGAACATTTGCATTATTTAGTTTTTTTGCTTTTCCCTTTTCCTTTTTTTGTTTAAAATTTATTTGTTTGTGAGACTTTTTTTGTGTGTTGTCTTTGGTTTTGTGCCACCTTTACTTTATTGCCCTCCAGCCCTTCTTTGGACAATTCCTCAGGGATGAGGCGGCGATTTTCCCATAACAAACATAAAAAAGCACAATGGAGGTGATAGTGGTAGAATGGAAGGAACTAGCTAGTTTTATTACTTGTTGAAAAATTTATTATTGGCATAGGAGTACATTCTTTATTTTTTGTTTTAAAGAAACAAAATAATAACCCTAAAATTTCAATTTTAATATTTATATAAAGGCTTTTATTTTGTTTTTTTTTAATTTACGGAGGATTTTTTTGGGTGTAAAGATGGAACTAGCTCGTTTACTCGTTTTTTAGTTCTTCAAGTTTTTCGTCTTTTCTTCCTTACTCTTTCACTTTGCGTCCTTTATCAGCTCCTTTTAAGTCTAAAATATATCCTTCTCTAATAATTAATATTTATTTATTTTGTAACATTTACATAATTTAGAACAAAATAATCTGGATTAATTTTCACAAATTCTTTTTATATCTTTTTTATTTTTTGAAACCATATTTATTCATAAAAATGGAATTGTAAAAACATTTTACATTGTTTAAAAATAATAAGAATTATTTGAGATAATCTTTAATTTAAAATCTTATTCATTTGTTTAAAATGTGAATTTTCTTAAATTTTTTTCGAAAATTTCTTTTCATTTTAATTTCTTATTAAAATTAATTTCTTCTGATTTTTACTCAAATCCATTACTAACTCATTCTTATATAAAGTTATCAGCAAGGAGAGTCTTCTTTACTGATCCAATTATTGTTTCTTTATAAAATTAAAATATTTATCTAAAATAAAAGTATAAATAAATATAACCGGATGTGCACATATTTCAATTTATATATAATTAATTAATTTGTTTAAAAAATAAAAGAGATAAAGTTATAAAATATTTCAAACAGGTGGCCAATATTTTTAAAATGTGGCAAAAGAAAATAAAAAGAAGAAATTAATTATGAGGCATTTACCAATGAAAAGATTGTGTAGAAGAAATTCACAAAGTAAACCCAGATAAATATATTAAATATATATATCTTTGTTATCTTTATGGTCTTATCATGAAAAAGATCAGAAATAATCAGTTCGTATTTTTCATCTTTTTCTATCCTCGTTCTGATAAATCTACTACTATATCCCTTTTTCACAAAGCTTAATGTTCCTCCTACAAAAATTCTACAGTTTAAATCACAATATAAATTCAAATCACAATTCTCAAGGTGAAGAGAAGGTGCTAATAAGTAAAGGACATTAATTAGCATTTTTATAATTCCTGCAATATATCTGGACATTTACAACTTTATCAAGAATGTTTAAATTATAATTTCATTTTAACCAAAAGATTCAAACCCCTTTTAATTATCGGTTTAAAGTTTATTATTTTAAAAGATAAAAACTTAATTCTTAGAATTTACTTATTAATAAATAAATAGTATATTATAATACGTACTTTTAAAGATATATAATTTTATTTAAAAATCCTCTCCAAATTAATCTCAAATTAATAAAGGTCGAAGATTTTAATTTTAATAAATTGAAAAGTAATTACTTTTTTTATTAATAATTTTTTAATATACATATTTATTCATTCCTCTCTTCAATTCCCCACTTTTTTCGAAAAAAATCTTTGTTTTTTTTTGCCTCAACATTTTTATCGAGAATAAATTGAGTGAAGCGCCAAGTGCATCAATTTTAATAAAAAATATATATATATATATTTATTTATACATCATTAAATCCTTCCTTTCCTCCTCAAAACCTTTAAAATTAAAAAAATCTTTCTTCTTTATATTTTAATTTGCGCGATATATAAAAATAATCTTCTACTCTCATCCTTATACATAAATTAATCCTTTTTTGTTTATTTAAATATTAATTTGACTCATACGTGAGTTTTTGCATAAAAATAAAGTAAAGAATTTGATTTGATTGTTTTTTTTGGTTTTGGATATTTCGATAAGGAATTTTGTTAATATTTAATTGAGACCGAGAGAATATCTCCTATTCTCAATCCCTGGCTTTTTTCAAAAATATATGTAATGATCATTTTAATTAGGGTTGCCGTTTTCAAGTCGGGCCGAAGGTCGAGGCATTTTTTTGGGTTTTCATCGAGTCGGGCCGGTACGAGTCTTTTCGTGCCAAATATCTTAGGCCCGACCAAATATCAACTTTAATTTTAAAATTTATTTAAAGGAGTTTTTGATTCCTTCCAAAAATTGGTTGTTAATTTAAAAAATCTAAAGAAAATTACAAAAAAAAAAACTTTTTCTTTTACTTCCTTTTTCTAAATAATTAATTAAATATAAATATTTATTTATTGTTATTACAACAACAACAACCAACAAACATTTACATACTTGTTACCTATAATTTAAGTTTTTGTTTAGCTCAAGTAAATAACTCCCCCGCCTCCGCATATTCTCTGCAAATCTAGTCCTCCTCCTCCCTTTATTTCCTTTTATCCATCCTTCAAAATATGTTTTATTAAAAAACAACTTTATTTTTTAATTAAATATTTAAATAAATATTTACATATAGTATTTTCCTTTAAATAATTACTAATTAATTCTCATATGTTGATATTTTCACACAAATATAATTTAAATTGGTTTTTTCTTTAATTTTATTTAAATAAATAAAGAAAAATATTTTTATGTGTTCCCTATTTTTATTTAATTTTTTCATTAATTTTAAATTTTCCAATTTTTTTCCTCAAAAATTTATTTAAAGGAAGATTTAATTTAATGATCTATGAAAATGAGTCTTTTTTACATATTTATTTTTCTTCTGAAGTTTGTGGCAAATTAATTTTTCAAAAGGTTTGTGAGGAATATTACGGAGGAGGTTGATAAGATAAACTGAATATTTCTGGAATACTGTCTTAATAAAAATTTTGGAATTTTAAAAATTCTTTCTCTTTATATGTTAAACCTTTTGTATTTTACCTAATTGTTTTTCCATTTAAGTACATAAATATAGAGATTGTAGACATTTCACAGATTTTCTTAAACTTTTATATCGTCTTTGGCATTTCCCTAAAGGGACATTCATTCTCTCACCTCTCTCTTTCTTCTCTTCTCCTTTCCAATATTAGTAAAAGAGTTGGGGGATTCAAAAAAACCAAAAACAAACGGCTAAAGTTTTTGAAAGAAAAAAAATAAAAAAAATTGGATAGATTGGTTAAAATAAAAATAAAAGAAAAAATTTCCGATGAATTTATCCACCGTCCCCCCTTTTATTGCTTTATTTGCAGCACGCGGGAAAATTGGATTTTCTGAAGGCCAAAAAGTTTAAACAAATAAAAGTTGGCAAAAAAGAAGAACGTATTTTTCAACTTTTTTATATCTGTATTATGTCCTAGATACTAAATATTTTCATGGGAACAAATTTATTTAAAATCTTCCAAAGTTTAAGTAAAGGTGTGTATTTGAAACATGGACGATTTTAATTTTTGTTCCTAATACTTTAAAAAATCCGAGCTAACTTTTTCACTAATATTTTTGAGCTTTTTTTGAGCTGACTAAAGAAAGAAAAAAAACTAAAGAAAGCTCATAAGTATATCAGAAAAAAATGTTTAAAAAATTTTGTTTATTTTAATTTACAAACATTTTAGTGACTTAATTCCTCAAGATGATAATTAATACTTAAAAATATTTTTTAATCTTTTAATATGTCTATAAATGCTGATAATGAGCATTTTACGTCATCTAATCTTTTTGAACATTATGACTTTTCTTTAATTCAAAACAACAATTCTTTAATTAATAGAGAAGGAACAAATATTGAAGATTTGGTTATTTAAAATTTTTTTTATTAAAATTATGAATATTTAAAGGTTGTATTTATTGCACTAGAATCACTTGGCACTTTGGCTATTACTGTAAGTAAATGATAACAAAAATATTTTTTTATTTTACATTTTTCTAAATTTTAAATAAAAAAATAAATTGGATTATTTTCTTAAAACAACAATTAAATTATTTAATTATTGTAAATACTCTTTCTGGTTTACCGTCGCTAGCATCACGGAATTATTTTATATAACTAACTAGCTAGCCTAATTCAAGTCGAAACTTTCCTCAAGTCCCTAATGCCCCGTTACAGATTCTTGTTAGTAAACTTAACATCCAGCTTTCCTTCTTTTCGAAACTAAGGTTTAGTCAAAGTAGAGGGTATTACAAGGGTGTGTCCTTAAAGGATATCAAATTAATGGTTAGCTTAGAAGCCAGCTTTATTGTTAATTTTTATTTAAGTTAAATATATGCCTCTGTGTTGTACTTCTTCGACATAAATATTTAAATAGAGCTAGTTTTGTTTTAATGTTAAGTCTAGCTTTGGCTGATGTTCTTCATGGTTTAGTAACTACTTGCTTCTTTTACCCTCCAATTCTTTTGCGTCAAAGCCCTGTGCCTTCAAGTTTATTTTTAAAAATTAAAAAAATTTTTGGAATTTAGTTGGTGTTAAATTATTTAATATACTTGATTGGACTGCTTGGAGTATAACACTTACACATATGTCTGCAATCTGTTTAGACAGATTACTTGCTATTATGGTAGTTTTAATTTAATTTAGAAAATTATTTAAAATTTTTTGTTTAGATGTATAGTCGTTATAATCAATTTATTACTGTTGATAGAGCTCGAAAATTCACTGTACGTCTTTTGAATATTTCTTGATTTTAATTCCAATGAATTTTAAAATTAAAAATACTTTACATACATATTTTTTAGTTCAAAATCTTTAAAATTTAAGTTCGTAAACATTAATTATTTAATTACCCTGGATAATAATTTAAACTTATTTTACGACCCCAGATTCTTTTCTGTCAACTATTCTTAAATAAAATAAATAAAATAAATTTTAGATATTTTGTTGGACTGCCTTTTTTGCTTTAAACATTTCTTATATTCTTGCCCAATTTTGTTGTTTAATTACTCCTCTACGCGAAATTCATTTTTATACTTTTGGTTATGGAGAATTTGAATCTGAAGGTTTAAAAAAGAATAATTTTATTTAAAAAATCTTTTTATTTTAAGCCAAATTAAGAGAATCCCCATTTGGAGGTGCCAATCTATTTAAATTAACATATACACCTATAGAACTATTTACTTTAACTATTTTATCTATTTCAAATCCAATAACACTTATACAATTATATAGAAGACATAAAAGGAAAATGGCCCTTAGAATGTAAGTTTATGAATATTTTAATAGGCACAGATGCAATTTTGTTTTTTTTAACTTCAAAATATCTTGAGGATTTTTTTAATTTTAAAGGGGCCAAATCCTCTTTTAATTTTCTTAATTTTTAATATTCCTAAAAATAGAAAAAAGCCTTTTAATGTTCAAAAATTTTTTATTTGGTTATTTTTTTGTTAAATTGTGATTCATATTTTTAGTTATTTTTAAATTTATTTATTTTAATTTATTTTTGGTTTGGCCTCTTTTTATTTTAAAAAATTTTGTTTTTAATGCAAGATGGCATCTGTGTTTTATTTTTAAATACCTTAAAATAATAATAGTACCATTCTCTCTTATTCTTATCATATTTTATCCACGATAATATACCTTCTCTCGACAATTTTTTTGGATCTTTTTTGAAGTTACCTATTCCTCAAGCAATTTAAGACAAACCCCCTTAAATCAAAATTTTTTCTAGCTAAAATCTATCAAACTTTTCTATTACTTGTCTATATTAAGCACATCTCTATATTTCCATTTCTTAAGCACTTGAATATTTTAAATAAGACAAAAATAATTTATTTAATTTTATGTCTTTATTTGTAAATTTAAGACAACGAGCGCCACCAATGGGTCTAGGTGATGCTATGTTAAGAAGGTATTAAAATAAGGAAATCCATTTCTCTTAATAAATGTTTTTTATTTTGTTCTGTTTGGTTCTTGTGTTTTGTGTTGTGTATCTATTTCTAACAATAAATTACTGATAAAAAACTGAACAAGTTATCACACCTAACAATAATCGTTTATGTCCTATGTATTGTTAGAGTTTTTTTATTTAAATATTTGTATCCGTTTCGTAAATTAACTTTATTTAATCTACCAGCTTTTTTCTTCCCAGTTAACTCGATATATATTTTACAATCACTTTAAGTGCACTCAAATTGTCCTTTATCTAAAATATTTTTGTTTTTATGTGCAGTTTTTTTCTAATATTTTTTTAATTTTTTGATTAACTATTTAATTACATAATTTAAGGGCAAGTACAATGCTTCTTGAAGTCTCTATGAGAATGGGTTCAAAACATATAAATAACAATGAAGTACATCATGTTGCTTCAAGACGTGCCAATCGTCAACAACAAAGAATTCTTTTACAGGCAAAATTTTTTCCTTTAAAATAAATAGGAAGAAAATTTTTTATTTATCTCTAGATTTCTGTTGTTGCCATAATCTTTTATCTGTAAGTAAATTATTTTCAAAATATTAACGAATTAGTAAATATTAAAAATTAAAATGAGAATTTAAAATTGGTAAATTCTTTACCCATGCACATTTCCATTCGGAATATATTAAGATTTTTCTACTTAAATGCTTCTAATACTTTTGACGATTTCCCTCCATCCTCTTAATAAAATTCAACAGAATAATAAGATATAATAGTCGAATTAATTTAAATATTAATCATAAATGTTTAGTTAACACATTGAAATGTCTTAATAACCCCCTCCCTTATTTTCCTACTAAATATTCTTCAAAATAAAATTAAATAATTTATTTATTTAGTTATATGTTCGCTTATTATTTACTTTATCATGTGCTCAATGTTTCCAATAAATGGGTTGTGTTATTTAATTCATTCTTTTATTCAACTACACATATGATTAATCCGGTTCTTAAAATTTTTTTAAATTTATTAAAAATAATTTTTAAAGGTAATTTATTTCTCCCTAAATAAAGATATGAGGGCACAATTAATTCGGGCAATTTCTGATTTTTTACATTGGCTTTGTTGTGTGGCTGGGGATGCAAGATTACACGCAGCTGGGGCTTCTTCCTTTTATGGCAGGGTCAAAAGAGGAGGGGGAGAGTCTTCCTCTGGTGGAAGTCCTCTCAGAAAATCGTCAGTTAATGAAATGAATAGGTGAGAAACGAAAGAATAAATTCAGGGCTTATCTAGAAAATCCTCTAAATTTTATCTAAAACAGAAAGGCAAAAAACAAAAATTTATTAAAAAAATTATTTTGCAGCTCTGCACAGCCCGGAGACGGTTGGACACTCAGGTGCTTAAAATTTAAAAAAATTCCTTAAATCAAAACTTTACTAACATTTTTTAAACTCTTTTTCTTCTTTCTCTTTTTTTCTCTCTCAAATGTCAGTGAAAATGTGTTCGTTCAGATATTTGGTGGCCAGTTATTGTTCACGTCGTCGTACGTCAATAGTCCCCCGTGATTGTTGGAATCGTTTAAGTGCTTTTATTTATCGACAACGGCAACCTTTACAAGAACAACAACAACAAAAAACAAAAAATAATAATTCTAATAATACAATCACTTCTGCTACTACAATTATTTTAAATAAAGATGGAAATTTAAAAACATCTGTTGTTGCATTAACACCAAAAATGGCAGAAGAAATTGGTTTGAGAAATACAAAACAGAATAATTTTGAGGAGAATAGTGATACAATAATTAGTAGTAGTGGTGGAGGAGGAGGAGATAATTTAAATAATAATAATCGTTTAACACCTTTTAAAGTACATTTTGTGCCAAATTATTTTTATTGAAATTAATAAAATGTTTGTAAATATGTAAAAATATGTAATTGGACAGGGCTTCCGAAAAATCACAAAATTATTTTTTAAGGATTGTTTTTTTCTATAAAGTAGAGCCTGGAATTTTTGTATTCATTTCCTACATTTTAATCAAGCCATTCAAGCTGTACTTGATGGATAAAAACTTTTAAAAATTTCTAGAATAAATCCCTCTTTTTTAACTCCTTTTAATTTCTCTTTTTTCCAAATTAACATTTTCTTGCTTTAACGTACTATTATTTACCTTTTTAATGTCAATTAAATTTAAAATTTAATTTTTAATTTAAAAAATTAATAAAAATTTCAATAAAAATTAGACAAAAATTAAATTAAAATAAATATATTTATAATTTAAATTTTGTCAAAAATTATTTTATTAAAAAAGGTTACCAACATCGTGTACAACAAAAAGAAGTTGGCATCAAATAACACGAAATACTCCAAATTCATCGGCTTCTGAAAGACGCCATCTTCTTAAAATTAACAGTAATCCACCTCCAAGTGTTGCCTCTGCCCCTTCTTGTATTGAACAATGTAAAGGAATAAAAAAAGAAATTTATTTTTTAATTAAAAAAATTCCAGGTCAGCAAGAGACAACAACACAACAAATTCAAGATTCAAACAATAATATAGACATTATAATCGTTAATAATCACCAAAATTCTCAACAAAATAAATCTAACAATTTGGCAGGCATAGCACTTAATTTAGTTCATTCTGCTTCTCGAGAGTTTAATGAAGGAAAAGTGAAGAAAAATAAAATTTTTGAAAGAATAAAAGGAAGATCTTTATTTTTAAATTCAAAAAATTATTTTATTGCTTCAGAACCAAATTCAAGTTTTAATTTGGAAAAAATTAATAAATGTTTAAAAGAAGAAGAATTTGAAGGAGAAAAAATTAAAAAATTAAGTGAAACTCTTCCAATTTCAAAATTTTGTTTTAACAACAACAACGATGAAAATATTGATAATAATGAAATTGAAGAAAATAAAATTAAAATAAAATTTTCTTCAAATGAATTAAACAATATTAGTGTTAATTATTTAAAAACAGAAGATTCAAATGAAGCTATAACTCTTGATTTGGTAGAAAATTGGAGTGTAAAAGTAAAAAGTTTTTCTATTGGTTTCTAAAAATACATAAGCTAATATGTTGTTTCAATCTTTATAAAAAATATTTTAAATATTTTATCACAGCACTAATTAACTTGGGAAAGGTAGTAGTAGGTATTTGACCCCGTACCCCGTTCCCAAACGATTTTTTCAGATTTATCCCCGATCCGAACCACGCCCCAAAACAATCCCAAGTGCTAACCATAATTCTAAAAATATTTCAAAATTTACAAAAATAATTCAAACCATTCCACTGTAACAAAAATAAAAAGGAATTTTTAAGGAAAACCAGGAAAGTCAAATAGAACAAAAATGGCATAAAGAAACTTTAGATGGCCTTTCACGATTACGCGGACTTGGCTCTTTCTTAGCTGAACAACTTTCGAATGAAGCAGATAAATGTGATAAAAGATGGGCAATTGCAAGAAGACAAAGAAGAACATTAATAGATTCCCTAATTTTGGCTTTAAAAGAAGAAAGTGAAGAAGGAAAATTAAAAGGGGAAGAAAATTTAAATAAAAAATTGGATAAATTAAATTCTCTAAAAATTGAACAAAAATATCCAAAAAGACATTCTAGTAATGGATGGTTATTCAAAATAAATGATGATAATATTAGCTAGTTAGTTGAAATTAAAATTAAAATATTTTCCATCTTTCCCTAGTTCAACAAAAAATAATTCAAACGCCCCAAGTTGTTCTTCCTCAGAAATTATTTCAACAAAAAATGAATTACCCCGTTATGAATTTTTTGAAAATAAAAAAGTAAAAGACAAAAAAAGTGAGGAAGAAGCGGATGATGAAATTGAAACGAGTGGAGATGAGGATATTATTTATTTATAAATTTTTGTTTGTTTTTTATAAAGATAAAGAATTTATTAATTTTTTTAAAATTAATTTTTTATCAAAAAATATAATAAAAAAATAACGAGAGTAAGATGATTGTTTACAAGGTTTTAGTGATGTGAATAAAAATCAAGAAAACTTGTTTTTCTTGAAATTGGTTGGCCTCTCTTTCTTTTTTAGATGATTTTATTTACAGCCATTTTATTTATTTAACTCGTTCATTTTAAGAATTTTTAACAAACTTTTTTCCTTTAACCAAATGTAAAAAAAATTCAATTCTGTTAATTTTATTTTTGACCTGTCGTTTGTATTTACCGTATTTACTCGATTAATTCCCCAACCTCGAATAATTCCCCACCTTTTATTAATTCCCCATGCCAGGGATGAGTTGAAAAAATAATTCCCCACTCCCAAATACCCTAATACACGTTCAAATAAAACTCGAATAATTCCCCACCCTCTATTAATTTCCCATGCCGCGGATGGGTTGAAAAAATAATTCCTCGGGGGAATTAATCGAGTAAATACGGTAATGCCTATTGTCAGTATTTAATGTGTCAAGCATGTATGTAGCTATTTAATTGCTAAGTCTATGTTGTAGGTGACGTGGACAAATCAGTCCTCCAGTCTACTGAAAATGCTGGTTCGCACCCAGCCGACGATTAACCTTTTACACTAGATGAAGGAGAGAAATAGCTCCGCTGCTTCACTATTGCCTAACTAATTTTAGTATTTAAACACTTATCAAGTTTTATCAAAATTATTCTCTCAACTTTATTTTTAAAACCTTTCCAACTTTACTTCTTCTCTAACATTTTATTTTATTATCACAATATATTTTTATCATTTTACAAGGCAAGTTTATTTTAAAAAAATATTTTACATCCATTTTTCTTCTTTTAGTGAAAGATGCCAGCCAAATCTCCAAAACGTTCAAAGAGGGTGAATTTAATGAATCCAAATTTAACAGATGAGGATATTTCGAGAATTTGTAAAGAGCAATATGGAAGTATTCCAGGCACAGATTTTGCAGTTAAATTAACAGAAGCAGTTTTGGCTATAAACAAAGGGATTTACCCAGAGCTTATTTCTGAGGGATCTTCTGGCTCTTATTTAGTCAAAAATTTGGGAAAGGAGAAAATCGCTGTCTTTAAACCAAAAGATGAAGAGCCTTATGGAGAATTAAACCCAAAATTCATGAAGTGGATACAAAGAATGTGTTGTCCTTGTTGTTTTGGACGTTCTTGTCTCGTTCCAAATCAAGTGGGATTTTAAACAAATCCTTTTCAAATTTTATCATTTTAGGGTTATTTATGTGAAGCTGGTGCATCTTTAGTTGATCAAAAACTTTCTTTGAATATTGTTCCCAAAACGGCGGTTGTTTCTCTTTCATCTCCAACGTTTAATTATACGCGTGTTGATCGAGCTATGGCGAGAACAAAAGAAAGGATTAGTTATCGTTTTGTAAGGCCCTCAAAAAATATTCGGCATATTGGATTACCTCGAAAGGTTGGTAGTAAGTGGAGGTGGGTCGGAATGAATTCGGACTTTCGATTACCAATTTCCGACTTTTGAGCCATTCAATTTCCGGCTCTTCCAATTTCCGACACCTCTGACTGTTCCGACCCACCTCTGGTAGTAAATATTTTTATTCAAGGGGGGGGGGGGGTTAATTAGAGAGGGTCTCAAAAATGATTTTAACAACATTTTAATTTTCAGCGTGGAAGTTTCCAACTTTTTGTGAATGGTTACCAAGAAGGAAATTATTTAATACGACAATGGGAACTTTTTCCAGAGAAATCACCTCCACCTTCTGTAATGTCTGAATTCCAATTAGAATTTGAAAAAATGGTTATTCTCGACTATTTGATTCGAAATACTGACAGAGGAAATAATTGGTTAATTAAATATACTCCTGGAATGGAAGTGAAAAATAATCAAGATTTAATAGTAGAATCTAGTTCTGATTCTAAATTAATTGAACATGAAGAAGAGAATAATAATGGTGGGTGTTGTTTTTGAATTAATTAGTAAATTATTTAATGGGCACTAATATGTATAATTCCACTTCGGGGCCAAATTACTGACTTAAAAATAGAAAGTCCATAGTGGGATTAAGCTCATTTTATGGTTAAAAATTTTATATGTCAATGATAGCTTATTCGAAAGAGCTCGACGAGCTGATGTTAGTCGGATGACAGCAAAATCAGCGTTTTTCGATAATTCTGAACAAAGCGGATGCCCCCTTCTCTTCTAAATTTTCAAAATCTGTAACTCAGTCCCGGGATATCTGATTGACTTCATAATTACCTTGTTAAACTCAGTTTTTAGAGCTCTTTCGAAGGTTATTCGACCAAGTCGTTCTAGAAACAAAACACCCCCTATAAGTTACAATAGCCAAAATATTTGGACTAAAAATTATTTTTATTTTTAATTAATTTAATTTTTTAGTTTGTATCAAAATTGCTGCAATAGACAACGGACTTGCTTTTCCTTTTAAACATCCAGATGAATGCAGAGCTTGTAATAAATACAATTTTAAACATTTTACTTAAAATTTATTTTTAAAAGATCCTTTTCATTGGGCCGATCTTTTAATTGCTCAACGTCCATTTAGCGAAGAAATTGTCAATAAAATATTGCCTTTATTGGATAATACAGATTTTGTGAAAGAATTGGGTAATGAGCTTCGAAAAATATTTGAGGTGAATTAAATTGGGATTTTTTTAAAGAAATTTTTTAAATTTTAGTCAGACAAAGGGTTTAAAAAGAGAATATTCTCCAAACAATTATCTGTAATTCGTGGTCAAATGTTTAATTTACGAGAAGCTTTGCGTAAAAGAAAATCGCCTGCTCAACTTGTTCAGGTAAAAGAATAAAAATTAATTTTTGAATTAAATTTTTATTTATTTTTAGATGACTCCAGTTTGTATGATAGAAATAGAAACAAAGAAGAAACGTAAATTCCCAAAATTTTCTAAAAAAGGCAAACAAGAAAATGAAGAAAAACAAATTCAAATTGTTGATGATTCTCCAAAAGATGTAGATGATGAATTAGCTAATCCAAAATCTTGGAGAAATATATTTAAACAAAAAATACAGAAAAAGTCACCACTTTTTAAAATGTGTTGAATTTTGTTTGGAAGAATAATTTTGGAAGAAAATATTAAATAAAGAATACATTTTGATTTACTCTACATATTTCATTTTAACTACCAATATTTTATTTATTCAGTAAAATTTCTTGTTGTCAGCGACGCTGTTCATTTTGTTGCCATTTCTTGTATTTAGGGTTGTAAAAATTGCCCGACTCGGACCGAAAGATGAGTCGGGCCTAAGGTATTTGGCCCGAAAAACTCGTACGGCTCGACTCGATAAAAATGAGGTCCGAAAAGAATGACTCGATCGTCGGCCCGACTCGAAAACGGTAACCCTAATTGTATTATCTTACTTATTTGAGTTTAATTTACAGCAGTTTATTATTTATTTTTCAAAAAAGAAAATCTTTCTTAATTAATTTATTAAAGCTTAATTTGAAAGCAATTCAAAAATATTTTTTATTTCCTAAAATAAATCTTTTTCCTTCCTCCTATCCTTACATTTCCATCATTGTCTACATAGTCAAAGTCCACTTCTACTGTACTTTAATTGTTCCATTGAAGAAGGTCCCTCCTCTGCTAGTTCTCTTCCTGGAAAAATTGGATGAAATGCACCACTAATACTTTTTTGATCAAAACCATGTGCTCGATCAAGTCTCGGAGTAGTGCTCACACTTTGTTCTTCTGTTTCACTTCGGCTTATGTCTTCTCGATCAGGGGGAACAACAAACACTTCGCGAATAGGTGTTGAAGTGCCTCTAGGCGGTGTTAAAGGATTTGATGCAAATGTTCTCCTAAATTCGGAAAGTAATTTTTTAAAATTTAATTTTCTACCAATTTTAACATAAATATAAAATACCTAAATCTAAAACTGTCAATATTGTCACTTCTACTCGGCCAAAAATCGCTAACTCCACTCTGAACCCTTCTAATGTCCACAGTTCGTAAATTTCTGCCTTTCCTCCTCTCACTTTCCAAACTTTCACGTAAAATTTGTATTTGATTTTCTAATTGACGTATTTTCTCTTTACACAGTCTTTCTCTGCTCTCAAGAATTTTCTCGAACTAAAAAAATTTTTAAAAGAATTTTCATTAATAGACTAATTACTTGAGCCTTTTCATTTCTCATTCTTTGAATTTGTTTTTCTTGTTCCTCTTTTTGTATTTTTGAAATTTCCATTAAACGATTACCATTTTCCATTTCAAGTTGTGCTACTTGTTGCTGTAATTGGGCACAATTCTTGTAAAGTTCTCTATTTTCTCTTTCCATTGCATTTAAAGATTTTTCAATTGCTTCTCTTTGTAAAGCTGTTTCACGTATTGCTTCATCTGTTCGACGCTTATCAATTTCATACTAAAATAGATTTAAATCAGATTTTAAATGATGAATGTTTGTATCGAGGAATGTTAAAGTAATACATATTCCACTAGGCTTTTTTTCTTAAAGATTTAACAATGACATTTCCTAGATTCAAGCATTTTTGAGTGTCGGACGTCTAGGACCTTAAATTAGCACAAAATCCAGCCCAATCTTGGAAAAAGTCAGGGGATTTCAAATTATATAGAATTCATTCGGATTCGTCAAGTTCGCTTGCTTCATTTTACCCCTATATCTCCTTTTAGATACATTGAATGAATATTTTAACTAAATCTTGCCATTTGAATTTTCTTTAATAAAAATGCTTTTTCCGTTTTGCACTGTCCTTCTGCCCTTCCTAAAGCATCATTTTCTAATTTTATTTGTTGACATTTCTCTTTTAATTCGCTAATTTCTTTTATTAATTGTTTTTTCTCATTTTTTAAAACTTCATATTGTTTCTTTAATTCACTTTCATTTAATTTTTGTGTTACATTTTGCTACAAAATGTAAAAAAATATTTTTTTATTAAAATAATTAATTATGAGAACCTTTTCTAAATCTCTAATTTTTTCTTCATTTCTATTTTTATTTGTTTGAGCATCTTGTATTTGTCTATTTAAATCTCCAATTTTATTATTTAATTCATTTATTCGTTGACGAAAGTCTCTAACTTCAGAACGTGCATTAATTAATTCTGATTCAGTTTCTTGTTTACGAATTTGATTTCCGTATAATTCGTTTTGTATACGAGTTAACTAAAAAATTTTGAATTATTAAGATTCTATTTTTTTCAAACAAAGGGGTTTTTAAATTTTAACCATCAAATAAGCAAATTATGTGGGATTTCCTTCAGTAAGGTAAGGATGCAAAAAGTTTTTGATATATTTTCTAGAGTAATTAATTATTCGATTTATTTCCCACTCTCGTGAGGGTTAATAATTACCCAAAGTACAAAAAATGTTTAAATCCCAAAATTCACTCTCCAAAATCCCCTCTCTAACTTGTTCTTTTGTCGTTTTAAGTTCATTTCTTTCTCGAGAATGTATTTCTACAGTTCGTTTAAGTTCATCTTCAATTGATTCTGTCCTTTTTAATTCCTTTCTCAATCTCTCAATATCTTCTTGTAATCCATTAGAATTTTCCTCGCTTGTTTTTAATCGAATATTTAATTCATTTACTTTTTCTTTTAAACCCTAAATTATTTTTTTAATTTTTCTCTTTAATTTTTTTTATTTACATTATTTGTTGTTTGACAATTTGTTAATTTTGAGCGTAAATCTCTCAATTCATTCTCTTGATCTCTCAATGTTATTTCCAATTGAAATCTATTCGAATCCTTTAACTCATTTTTATCTCTAGTTACTCGTAATTCTTCTTTTGCTGCATCCAAATCATTTTGGAGAATTTTTAACTTTTCCTACAAATTATTTATGTATTTTTTTGAATGAATATAATTTTTTCAGTCACCATAGAAAGGAGGCCAAAAATTTTCCAGATTTGGTAATATTCTCATATAAAGAGTTTGATAAAGTAACTAGAAAATACTATGGCTAGTTACATAATCTTATTTTGTACATTCTAATTATTAAGACAATTAACTATAAGGATTAATCCAAAAAAAAGAAATTACAAACATTTAAGTGCCTAATTTGTGCTTCTTTTCCCCTCGTTTCCAATTCTGCTGTAATTAAATTACTTTTAATTTGTCTTCTTTCTTCTTCTCTTAATTTCATATTTTCTTCTTGAGATTTAAGTAATTGTTTTGCTGTAGCTAATCTAGCTTCTAATGAACGTTTATCTTAAATATTTTTTTTTGAAAATTATCTTTATTTTTATATACCTTCCTCAGCATTTTCTAAACTTTCTTCAATTGTTCGAAAATGTGTTTCTTTTTTAGTATAGGTTGTTTTAGTATCTGTAGATGTATTTTTAAGACGATTTAATTCATCCCTGTAACGGTCCTAAAATATAAATATGTTTGAATTTTTAATATGTATTTCTTTCAGCATTAAGGACACAATCCTCAATATTGTAGAATTTTAAAATACGGATAAAAATAGAAAGGATTTCTTGAAAGTATCTCATAATTAGAAGACTTTTATTGATACTAAATATATTTTTATTAATAATTAAAATACCCGATCAATTTGAAGGTTCTCTATTCGATTAGCCAAATCTTGTAGAATATCATTTAATCTATCCGAATTAATTTCGCCTCTTTCATCAACAAAATCATTATTATATTTAGGTAAAGGAATTGAACGAAATTCAAATCCATTACTATTTTCTTTAATTTCTTTATATATTCTTATTGTGCTAGCTCTAAATCTTTTTAATGCATCTTTCAATAATTCTCTTTCATTATCTGCTTTGATATATTCTTCTTGTAATTGTTTCAATCTTTGTTCGTTATTTTCGATTTGTGACTGAAATTATTGTTTTTTTTTTGAAATTAGTATTTTATTTTAATTGCTAAAATTTTATATAATTGAATGAAAAATCATCATTCAAAAATCATGGGAAAAAATTCTGAATTTAACGGTCATTAAAAATATTTTAACATCTTTCCCCTTTATTTAATTTTCCAATTAATTACCTTCATATCCGCACTATCATATTTTATTTTTTCCAATTCCTGTAGTGCTGCAAGTCTCCTTTCTTCAGCCTCTCTATGTCCCTTAGCCAAAGCTTCAATAGTCATTTCATATTCCTCATTTCTTCTAATTATTTGTTCTTTTCCAAATTCCAATTCTTTTTGTAATATTTGATTTTTTGAAATTAAATTAACTTTTTCATCTTCAGAAACAATTAACTACAAAATTATTAATTAAAATTAGGTTTTAAGATTTTATTAGTTACAACAAAATCTCCTACTTTTTCAATATTTTTTTGATTTTCTTCACGTAATTTTTCCATTTTATTTTCCAATTCATTTTTTAAATTTTCCAATTCCTCTAATTGTTTTCCTCTTTCTTTAATTAAAGATTGTAGCCTTACATTCTTTAAATTAATTTATTTTTAATTTTATTTATTTTCTATACCTCTGATTTTTGTCTCATTAAATGTTTTTTCGATTCATTTAAATTTCCCTCAATTTGTTCCAAATTATTTTTTATTTTTTTATTTAATTCTTCTAATTCTTCTTTTATTCCATTAATCCTCTCAATTTCTGTATTTTTTCCTTCAATTTCAATTTTTAATTTCCCATTTTCATTTTTCATTTCCTGATTCTGATTTTCTAATTGTTTAATTTTATTTTGGATATTTTCTAATTCAACTTCTTTTGAATTGTAATTGGCTCTAATATCCGAAAGTTCTTCTTCCAATTTTTTGACTTGCAAATTTACTTTAAATTAATAATTTTCATTAATGGATAAAGGTTTGTTATCGAAAGTTGACTTTAGTAGGTAGGGTTACTGGTTTCTCCCTCCCTATCATTCCAAAATTTTTTATCTCAATATTTTGTTCGCAATTACTCATCCGCAGTCAAAATTTAAATGTATCTTTTAATTGGATATTAGTCTGAATAGCCAGACTATAACGAATTACAAAAATAATTAATTTACATTCTCTAATTCTCGATACATAGTCATTAACTGTTTTATTCAAAGCATCATTTCGTTCATTTGCTGTATTTAATTGAGTTTTTAGATTCGTGATATTCGTCTCTACAGTTCTCATATCTGATCTGGCCGTAAATGCTTCGTTCTTCCATTTTTGAATTTCCTTTAAATTTATTAAAAAACAAAAAATTTTTTTCTTGCCTTTTCTGCATCTGTTTTAGCATCAATTAATTCATCTTTTAATTTTTGATTTTTTGTTAAAGATTCTTGTAAACGATTTTCTAAATCACGTTTTACTTTATCAAATTCATCTCTAGCATTTAATGCCTCTGCTAGTCTTTGTTCAACTTGCTCAAGTTTAAGTCTTAATTCCTCTTTATCACGTTTGAGTGCTTCCAATTCCTGTTTTTTAAAAGAAATAATTTAATAAGGCTTTTAACAATTATTTATATTTTTGTATTTTCCATTTAAAAGGGAAAGGGAGAATAAGAAGGGGATACATCGGCTCCCGGAGATTTGGGTAGTGGACATTTGGGGAGTGGGCAATTGGGGAGTAGAAATTTGGGGAGTGAGCGGATATTTGGGGAGTGGACAATTAGGGAGTAGAAATTTGGGGAGTGAGGATTAAAAAAATAATTTTAAAATAAATTTTTTGGACAATAAAAATAATTAATACACTCGTGAAGGTGTTTTTGTGGAGTTTCAAAGATTTTAAGTTTTTTCTGCGATTGGGTTAATAAGTACCGGTAGTTGAGTACTACTGTATAGTGCCGGCGTGTTGTGTATGCCGGTTGAGTACACCCATAAAAGTAGGGTAGCAACCTACCCTTCGGGGGCGGTTGTGTCGGGGATCGGGGTTTGCCGGGGAATGCATGTCGGGGTTCGGAGTCGGGATTGACTTTTCGACCGGGGGTCGAGGTTTCACTAGAAATTATTAAATTTAAATTTCAGTGCCACAAACGAGATTTTTTGATTAATAGGTGCAGTAAGCACTCAAAACTCAGCATCTCTGTGCAGAAGACAAACTTCTATTTATAAGTGAAAAATGTGCCAAAGACATGAAAAATTCACGCTTTAGCGCCGCAGGCGAAAATTTTATGGGTTTTGGAAGGCCAATAGGCAAGATTTCTTCCTTTTTCTCAAAATTTTCAATTTTTCGGGACCTATAACTCGGCCCAGAATCATTTCCTGCAGTAAAGAGTGGTACGTTCGACTCAGTTCGCCGAGACGAATCGAATGACATATGTCCGTCCCGAAATTTTACCACCGGTACACTCACTACAGCCGGATTTTTTTGATTTTGGTGTCATTCGACTAAGCTAACACAGCTCGACGAGCTCTATAACCTAAAATTGACTACCCTTTGTTAATACGTTGAGGAAGGAAAAAAGAGGTGGAATTGAATTTTACCCTTTGAAACTCCACAAAAACACCTTCACGAGTGTATAAATTATTTTTATTGTCCAAAAAATCTATTTTAAAATTATTTTTTAAATCCTCACTCCCCAAATTTCTACTCCCCAATTGTCCACTCCCCAAATATCCGCTCACTCCCCAAATTTCCACTCCCAAATTGTCCACTCCCCAAATGTCCACTCCCCAAATTTCCGGACACGGATACATCCACTTTTTAATAGCTTAAGACCTTTCCGCTTTATAAAGTTCCTCTGAACTTGAATATTTGGGGTACTAGTTTCACTGATTTTGTCATGACCAAGATTATTTAAATTATAAATTATTTTCTTAAAATAATTTTTACATTTTTATGTGTTTCCCTTTCTGATTCAAATTCATTATTATTTCGTTCATTTATTTCATTAATTTCCCTCATTAAACGATCAACTTCTTCTTGTAATTTTTTTTTTAAATTTTCAATTTCAACAATTTGACTTTCATTTTCTTGTTGTAATTGAATTAATTTATCTTCAAGTTCTCTATTTTGTTTTTCTAATTTATCCTTTTCATCTTCAATTTGTCCAATTTTTATTTTCCATTTATCCTCAACTTCTTTAATTTTTCTTTCAACTAATTCTAAATCATATATTTCTGTCGGTACTTTCCCTCCATCTCCTTCCACTCCTTCTTCCTCCTCCTCTTTACCAAAACTTTCTTCTGTTCCAATTCCAGTTTCATCTGTTGCTGTTGTTCCCTTTCCTCCTCCTCCACCTATTTTCCATGCCGCTTTTTTATGCCTTTCTTTATAATGTTTTTCAAGTTGTGCTAACTCATCTAAAGAATTTTTATTAGGAATATTTTTAATAATATTTTATCTTTATTCTAGATTTAAGTTAATGATATAAGTCATCCAGTTTAAATCTCATGTGGGATAACTCCGAGAATGGTTTCATCTATTATAATCATATGTTTAAGATGTTTAGCATGAGTTTTTCGGTTATTTTGGCACGTTTAAGAAAGCCCAACTTTGTAATTTTACTTACCTTCTAATTCCTTTATTCTTCCTTCTTTTTCCTTTAAATCATTTTCAAGTTGATTAATTTGATTTTTCTGGGTATCCATTTCTTCTCTTGATTTAGCCTCATATCCTTGTAATGTCGAATTTTCATTTCTTAATTTTTCCAATTCTTGTTCCGACTTCCTTACTAGCTCTTTTAAATTGGCCAATTCATTATCTACATCCTGTTTTTCTCTAAATTTTTTAATAAACATAGAGTTAATTTTAATTAATTTTACTTTTGTATTTCCTGTCGCTCTCTCTGCAATCTTTCATTTAATTCAATTAAAATTTCCATTTCCTTCTGTCCAGACGAAAAATCATTTTCTAAAGCCAATAATCTCGCTTGTTGTGTTTTTAATTTTGCTTCTAATTCATCATTTGTTATTCTTAAACTTTTAATTTCTTTTTGTAAATTATTTATTTCATTTTTTAAATTCTCAATTTCTTTGTTTGTCAATTCCTTTTCACGTTCCAACTTTTCTCTTTTTTCAATTTCTGTATTTATTATTTGCTTTGAATTTTCTAATTTCTTTATTGCATCTTCTTTTAATGAACTAAAAAGATTAAAACTAATTAATTAACTTTTAATTAGGGTAGCATCCCGAGCCTTTGGAGTCGGGTGTGTCGGGGAGGGCATGTCGGAGTTCGGGGGACGGGGTACTACCCTACTTTTAATTAATTAAAAAATGGTGAGTTGGGGATTTGGATGTTATCCTCGTAAGCCCAGGTTTTTTCTAATATAAAATGAGTAATTTATAGCTCAGGCCACTTTTTAATAATTTTAATATTTATTTAAACAATAATGCCCCACAACCCCTTTAAATAATTACTTCTGTTCGTCTCTTTGTTGTTTTAATTCTCTCAGATTTTGTTCTAAAGCATTTATTGTTTTTGTTTGTTGTTCTTTTATTTTATTTAATTCTTCTAATTTTGATAATAAATTGTCTATTTCTTCTTTTTTAGATTTTAATTCTTCATTCAATTGTTTTAATTGTTTTTCCATTATTTCATATTGAATTTCTAAAAATATTTTTAAGAAACTATTTAAATACATATTTACAGTCAAAACCCCCCCCCCCCCCAAACAGGAATTTTCTGTATTAGAGAATACCCTGCTAAAACCTACATTTACAAAAAATTTTTCAGGACTCTGTTATTTATCTTACAAAGAGAGTTTTTAATCCACTAAAAAGAAATTTTGGGAAAAAAACAAAATGTTCGAGTATTTACATTGTATTTATTGAAAATGCTTTAATATTTGTTATATTTTGAAATCACATGAACGTAAACAAAATATTTTTTATTTATTTCATGAGTCCCAAAATTTTTGGAGTCTCTAAAAATACTTTCAAATACCCGAAATTTTTATTTAAAATTTAAACAAAACCTTTTTCTTCAAATTTTTGTTTTAATGTTTGTACTTTAATTTCATAATCTTTAATTTGTTGTTGCATTAAATTTAATTCATTTTTTATATTTCTTTTTTCTTCTTGTAAGGATTTTATTTTTATATTTAATTCTTCTATTCTTAATTTTTATTAAATTAAAAAAGTTTTCTAAAAATATTTTTTACCTATTAGAATAATCACTTTCTAAATCATTCTTAAATTGTTCAATTTCTTCTCTAGCCTTTCTCTTTTCCTCTCCAGCAATTTTTTCGATTTGTCTTTAAAAATTAATTTTTTTTAATTAAAAAATAAATTAACTGTTTAATTAAATTCAATTCATTTTCCAAAATTTTCTTTGACGCTTCAGAAGCATCCAAATCACTCATTGACATTTTGTATTTGTCATCTAACCGCCTTCTCTCCCTTTCTGATTCATCCAAACTTCGTTCACTAATTTTTTAAATTATTATTTTTTTGTTAATCTTAATTACATTTCATTAATTAATTAAAATTTTCAGTTTAATAGTATTTCCCTCTCTATATAAACTACTTCAAAATTTGAAACTCCTCAATAAATTTTTTTAAATTTTGATTGACAATTGGACCTATACGATAACCTTTTTTCCAGTCTCAAGAGTTTAAATTCAATTTTAATTTATAAATTTACAGTTCTTGTATATTTCTTCTCATAGAAATAATATCCCTTTCAATTCCCCTTTTTGTTTCTTCATTTTTAGCTAATTTTGTATTTAATTCAATTTGTAATCTTTCAATTCCTCTCAATTTTTCCCCCAATTGTTGTATTTCATTATCCCTTTTTTGTAAAGCTTTTTGGACATTTCTTACAGCATCAAAAGGGTTTATTTTTGGTGGGGAAAGAGATCTTGAACGAACACCTTCAGTTGAGGAATTTATTGAACAAATTTCGTAGATTTTTCTTGTTGCATTCTGAAATTTTTGATGATTTTTTATTTTTAAGGGAATTTTTGACGATATTATGTATGCAGTTTTATTTTATTTATTTTACCTTAAAATCCATCTCCAATTCTCAGTTATATTTAAAATTAAATAACAAACGTACTTGATAACCACTCAATTTTTCTTTTGCGGCACGCAACTCAGCTTCTAATTCACTTACACGACGTGCATTTTCATCTTTACTTGATTCGAATTGTATATTTCTTTCAAGTACATCTTCGTATCTTTTTTAAAAATTTTAAATTAAAAAAGCTCAATCCACTTATTGTTAGATGGGGGCTTATTAACAGAAAATTAACTTATCCACCCCTTCTTTTTTTATTTTTTTCTCAATTTGTATTCGAGTCTTTACAAAAAATATCAAAATTGTTGGAGGGTCCTTTAAACAAAATTTACTAATTTACTTACTTTTTAATTAATTCTTTATATAATTCCGAATTTATTTCTTCGCCACTTTCTGTTTTAATTTTGCCATCATAATCAAATATTTCCCTCCCTCCTTTTCCGTCCTTAATTCTTCGTATAATTTCAAAAATAATTTTTTCATCAGTAAAAACCTTCCCTCCTCCTCCCTCAATTCCATTTATTCTTATATTTTTTAATAATCTTGTTATTTCTTCCTTTTGATTATCTAATTCTCTTTCTGTTTGTTCCCTTAAATCAACAAATTGTCTTCTAACTCGTTTAAGTTCTGTCCAAACATCCAAAACCTTTTTTTGTTCGTCTCTCAGATATTCAGTTAAATTCTAAAAAAATTTTGAATTAAAAATTCAGAATTTTTTGTTTTTTTTTTACCTTTTCTTTATTTTTATGTTGACGATCCTTTTCTCTTATTTCCCTTTCAAATTCCCTTTGTATTTCCATAATCTCACTTTGAAAACGTTCACTTTGCATTCTTTCCTGTTCTAATTCCATTCTTAAATCTTCACATCTTTAATTTAAAAATCTGATTTATTTAAAATTTAAATTAGAGACTGCAAGTGTTCTACAGGAATTGAGAACGGCAACTCAAAAATATCAATTCTCAATAACCGAGATTATTGTTGAGTTTACGTCTCAATCCAATCTCTACATAATTTAAATACCTTCTTCTTTCATCATCCAATTTCATTAAAACATTTTCATAATTAATATTAATTGTTTCCCTTCCACTCCATAAAGTTGTTCCATCTCCTAAAAACCCAGAATCTCCTAAAAAAGATATTGGAGTTTCTATTGTAGTTAATGGTTGATGTCCTTTTTGAAGTCCAAGTTTTCTTTCCAAATCTTTAATGTTTTTACGATATTCAATTATCTGTTAAATATTAAATTTAGACGTAAACTTAAATTAATTTATAAACCTTTTTATGCATTGTTGCAATATTTTCTGAATATTCTTTTTGATTTTCAACATTTGCATCAATTCTCTAAAAAATATTTTTTTATTTTAAATCGGGAATGAGGATCTTTTCAATTTATTTTTCTAGAATTTTATTTATCATCCTTCTCCCTTTGACTATAACAAGAAAAAACAAAATTTAATCAAACCATTCTGCATCTATTCAAATCCTCTTGAGTTCTCCCCAATCTCGATATTCCACCACCAGCACCTTCCATATTTCCAAAAAGCAAATTATATGTATCGTCTGTGTAGAATGCCTCTCCATTTGGATCCCTACTATGATCAGAATTTTATTTATTTAAAATAACCCCCTTTATGATTACTAAATATATTTTTTTGTTTTATGACCCTCATATCTCATCCCTGTACTTAAATGGATAAAAGAAGCTCAGATTCTCGTTAACCTTCATATTACCACAAAAATAAACTTTTTAATTTAATAACTTACCAGTAAAATTGTGTTTTTTCTTCATCACTCGAAGTTCCTCCAGTATTAAGCTGTTGTTCACCGTCCTCATCCATACTTAATAATTTCCTAGCTAATATTTAAATTTTACTAAATTATTTTTCTAAAAATTTTGTAACCAATTTCTTTTGCTTCTTTAGCTTCTCTAAGTCTTTCTTTTTGTTTTTCAGATTCACTTGCAGTTAAATAAAAATTTATTTGTTCTGCACTTAAAGTTTTAATTAATGATTCTTTTCCAAGTTTTTTCCAATTAAATTTATTTTTTAAAAGAGAATCTACTGATTTTGGACTTGTTGTTCTATTTAAGTTATTTTGAGAATTTTGAGGATAAAATAAAAGAGGGGAATGAGAAGTAGTAGAGGTTGGAGAAGGGGAAGGGGTTGTTGTTGTTTTTGTTGTTTTTTCTTGTCCCTCTCGTTTATCAAAGCTACCAGCTTTTTTGGTAGCTAGTGAAGAACAACTGAAGAGCATCGACCATTATGTCGTTATTTATCATTTTAGTTTGGACACACAAAAATTTATCTTAAATATTTTTTGTAAAATATTTTGGTCATCGAGGAAATAAATTTATTTTTCAATTTCTTCAAAAAAAATTTTTCTTTGCGCAAATATTCTTGTTAATGATTGATAGAAAATAAGGGAAAAAAATAGTAAGGGAATTTAAAAGTTTAAAATAAACTAAAAATTGATGAGCCAAAAATTCTTTTGGGAATAACTTTTCTTTTTCAATTTTGGGGTGGCATTTGCCGGCTGTCAATTGCAGTTTTTGCCTCTTCTCTATTTTGTTCTATAATTTTATGGTTGACACTTCCCCCTTAAGGCTATATAGTAAGTAAATCCTTCTTTTTATTTTTGGTAAACAAAATGACTAGTATTTTTGAGAGAAAAAACATTTCAAGAAAAAAAACATTTTGAATGCAAAAGGAATTGATTTTAAATAAAAAATGTAAATGAGTAAAGCTTAGATGGAGAGAGGATTTCTTTAAATATTTAAATTGGGGAAAGGCACGTTATTTTTATGACGAAGTAACGTTACGGCATGCCAACTGATAAAAAGTACAATGGCAATAATTTTGTGGATATCCTTTTTTACTTAATAATACAAATCTTCATATTTTGGATGTAGTAGAGATCGAGCTGGGTATAGACCAAGACCTGGATTTTTCCTGTACCCAGAGTCCAGGCCCAGGCATATAAATTACCTTCCTGGGTTTTTCCTGGACTACAAGCCCAGGATCCGTCCTAGTTCAATAAATCAAACCAGAACCCAGGAACAGGCCCAGGCTTTTCAAAAATCTCGATCTCTAGTATGTAGAGGGGGGGGGGCAACCTCTTTGACCCCTTTTACTTTCCTTTTTAAATTTCTAATAAATTATTACAAATGTTTTTCTCGAGAGCTCAATTTGTAACTGTTTTTATTGGCATTTTTTTCTCAAAAAAATAAAAGTAAAATTTAATTGAAGCTATTTTAAGCATTTCTCGCTAAAATTCTTTGCTGCTATAGTAACAACTACTTTCATTTAAAGCATTACTTGTAAATTTATGTTGGATAGATTTCATCTTTTTATGGGTGGCATAACAGAAAAAATAGAGAGAGAGAAGTATATCTTCCCAACTAAATTATGCAAAAGGATTTTGGTTAAAAAGGAGTAAATTTTATTTAGAAAAATTTTAAAATTATAGAGGGAAAAATATTATTTTTAAATATTTTTTGACGAAATTATTTTTAAAAAATAATTGAAGTAAATAATTTCTAAATAAAAACACGTTCTTTTCCCTTTAATCGCAACAATATCAAAAATACACCAAACAATCATTGTCAGTCAATAATTTCACGCAAAAAATGCAACAATTATTAAGTGTTACCTAAAATATTTTTTGAGTGTGAAAGAATGGTAAAAGAAATTTTTTGTGAAAGAATAAACAAGTCTCTTTTCAAATTTTATGTTGAAATTGAAGGAAAATGATTTCTTAATTAAAACCTTTATAATTAAATTTTTTTTAAATTTTTGTTATCAATTTTCAAAAATGAATATTTTTTAATAAAATTTTGAATTATTCTTTCCTGTGTGGATGCAAAAACACGATATGCAGAAATCTTTCCTTAGGTTGGAACTTAGGGAACCCCTGCTTAAAACCAAAATTTTTGTCATTTTTGGGAATAAAAACTGGTAGTTAAAAAAATAAGCAACAGAATTAGTCATAGCGTTTTTTTAATGAGTTATCCTAATTTGTTTTATTTCTTCAATTTTTTTCATATAAAATAATTTAAAAAATCCCTTAAAAATTAATTTTAAATTTATCGACAATCAATTAATTACATTAAATAAAAATTATTTGGGAATATATTTTGGAAAATAAATTCATTATGGGAGATCAAGTAGATAATTAAACTAAATTAAAATAATTGATTTAATTGATCAAAGTATTTATCAATAAAAACAATATTTTCTTTAAATTCTTTTTTTATTTTCCAAATCCAACATTGAAAAGGTTACGATCAAGCCTCTTCCGGAATAAACTGGCACGCCAGCGAGTAGGCCAAGTTTGTTTTCTTGTAAATTTTATTTGTTTGTTTTGTTGCGGCTTCTTTTCTGTTTCAGCTAATTCACTCGAGACTGAGTTTAAAAGTCCAGGACCACTCAAATCAAATAAAAGGGGAATGGCGATATTTGAATGCTGAAAATAAATTATTAAATATTTAAATATTAAAAAAGTCAAAATGAAAAAAAATAATACAGGGAAGGAAATCCTTAATTTTTAATTGGGCATGGACTAAATTGAATAATTCCCCTCACTTCTTTAAAAAGACAATGGTGAGAAACAATAAGGCAGTAAACGGTTTCGGGATTCCGACAAATTTTCTACAAGCTTAGGAACGTATCAAAGATGGGACGGGTTGAGAAAAAAGTCGGGTCGGGTTTCGAGTCGAAAAAATCCGGGTTTCGGATAACCCGTCCCATCCTTGGAACGTATACTTATTCTCAGAAACGAATTAAGTTAAAAGGGATTTAAAGTTTTAAAGGTGAATATTAAATTTATTTTAAAATTTTTAGTTGCATTTCAATAAATAATTAGTATGTGAGAATGCATACATCAAATTTAAAATCTTTTTCTTAGCTTTAATTAAATAATTAATTAAAATTACCGCAAGTATTTCCTCTCGTTGTAAATTTCCTCTTTCATCATTAAATGGCATCAAAGAGCTTTTCTTTCCAAAGCTCATTCTAAATGTATTTCCATCCATTTGTGGCCATTTTTGTAATGAATTAATTAATTCATTATTTTGTTCCTGCCTTTTTCCAAAATTCATTTGAAAGGCATTTCGATCCAAATAATTTATATTATTTTTGGATTCCCCTTTTGTTGTTCCAATAATTAAAGTTGGAATTATTTGAATAATTGTTAAAGTAAAGATTAAATGGAAATTAAATAATAATGGAGACATTTCTTTTTGAATATTCTTATCTAGAAAATATTCTTTTATAAATATAATTATTTGTGTAAAATAATGTAAATTATTTAAAAAACGAAATTAACAGGTGATAGGTTTTCGAAAAAAAATATTGGAGTTAATAATTTTATTGGTTAATTATGTTCAATCAAACTTTTCGCGGAGGTGGCTAAACACTGTTCATTGTTGCAGAACAGTTTTGGATATTAATGGTTAATGAACACTGAACATTGGTTACTATGTAAATATTAGAGTTGTACCCCGACCCCGTACCCCGAACCCCGACCCCGTTCCCGAACGATTTTTTCACGATTCTCCCCGACCCGAACCCCGCCCCGAAAAAAAGTGAAAACCCCGTTCCCCGGCCCAAAAAGTTTCGGGGTTTCGGGGTTTTATACCCCTAAAAAATGTCATTTTTTGGAGAAATTAATGAAGAAAATTAAAAAAATTTCCACCCATTTTACTTTGCTTTTATTATTCTTGAAAGAAAAATGAATGAAATATCATAATTTTCTTTCCTTTATTAAGAGACTTGTGGTTGAGTGGCTTATTCGTTGGTTTTAGCAGATATTTCATTAATATAGGATTGGGTTCGGATCCATATAAGGAGAACTATTTTGTTTTTATATTTCTTTACAAAAACATATTATTAACGAGTTAAATTTTAATTTTAAAATATTAATTTTATTTTTAACTGATATCCCTTGAACGAACCTTAATCCTTCAACCCCCTTGTATCACCAGTAAGGGGTTCCCAACCATAACTATCGAGGTCCTGTTAACGTGAATCAGAGATATAAAGGGATCTGTAGGATATCGAAGAATTAAGGAGTTAAAGGGATTCAAAGGGATCTAAGGTTTAAATTAAAATGGATTTGAAAGTATATATCCCAAGTTATACACTTTAATCTCTTCAAATCCCCTCTAATTTCTCCAAATCCTACTTAATTTTTGAATAAATCAGCGAAAATATATCGATTTCTAATTATTTTTGAGCATTTTTTTCTCTAAAAATTTTTCCACTAAACCCCCGTACCCCGACCCGAACCCCGGCCATATTTTGCTCCCCCGACCCGAACCCCGCCCCGAAACAATTGGAAAACCCCGTACCCCGACATACCCGCCCCCGAGCGTTCGGGGTACAACCCTAGTAAATATCATTTCTACTGCTACTCACTACCTACACTATTTTCCTCATTTTTTATTTTCCTAAACCACCAATATTTATTGAATTAATTAAGCACGTGTTTTGAATTGTAAATTAATTGAAAAATAAAAATTAATTTAATAGACAAAAGTATAATAATTTTTAAATTAACACGGTATTTCCGTTCCGTATTTTTTTAGTCAGCGAAGATTTTAGTTAAAAAATTTTTTATAATAATAAATATCCTTGAGGAGGTTCTAATGAAAAAAGAAACTTGTTAGGCAAATAAAGGAAAGAATTTATTTATTTATTTTTATTTTAATGCCAATTCTTATTTTTGCAAAAAAATAGAGAAAAGATTTTTTAAGAAAAATAAGAGGAGTAAATTAAATAAGAAGAATTTTAATTAAAAAATATTTTTTAAAATAAAATTAGAAATTTTTTATAGAAATTAATAATTTAACTATAATAAACTTTCCATTTTTATTTTTTTAAATTCAAAAAAGGAAATTAATAATTTATATATTTAAATTTCCTTTTAAAGAAAAATATAAATAACTAATAGTTAAATATATGCCTGGCTCGTAAAGCCGCCAATCATAGAACCAACCTAACTCTATTTGCAACAAGTTAGAAAATTTAAGAATATTTTTTTAAATTAATTAATTAATTATTTAATTAAATATTTATTTTAAAAATTAGAAAAGCCAGCAACTGTTTTAAATATTAAATAATTATTTAATTAAATAATTAATTAATTACCGCAATTAAAACTTCCTTTTTCATTATTTAATGGTATCAAAAACCATCAACTTCTTGAGGGAACTGTCTAAATTTTATAGCTGATTCACTATATTTTTACATTATTTTCGAAAATTAGGCTTAAAAAATTAACAAAAAAACCTTCACAAATAAAATAATCTAAATTTATTTAAATATTATTTTTATTTAAAATTAATATTGCGTGCTACATTAAATAAATTAATTGTTTTAAACATTTGCGTGATTCTAATGAGAAAAAGTTAAAAAAAATTTTAGTTCATTTGTTTGAAATAAAATAAGAAAATTAAAAATATCTTTTCTCCAAAAAAATATTAATTAATTACTTAATTATTATTTTTACAAACGGAAATTAAAAGAAAAAAAGATTAAGGGAAAGGTTTTACTAAAAATAATTAATATAAAAAATTTTGCGAAAAGCAAAATCTTTTCTATTTTGGGGACAAAAACACAAAATCAGATTTTGTTAAAATTATCATAAAAATTTTGAGGTAGAAAGGGGGAAACTTTGAAAATAATGTTAGACACATTTAAAAAGGAATTGAGAATTGATTCGAATTTTAATTAATTAATTATTATACTAATCTAACACTAACACTCCGTTACTTCCAAAAGTATAAGGTTCACTCGTTTTATTTTTCGTTTTAATTCCATGGATATTTTAATAAAGATTTATACAAATATTAATAAAGGAAAGACTCTTTTCTAAACTTTATTTAAAACATTTAAATATATTTTCTTTTAAGTTATAAAAGTATTTAAAATATATAAAAAATAATTATTTTAATAAAATGGGGTAAATTATTTTATAAATTAATGTCCCTTTTAAACGATTTAAAAAAAGGATTAAAATAAAATTAATATTAAGGTAACTTTTAAAATATTAAAATACATTTAAATTTTTTTGCATTTTTTTAAATTTTGATTTTTTAAAAAAGGAAAATTAAAAGAATAATTTATAGTTTAAAGCAGTCATTGTTAATAATTTTTAAAAAATTTAGGTAAATTAAAAAGAAAATTAAATGCCGAGCAATCAGGATTAGATAAAATAAATAAATAGGTAAAACATAAAAAGATGGGGAACAGATTAGGGATGTTAACTCCCCCCCCCCTTCAGTATTTGAAAATAAAAATGATTTAATTCTAAGTATATTTCTCTAATTAGTTCATCAGAAAATTTACATAGAATTAGGAATAATTCTTTCATAGAATTGGTAAATGTCTAGCTTGTTGTCCAAATGTCCGCAAAAGGAATTCTTACTACTTGCGTCTAACTGACAGCCAATAATTTGATAATTTGAGGGAAAATAATGGAAAGACGGTAAGAAGTTGAATGAAGCAAGAAATGATTTTATTCAGAAAGACTTTTGCGGACATGTGGGCAGCGAGTTGGACATTTACCTAAGGAATCTCTACCAAGTATTTTACAAAATTAAATTCTCATATAGAGAATTTAATTTCTTACATTTACTTAATTCTCACATTTACTTAATATTTATTTTAAATTAAAAAAAAATCAGACTACTATAAATTTAATTTAAAATATCAAAAAATATATGTTCATTTAAGATTAACAAGAATAAATATATTAAAAATATTTACATTTTTTCTGAATTGAGTCAAATAAATAAAAATATTTTCTTTTACATACATATTGCACTTTATGTTCAAAATAAGAATGTTAAAAGATTTTAGTTTCCGCTTAGAATATTTAAAGATTAACTAGGGGATGTTTTAATGGATATTTTTTTGGTTCAATTGAGTTGCTAAATAAAAAATAATAAAATAATCTTTAAATGAGGACAGAAATTTTTTAATGATTTTGAGAAACGAATTGCCCTCCAGACTTTTATTTTATTTTTAAAAAAATTAATTAGAAAATATTTTATTTTTATTTAAGTTAAAAATATTTATAAATTAAAGGGTTTTTAATAAAATTATTTGACAATGAGAAATTAAAAACGGGGAAAATTAAAGTCTGGATTGAATATATGTATTTATTAAGTAGAGGTGGGTAGTTAATATTAGTCTCAAGCTCCTAGTTGAATTTTATAAATGTAACTAATATTTTTAGTAATTTAAATATACCTATATTTTAGTCCCCATATTTAACTATACAAAAAGGACAAATTTATAGTTATCTAAACTTTTAAGATAAAAAGGAAGCAATTAGGTATTTATTATATTTTTAATTATTTTAGATTGACTTTAAATTTCCTCTAATTTGAAAAAAAAATGTGACACGTCAATTAGAAATAAATAAAGTACTAATAAATGTACATTTAATTGTTTAAATAATTAAAAAATTACAAAAGAAAATAATTTTTGTTAATTAAAATGACTATATAAAAGGTAAAAATGAATAAAAATAAATTTAAAAATAAATTATATAAAAATTATTTCCAAATTTTAAATTAATTCAGTGAAATTTATAAAATTATAATTTAAAAAAATAAATAAAAATTAAAGATTATTTAAATATTTTCCTAAAAATAATTTTACGACATTTTAATAATTTAATTTAAAATTATAATCTTTAAGTTTGTAACATTTTTAAAATAAATTCTTTATTTATATACTTCCTCACAAAACTAGCTGTCTCTTAATTAATTATTTAAATAATTATTTAAATTAAATATATACCTAAATAACCTTCTCTTAAATTTTAGCAAAAAAAAACTTGGGATTTTTTTGTAAATAAATAAATATATGTAAATTCTTTTTTTTCCTAAATATTTTTTCTTTATTTTCCACACAAAAAGAAACGTGAGAAATATATCTAATATAGATATTTATTTATCTAGGTTACTTCCGGCCAATTAGAAAAAGACATAAATATAAAGAAGAAAAACTGCGCATAGTTGCTAATTAAGATTCTTTAATATTTAAATTAGTTTTGAATTTCACTATTTTTTAACTAAAAATGAGGAGAATTGTCTCCTAAAAATTTTTTTAAATAAAGTTTTTTAAATATATTTATGTAAAAAATATATTAAACGTAATAAATAGTTAATTGACGTCGTTCACGAATGATCTCTTAAGGATTACTTCCTCGGCCTGGAAACAGTTAAAAACGTCAAAAAAATTAAACATTTTATACCAAAAAGTAATTTCTGCGTGATTCTTAATGTTTTTAGAAATAGTTTTTCATTAGTAGAAAATTTCTACGACCGTAAGTACCGGAATTCCTCGTTGTTCATGGATTGAAAAAATCCCAAACTTATTAAATTTAAAAGTTTACGATTAAATAGAAATCCTTTTTAGTGCTTAAATAAGCAGAGTGATTGTTTTTAATTTATATTTTGAAAAAATGTTTTAAAGCTATAGTTATTTTAAAATTTAAAAATCTCCTTTGTTAGTACAACTCCACAAAATTTTGTGTTTTGTTAACAGACCCAAGAAAAAACAAAAACACCCCCAATATTCCCACCCATTCATTAATTTAATGTTATTATGAAATTTCTGTTTTGTTCTACATCTGTCTATGTAATATAATATTTTTTTGGTTCATTTTACTTAATTAAAAAAAGAAAAAAATAACAAAAATTTAGACTATTACTCAAAATATGCTTTACAAAAAATTCCAAAAAAAAATTAATTTAAAATTCTAAAAAACAAGAATTAATTTAGAATTAATTTTTTTCAAAAATTCAAAAAAAAATATTTAAATATAAAATATTTAATACTATTAGGTCGGGTCATAATTAGTGTCGCTTTTTTTATTTGGGTTTTTTCGATTTTTAAAATTAAGTTTTCTGAAAAATTTTTTTATTTTTATTACGAATCATCTGTTAGACTATGCTCTAAAGGATCCCAGCATTTGAGAATTTTTCGTTAGGTATTCAGGGAGTTCTGGTCGAAAATATCAAAATTCCCGAAATCATCGGGAATCAAATTTTCTCAAGTATACGTAATGATAATAGTTAGTGTGATATATCATTCGAAAGCTCTTCAAAAGCTCTAAATGTTGGGCACAATTTCGAATTTTTATTAAGAAAGGTCTAAATTTTCGAAAAAGTCGAATTTCGAATTCCGGGGTTCGGCGCGATTTACAGACTTTATATTTCAGATTTAGTATAAGCCCTCTATGAGATTTAAAAAACCGTTTAGATCATCCTGATCGGATGATTTTACGCTGAGTTCTAAGAAAACGTTTTTGGTGGTGATGTCGTGTCGTTTGTTTCATTTTTGAAATGTGAGTACACGCGGCATTTGATTTACTCTCCTTAAGCGCAGCCCGCGTTTTTTCAGTCAAGCGTTGCTGTATGTATAGAGCAGATATCCCTCGATAATTCAGCAGAAGAAATATCGGGATTTCATCTAAGCTGGCCGAGCAGGACCGTTTTTCTTAATGACACCCGTCTTCCTCGACCATGTCTGCTTCTGGGAGTCATACGGCCTCCAACGTAAAGCCTGAACCCTATTCTTGCTGTCTAGCATAGACAACGATCCCAATGACTAGATCATTAAGATTTTTTGCTTCTTGTGTACATTTTTGGTAATTTATAATTCATGGTGCAAATGCTTGAGAATTTCACTACGAGGTAGCGAAGTTCAAAAAATCATAACTTTATGAATATCACTCATATATACCTAAACCTGGTATTAAAATGAAGAGTAGATTCAGATCTTTATGTTGGTTAATAAGAAAAAAAGATATTTGTAAAATAACACCCCTAAAAATTTAGTCAAAAAAAAGCGACACTAATTATGACCCGACCTAATAATTAAAGAATACACAAATATATTCTCATAATTATACAAAATAAGAATAAAATTAAAACAAATATTTTTTTGTTTTTTTTTTTTTGTTTTTAATTTTTTCTTTCATTTTTTCCCAAAGCCTATATTAAACAAATTTCTGTCCAATCTTTTATTATTTAAAAGATTATAAGGAGATATCCATCGTCTTTGCTTCATTTGACGAACAATTTGGTATGGCAAAACAGATTTATCCAAATCAAAAAACATTGGAATGTTGACTGTTTTCTGCTAAAAGAAATTTTTAATTAATAAAAAATCGAAGGAAATTATTAACTCTTCTAGGACAGATTAGATTTTGGAATTACCCAGGAACTAAAATTTGATAAAAAAAATAATTCTAGACATTTCTCGACTTTTCCAAATTTGGAATTGATATGGGAAATTAAAGGAATTTACTTAGAAATACGAAAAATTGAAACTTGTGAAGTCGAATTTCTATTGTAAGAATATAAACTTATAATTCCAGGTATTTGGAAAAGCTTAGGAAGAACATTTTCCCAATTACATGTTTGAAAAAGTTGAGAGATACATATGCCCCAAATGCGACCCACTCTTGTGATATATTAACCGTTTCTCTCATTTATTATCTATAAAATCTTTGTTTTCGTATCCAAATGTCTGATTGTTTGTTAGAGATCTTAAAAACTTGTTAAATTAAGCTTAATTAAAACACACCGCTTTTAACTTTTTGTCAAATAATTGTTGTTCGTCGTCATTAAAGGAAGATCTTTTTCCAAAACTCATTCGAAAAGCATTTTTATCAATACCAGATAATTGTCCATTTTCTGATGAAACAAAAGACAAAATTGTTCCAACAAAAAATAAAACAAAATAATTAATGAAGAAGCCCATTTTAAAGAGATTTGTGTATATATTTGTTTAATACCTCTGTTAAATTAAAAATATTATAATTATTAATTAACTAATTTAAAAATTAAAATAAAATTAATTTTTGAGGAAATTAAAAGATAAAAATGATTGGGGTAGGAAATAATTAAATTATAATCGAAATAAAGGGGAAATCTAAATTTGTTTGAAAGACATACAGATTAAATAGACATTCCAGCTAAACAGTCTGGCACGAAAAAAAATTTTTGAGTAAATTAGACGGCAGACTGAAGCGTGATAACTTCGACGATTAATAATTGTCTAGGAGATTAAAATTCTAAATAAAATTGAAAATAAATTGGTTGAATTCGTGACATTATAATTAATATAAAGATATACACACAGCTTTAAAACTGTCTTTACAACACCTAACGAGCTATAAAATCTCCTAATTATTATTAAAATAAATGAGAATAAATTTTAGAAAAAATGTCAAGTACAAATACAAATTGCGTGACATTCTTCGTAAAATAATAATTCCCGTAAACTTTAAATGCTTTTTTATTTTACAATTTTTTAATGAACTTAAAAATAATAAAAAAATGAAATATTTTTTGTTTAAATAAATAAGTATATAATTAATTCTTTTGGGGAAATTTTAAAAAATAATTGAATACCTTTGGGTAATTACTAGGTATAATTTATTAAAGCTTTTGACTTCAAATAAATTTTTTTAATTAAAAAAATACTAAAAATTTCAGTTAATTATATAGTTGACGAGAAAATTACCGGTATTTATTCCAAGTAAGCGTGGGATGTTGGCATTTTTATAAAATAAAAAAAAAATTGAAAAATTAAAATGAAAGGGAAAGAATTTTAAATGATGAGGAATGAAAGAAGGGGGGGATTTTTTATATTTATTATTCTTAATCCCTAATTTTATGTCAATCATCATTTTTTATTATTATTATAAAGGAAGGAAGCCGTTAGGGATTTGTGGATTTTGCGAATGAGAGGGAATAATAAAAAGATAAAAATTAATTTTTATGTACTTTTATTATTACTTTTTTGTTGTTTTTTTAATTAAATATTCTTTAGAAAATAGTCTAATATTTGTAAAGCTAGTATTGTAAGTCTCAAATATTTTTTGTAAAGCTACTTTACAAATTACGCATTTTCAAAATTATGACGAAGAATAATTTAATTATTGTTATAAAATACGAGAGACCAAAAAGAACGAAAATATTGGGTTTTTCCCAATAATTTCGACGATCATCTTTCTGAAACCGATACCTGATACCCGGTATTTCTTCAATTCCAGTCCGCTAATAATTGACACCTTTTATTAAATTTATGTAAGCAACAAGAGAAAAACGATCTATCGAAACTCTAATGGAATAAAAATATTTTTTATTTTATTTTGTATGTGGTTTATTTTTATCAATTTTTGAGGGTGCAAATGTTTAGGTGAACAAATATTTTTCGTTTAGGTGAACAAATAATTCTCAATATAATTTTAGGAACATGCCCAAGAAAAAAAATATTGCAGCACTTAAAAAAGAAACTGTTGTTGTTCAAGAAAAAATAGAGCCAATAATTAATGAAGATAGATACGAATATACTGATGAAATAGACAATACTTTGTTGGAAGGATTTGTTTGTTTGCCTGAGTATTTTTTGAAATTAAAATTTTATTTACATAATTTTCATTTAATTAGTCACAGAACTGTGCCTAATGCACCAATACCTGGAGTATTGGTTTGCCATGCTTTTGGAGGTATTGGGAATTTGGAGGAAGAAAAATGTCGAGAACTTGCTAAAGTTAATATTTTTATATTATTTTTGTTAATATGTATATCCTTTTGAAGTGAACTTAGGTTTTGAAGGGTTAAGAGATCCCTTTGAAGGGTTACAATAAATTCGCAGATATTTTAGATTTTCTAAAAATACTCAAAGAGTAATTCTAAGATCTCCATTGAAAATCTTTTTTAAAGGCTGGATATATTGCTTTTGCCGCTGATTTGTATGGAAAAGGTAAACGAGGGCAAACCTTCGAAGAAAATATGGCCCTTCTAAAACCATTTCGTGAGGATAGGACAAATTTATTAAGACGACGACTTTTTCTTGGATTACAATGTTTAAGAGATCAGATGGCTGTTGATAAAGAGAAAGTTTTTAACAAAAAAATTTTCTTCAAATTTTAATATTTAAAAAAAGATTGCGGTAATTGGATTTTGTTTTGGTGGTCTTTGTGCATTAGATTTGGCTAGAGTAAATGTTGGAATTAAAATAGCTGTTAGTTTTCATGGAACTTTTACGCCACTTCCTGATCAACCTGATCCAGAAAAAGAAAAACCTATTGAAGCTAGTGTTTTAATATGTCATGGGGATGCTGACACTCACATTCCACATGAACAAGTTTAATCTTTGGGGGTTTAATTTAATTAAAATATTATTTAAAGTGTATGAATATTATGGCAGAAATGCGGGCAAGAAAAGCGGATTGGCAATTTATTAGTTATGGAAATGCTAAACATGGATTTACTGATAAAGGTAAGGTCTTTTTTGGGAATTATTGGAACCGGTATTTTTCTGGAACTGGTCTTTTTTAGGATTTTACCTTTTCCTCGGCCCACAATGGCAGTGCCATTTAATCGATTCGCTTAGTCTTTTCTTTGGGTTATCAGCCACTAAATCTCAATTTTCTTACAAAAAACTTCTTTCAATCAATTTATTTTAATCATTTTCCCTATTAGAATTAGAGAATTCTACACGTGAAGGTGTTGGTTACAACGAACAAGCAGATAAACGTTCATGGATGGCAATGTTGGCATTATTTAAAGAAAAGTTTGGAAATACTTTAATTACATTTTAGAATAATTTATTTCAAAAACTAATTTATAGCCAAACAAAAATAAAAGAAATTTAAGCTCACAACAGAATTTAAGGGGAAAATGTTTATTTAATATATTACCAAAACTACTACTTAATTATTATTCCCCATATTATTCAAAGCTTCAAAGTTTTCTGAATTTCCAACAATTGATTAGCAGACCCACGAAGTTGCTCGAGCTCTTTAGGCGTCAAATTTTGGCGCACGATAAAGTTGACTCCATTCGAACCAAGAACAGTTGGAAGCGAAAGAAAAATATCATCCTCAAAACCGTGAATTCCCTTAAAATTAAAGTGAACACGAGAAAAAAGTACAAAATGGTCAGGGAAACAAAAAAAGGGTTGGGGTCACTAGAACTATCACCGAAACGATTTCTTTTCGTCGTCGTATATGCTCTAATCCCGGCCCTTGCAGGAATTTTTTAAACTAAAATCAAAATATGGAACTGTTAGGAGTTGCAATGTTAACATCTTTACTATTTATTCTCAATGGTAATGGTTAAGGTTTCTGCTATGAGAAACCCTCACCTCTATCCCTTTCCAAAAAAACGTAAATCTAATTTTTATACCTTAATATCCACAGTCAACGCAAAAACATTACGGCTATTACGCATCACACCTTGTACAATAGAAGCAACAGAAAGTCCAATTGCCCAACTAAAAAAATATTTTGGTACTTATGAAGATGGAGGTGCCCTTTCTGCGGACTTTTTTTTTGCGGACTTTTCTTCCTTTCTTTCTAAATGTTTTGGTTGTTTTGCTTTCAGCAAGTTTTGCTCGTAGCAATTAACTGTCAAAGGATTATTTTTTATGCCAATTTGAAAAATATGTGTTCACGATTAATTTGAATATATAAGCGTAAAAATGTTACAATCAATAAAAAATTTGACTTTAACTAAATTTTCAATTACCCGATGATGAATTTAGACAATGGATCACTGATCTCGGAATACTTCATAAAAAAAAGAATATGTTATTGTGGAACAGAAATGCGGGTAATTTCAAACCTTGCCCCCCCCCCCCATTATTTTTATTACCTAAGATTGTACAAAATGGTCAGATTTCCTTTCCTCTGATTGAGCTTGGCATATTCAAATAAGAGATATTGTTGATAAAGAGAAGATTAAAATTAATTGAGTTGTTCAATACTGAGTTCAATTTATTTTCTCAGTTGTTCAATATTTTAAAATAGAAGTAAGAATGTAATGTTTTTACACACAAATTCATAATGTTATACACCAAATCAATTTTATTGAATTCTTTTTTGATTGGCGTGTCTTCCAAAGGCAAAAAAATAAGTGTATGACTATAAAAACTAATCTTCTCTTCATCAATGTCTCGTTTGAATTTGCCACAGGGCAAATAGAGGAAGGAGAGGAAGAAGAAAATCTGACCTTTATGTACAATCTTAGGTAAGAAGAATAATGGGGGAGTGGCGTTGACAGTTAGTTGCTACAAGTAAAACATTTAAAAGAAGGGAAGAAAAGTCCGCAAAAAAAGTCCGCAGAAAGGGCACCTCCATCTTCATAAGTACCAATATTTTTAATAAATTTCTGGAATATTTTCAGAAACAAAACCTCGTATATCCTTTCAAACGAATAATCTCATAAGCACTTTGTACGACCTTTTTATGAATCTCCTCTTCCAATTTTCCATCATCATTTTTTCCGTTAGAATTTGAAGCGCCAGTAGTGAGATCATGAGCAGAGAGGTTGACACCCGCTACATTGACACCACTCCAAACCGCCACTAAAAAAATTTTTCTCGAAAATAGGAATATTTTAGAAACAGAAAAATTAAAAATAGTCCTAATGTAAGTACTTGATGTACTAGAACTCACCACTCGAGTCTCCATGTTCTCCAATAATAAAAGCATGACAATTGCAAGGAGAAATGTTCAGACGCTCAGAAAGCAGGAAACGAAAACGAGCAGAATCCAAATTAGTCCCAGATCCAAAAACACGTTCCTTTGGCAGTCCGGACAATTTCCAAGTCACATAAGTCAGAATATCCACTTGAAATAAAAATTAAAGATTAAAATTAATTTTAAAAAACCAGGATTTGATACAACCAAAAACACAGTATTAGGTGAATGACGAACTAATTGCGGGACAATTCCCTTAAAGATAACAACATTGCGCTCAATAAGACTGAGACGAGACTCTCCCTCACGTTGACGACATCCAGCAGTAATAACGCAAATTTTTGATCCAGCAGTTTTGGCATAGTCTGAGAGAATTTAAAATGAGAGTCAAACGAGGCAAAAGAAGATACCGGTGCTCGCATTCACAATACAAGTGTTATGGGTAAATGCCAATCCATGTTGCAAATCCATCATTTCTCCTTGCAATTTATCAGCCAAAACATCCGTGAGACAAATCTCGGTAGCAATGTTCTGTGATAAAATCATTTATTAAAACTTGAGGATTTTAGAAAGTACCTGCTGAAGAATTGAATAAGCACAAGCCATTCCAACTTGACCAACTCCAACAATGGTAACCTTATTTTGTGGCGTTGACTCTATCGGCGCGACAGGCACAAAAATACCATTTTCAGACATGTTTTGAAATAAAAAATTATTTATATAACAATCACGTATTCTAAAAATTAACGGATATTTAAGAAAGTTTTTGATAACAAAAAATACGATAAAGAACTTTGAATCTTTTAAAGACAAAATGCCAAAGTAACGAAAAGCGTAGCACAGAATATATTTTCAAATCTGATTCCATTCTCGTTATATAACATTTTGGATTTCAACTATGCCAATCCCATAAATAAACCGCACTCAAAACCATAATGTAAAGAAAATTAAATTATGTTCAACAATTAGGAAAGAGGGGTAGAATGCTGGAAAAATGCCTTTTGCAGGTAATAAGAATTTATATAGAAATTATATTCTGGTAAAAATTTAATTAGAAAGTAGTGTTCGGCCTTGGTATTATTTGACTTGAGACCTTCTTAATAAGCACTGTTAATCAACCTTAATCCCTCTTAATCCCACCATATTCCTCGATATCCTCAACCGTGCGGACCCAGCTGAACTGCTTCATTTCGAAGACAGAAATTTTCTTAAGTATCAGTATTTACTAGGGATTACCGATAATGAAAATATCAATTGCCGCACACTAGTAGAAATAATGTATCAAATTTGTAATAGAAATGAAAATACATTTGTTTAAAAATTAACGTGAAAATTAACGTTTTTTAGTTCCTACGTTAATCGATTAACGTGAAAGCAAAGTTTAAAATATATTTTAAATAAATACACAAATATTCATGTTAAAAAATAACAAAATTAAAGAATAAATAAATAGGAGTTTTTAAATTTTTTTTTAAGGGTCATTTACTTTATTGTTTTCTGAATGGGGGCGTGTTTCTTGATTTTAAGCTGCTATAAATAAAATTTTATTAGAAATGGAATAACAATAAATTTCCTTTTTTGAGTTATAAAATCGTTCTTTGCTTTCATAAAAAAAAGAATGAATTGCAAAATGTGAGGAAACCTAGTCTGAGTGCTAGGCTGCATCTGGTAACATTCTTTCAAAAATAAGTCAAATGGATGTTAGAGAAAAAGCATTGAAAAAGGATATAATTTTGTGAAGTCGGACAGCCGGCTAAAAGAGCACAAAGTACTGACATAGAGAACGCCGTGAAAATGAGCAATCTAAAAAATTTAAGTGCAAAAAAGGAATAAAACAATACAGAGATCTAAATATTTTTAGAAAATTCTAGAATCGAGATATCCAACCCAAAAAATGTCGAGAATTCCCGATTTTCGACCATCGGAACAATAAAATCCCTAAACATGCCGTAAATGCTGAAATAATGTCCCTTTCTCAAATAATTACCCCGTCCCTTTTATTACCCCCTCCAGCGAGAGGTTGAAACAATAATTACCTTGGGTAATTATTTTAGCAAATACGGTATACATTTTTAATTAAAATGCTAGAGAAATATTCTAACAGTGAAATGTGAAAAAATTAAAATATGAAAAAAATTTTCGTTATAATATTTTTTGCTTCATCTTGTTCAAATTATATCTTAATTGAGAAAAGAAAAATAATTAATTCGATGGATTATTACGTTTAAATTTTAACTTTTAAAAAATTAAAGTATTTTCATCAATCAGTTAACCACAATACGTTTTCCAATCTTACTTAACAACCATTCAGATTCGCTATGATATTTTGGATCGCTAAGCATCAGTACAGTCTTTTTATAGAAAAAGTAGTAGAATATTGCTACTAAATTGAAAGATTCTTTTTTCTTGTCAAAAATTATTTACCCGTCCTTTGCAATAAAAACAAAAATGTTTTTGGTGTTTTCCAATCAAAGAATTCTTTATCTTTAGTATTTTCTTTAGATAACCAATTTTCTTTTAAAGAGAAAAAATGGTAAATTATAGATAAGGCCAAATAAAGGAATGCAACAATTATAGAACAACTAAATCTACGCAATAAATGTCCAATAAGACCTGCTTGGAATACAAAAGTTGAGGAAAAGCGAATGGCTAATCCAAGAATGGCTAGCACTTGGAGTGTGTCTTGAAGTCTGAAAAAACGAAAATTTAAAATTTATTCACTAAACTTCAAGAAAATTAATAAACCCTTAAAATTCCATTCTACATATCTTCGTATTTTTTAAATTATTATTAAATTCCTTAAAACATACAAAATAAGCATAAGTTGTACATTATTATCATAATAAAGAAGAGAATTGGCTGCATTAAATAACAAATCCAAAGGAAGGGCTAACAATAAAAAAAGCATTTTTTAAATATTTTTTAATTTTTTATTTTATGTCAGTCATTCTTCTTTAAAGAAATCAAGATTTTTATTTTTAGTTGTCATGGTAACATTTTTAGAAAAAAATTAAGTCATAAATTTTTAGTAAAATATTTAAGAAATGTTTATATGCATATCCGTGAATGTTTAAAAAATGTATAAACAAGGATTGGAAGGACTTTTACAAATTAAAACATCTCATTAAGCACTGCCATGTTTTTGCTCATTCATCAATCCTTTAACAATTATCTTTCGAAAAATTCCCTCGTTCCCGTTGTGCCTTTTCTCGTTCAGAGGAATATTCCACACAATTTTCTTCAGTTCAATTTTAAAATAATCGTCCAAAACTCATCAAAATTAAAAACCAAATTTCAATTTTTCCTTCCATTTAATCTTTTCTTTCCTCTTAATTTGAATCAACCAACTGTTAAATTTTAAAACATTCTAATTTACAAAAATCTACACAAAAATAGAAGAATATACATATTTTCCTTATAATTAATTTCCTAAAATAAAACATTTTTTTATTGAGAAAACCCCTTTTAATTTTCTTTAAAATATTCCTAACAAAAAAATTTTTAATGTGTTCTGAGATTGTTATCTTTTATTTTTATTTTATCAATCATTTTTAAGTACCTACATTATTTAAGTACAATCATTATCACTCAAAAAAGGGTTTAGAAAAAAGAGAAAATAACAAAAATAAATCTTCTCTCTGATTTTAAAATAAAAGTTTAATTTTGACAATTTAATTTAAGTTTAATTAATTAATTAATAATTAATTTTCATAATATTCATACACTTTTATTTATTTATGCACATGACTGTCTGCAATGAAAATGGGTCCTTTGTTAAGAAATAAAATTTAAGTGTACTCAAAAAATGTAGAACCTTGTTTTTTAAACAATACAAAATGTATATTTTTATTTTATTGGTGATAAAAAATAAAAATTGATAAAAATTGAAAGAATGATAAAAAGTAAAAATTAAAAATAAAATATTTTAACATAGTATACAAATAAAATTTAGCGAAAAGAATGTTTATTTAGATTAAAATCCTATTATTTTGTTCTAATAAAGATGAAGAAGAAATAATTAAATTATTATACAAAGCAATAAAGCTAAAATTTTTAGATTTATGACTAAATTATGGCTAAATTCCGGGAGAGATTTTGGAAATAAAGAGATTTTATTTCGAAAAATTATCCTTCTATTAGAACATTCAAAATAATTAAATTATTAATTCCTAATATCTATACTTATGTGGCTAAACACTGCACAGCTTGTATATCCTTATTTTCTACCGGCAAAACGTTTTCATCAAAACTTCTTTCACTAATTACTCTATTTCCTGGAGGATCATACCTCAAAACAACATAAAATATCCAGGCTTGTCCTCTTCCAGGAGGCATACAACCCCATCCTGCAGGCTGAGGAATTATTGAAACACCAATTCCAATTCGATTTGTGTCCCTCCAAAGCATTTGGGTAAAATGTCCGTGTCTTGAAGCAACCCAACGAGCTGAACGTCTATAATCCCTTCCTTCTATATAAAATGTTCTAACAGTTGCTTCAGCCATTGTTTCGGGGTCAGAAATTAAAGGTTGTAATGTTGAGTAGAAGAATAGACTTTCACCAAATCTGCAAAAGAAATATTTTAGAAATTTTAGAGTACAGTCAATGAATTCAGGCACACATTCTTGTTTTATTTTTAAGAATTCCTTGGCTTATGTCAGTTTTTAAGCCTTTCATCCTTTACTTACCTTTGTTGAGGTTCATGTGTTAGACAAGCAGATTGTCTCGAAACGGAGTCAGCCCATCGTTTGGCAGCAATTTCGCAAGCCCCATCTTGTGATAAATCATTAGTCCCATGTAATCTTCTATAGCGATTGTGTGCTTCAATAACCTGAAAAGGAAATTAATAATTAAAATAATGCCCAAAAAAAGTTTAAAAATTAAAAATCTCTAAATTTAGAAAATAAATGAATAAATTATATTAAAATGAAACAGCGGGATATTAAAATTAATTGGCTCCCGGTTAAGGCAATCTGCCAGTTTTTCTATAAAAAATAAAATGTTGAAAATAAAGAGATTAAAAATTAAATTTTTTGTAAATTAATTTTAAATTTAATTATTTCTAAAAATAAATGCTGAAAATAAAAATTGAACCCAGCTTTAATTAAGAAATAAAAAATTTTGAGTAAAAAAGGGAAATAAGAATTTTAAATAAATGATAGGGTTATAACTTTTTCAATGGGTGATAAGACTTGATTTATCCTATTAAAAATATAGCTTTTCGAGGGCTTCGAATGCTATTGAATTCATTTGTATTAAAACAAGATCAAAATATTATAACCTAGCAAAATTTGGCTGGCAGTTTGTGGTACTACTACTAAATAAATTTAATAAATTAAAGTACCGCTCTTTTAAAATGTGCAACATCAAATTGTTGTGGATGAATACGTTTAATTGCTGCATCCTCCATTATATATCTCCTTATTTGGTTTGCCTTTAAAATAAAAATATTTTTAAAATTTCAATTATTACTTACATCCCAGCCCATTTTTGTAATCATTTGACATAATGGAGGTCCAAGATTTGGAGGTAAAATAGCTAAAGGACTTGCTCTTGCTTGACTGGATATCGGCTTAATTTTATCAGCAAATAATTTAAATCCCGTTGTTTTTTTGGGTTTCCATGTATTTTTAAACCAATTCCATTTCTTTACTTTTGTATAGTAGTATCTTATTGAACGTTTATTTAACAATTTTGTTGGATTAAGATGAATTGAATAGGGAATGCTAAATAAAAATTTTGAAATTTATTTTAAAATAATATTATAAATTGTCTCGCTTACAAAAAATTTCAAAAATTTTTATTAAATTGAATTCATTATTAGCTACTAATATAAAACACCTTAAAACCAAACCTGGACACGGATACTGATTTTGGTATCCGTATCCGGATATTTACGGCGGATACAGACGGATACAGGCGGATATCCGCAGGCATTTTGTATTACCTGTATCCATATCCGTATCCATGATCAGGTCTACTTAAAACTACTATATTCCTTCCCTTCCACTCGCCTGATTATGTTTCTTGAAACATTCAAAATCAAACTACCAGTATTTTCAAAATTAATATTATAATCTATTTTCTGATATTCCGGAAATGTTAGAGGCATGTTGTTCTCAAATTTTGACAATCTGAGATAGGCAAAATCGACAGAAGAATTGCCCTTGCAAATACAAATATTTTTTAAATATGGGTAATCATTTAATTACCTCAAATGGGAAAGAGCGGCCAAAATTTATGGGAAATATTTGTTGATTTGTTGGTACTTCCCAAATGCCAGTTTTACAATCACACATTTTTATATTATTTTTTGAAGAAAGAAAATGAGGGCATATACACAAACTGTGGAGAAATTTAAAAAATTTTGTATTATTTTTTTGTGTATAACGCCACGAGGAATCTCATTCCAAACCCTTGGAACAAAGGATGAGGATATAATAGAAGAACAAGAGCAAGCAAAAGAATATTTAATAAAATACAACCTTAATTGGAGAATCATTTGTGGTGATAATATGTGATAATCTCTCACAAGTAATTTATAACAATTTTCATCACATTTAAATTCAAACAAAATATCAACGGATTTAGATGTCATTCCAAAAACAAGGATAAAATAAAATATTTGGAGTAATAAAAGTACAAAAGATAAAGAAAAAGGGGAATTCATTTTTTATATAAATTAACTATTTTATAAAGTTGGTAGTAAAAAGCGGAAAAATATATAAACCTATTTCATTTAATTTTATAATAAAAATTGAAAAGAGCTGCGCAACTGAGAGTGGGGCGTATATTACAAAACTTTTTTTAATTTTGTGTAATTAATTGCACAATTTTTTTTCAACTTTTGACGCTAATAGAGAAGACCTATATTAATTTAAAAATTGTAAAAAAAAATAAATTATTCCGAAACTCTTTGTTTTGTTGAGGTGTGTGCTTTAAAATACTTCCCCCTTTCTTTTCCTGTAATGTGTTTAAAATTGTTTTTTAAATTTTAAAATTATTCCAAGAAAAATATTGTAATAATTTCTTCTGATTGAAATTATAATTAGGGTTGCCGTTTTCGAGTCGGGCAGACGGTCGAGGCATTTTTTCGGGCTTGTTTTTATCGAGTCGGGCCTGTACGAGTCTTTTTCTGGCCAAACATCTAGGCCCGACTCTATCTCTTGATCCGAGTCGGGTCATTTTGGCAACCCTAATTTTAATACAAATTTTAATAAAGATAAAATCAAAATTTTAATAAATTCACTTTATTCTCTCCAATATCAAAAATGAATGGTCCTTTCTGAATTATTGTAAAATGACATAATATCCAAATAAATACATAACGCCAAAATTTAAATAAATAAACGATGATTTTTTAACTTTTCGCTTTTGCTCGTTAGTTTTTTCACCAAATTTTTCTATTGCTGGTGACGTTTTTTATAATTTTAATATATCACGTTGTAAATTTTTCTTATTACTTTTTAGTAGAATCAATATTATTTAAATTTGCAAAAATGGTACCTTTACCTGGTCAAGACAATGCTAATAAAGAAAATGAAAAGTTGAAAGTTAGCCATTGTTTAAGCAGTGTTCAGGCGAATCTTCCTGTAAATAAGGTTATTTTCTTTATTTTCTTTATTTTATTCTGTACTTTTTTTAAGGTTGTTGTTCACCCTTTGGTACTTTTGAGCGTTGTTGACCATTTTAATCGAATCAGTAAGACGCAAAGAGTTAGCAGAGTTGTTGGCGTTTTATTAGGGAGCATGGGTTCTGATAAAACTATTGACACTTCTAATTCCTTTGCTGGTAAATTTGTTTTTATATAATTTTTGTTAGGATTTCTTCAACGTAATTTTTTCTTCAATTTTGATTTTGTAGGATTGTTTAGATTTTTTGATTTGGTAAGATTATTTTTAGATGTATTTTTCATGGTTCGAGTACACTTGAAGTGCGAACGCATATAAAAATTAAAAAATATCGTTTAGACAAAAATTTTAAATTTTCAGTTCCTTATGACGAAGATGCTGAAGATTCAAATGTGTTCTTTTTGGACGCTGATTATTTGGAAGATATGTTTGGAATGTTTTACAAAGTAGCTGCCCGTGAGAAAATTGTTGGTTGGTACCACACTGGACCGAAGCTGTGTAAGAATGATATTCTCATAAACGAAGTCATCAAACGTTTTGTGCCTAATCCTATACTTGTAATAATCCAAGCTAGTCAGGCTAGCCATGAACAAATGAATTTGGGACTTCCTACAGATGCTTATGTTGAAGTACAAGAAGTTCATGATGTCTGTTTTATTATAATTAATTTTTTAAATTTAATATACTTTTTAGGATGGATCTCCTCCAATAAAGACTTTTGAACATGTTCCCTGTGAGATTGGAGCTGAAGAGGCTGAAGAAGTTGGGGTTGAACATTTGTTAAGGTTTTCTAAAAATATTTTTTTCTTTTTTAATTAAGTAATTTAAGAGACATTAAAAATTCAACTGCCGGAACTCTCTCACAAAGAATTACTAATCAATTTTTGGGCTTGGTTGGATTTCAACACCAATTGGCAAAAATGGCACTTTATGCAAAACGTGTAGTTAATAAGGAGTTGCCTGTAAATCATTCAATAATCTATCATTTCCAGGTAACTCTTTGTAAATGTTTTTTTAAATTCTCAATAGTCCCTCTGGTTCGATCCCGATTAATATAATTAGGAATTTTCGGTAAATTCCCCCTTTTTCTCATTTTTACATCTTCCCAGAATAAAAGAGAAAAAAGGGCTTTTTCGACATGTTAGAGGGTTGCCAGTAGGTAATCGGCTATGCTGACATGAGTTTGAATACGAAGCCAGATTTTATTTGTTTTGAATCTTGGACCTAAAATTTGAGCTTTAATCGACGTGTCAATTTTCTATTTCCATTTTCTAAAATGGAATTAAATTTGTGTATTTTAGCCTCTCTTGTACTTAAGTCGTTTGATCCTTTTTTATTCAGGAAATTCTTAATTTGCTTCCTGATGTTCTTTCGCCAGACTTTGTTGACGCTCACAACTCAATGAGTAATGATCAAGCAATGCGTATATATTTGGGAAATCTTGCTCGAACCGTTATTGCTCTAGACGATCTCATTGACAACAAAGTTTTATTACATTTTTTCATTTAAAGTTATTTATTTAAGTTGGTATTGCAACGAGATGAAGAAAAATCTGAGAAGAAAACTGATTCAGAAGAAAAAATTAAAGATGCAAAATCTGGAGAGATTAAATCAGAAAAAGTTTAATACCAAGTATATTTTTTGAAAAGTTCGTGAGGTATATACAAGTCAATAAGCATTTTATTATGTGGAAATAAATAAGTTGACAAAGGTATGATAAGAGATATTTATAACAAGCGTTGCTTCAGATCTGGTCATTGTCTCTAGCGTCCTAAATTTATGTTTGTGTTTCCACAAAAAATGAGTGAAAACCTGAACGTTAGTGATGACGACGAGATTTGAAACAATGATGGTTTGTTATTTATAGATATTATTATACCTTTTCACACCATTATCACTATCCCTATAATATACCTAATCGAATTTTGAGAAAATTTCAACGATTTTTTGCGTTTGTTTTACAAATCTTATTGTTAGAATCTATTTTCGCTCCACCTCAAAGTATAATTGCTTTTTTATTTTCAATGGAGATTGTCAAAAATTTTTGTCGATATTTTTGAGGTTATCTTTGATTATTGAATTGTGTCCGTCCTCAAAATTTTCTTATATATTCTTGTTACATAAATGTTTCTCGCTCTTTCTCTTGTCTGTTAATTTTGCGTTGATTTACGCTTTTTACTTTTAATTAAAAATCCTGAAAATTAAGCTATTTTATTTGCTTTGTGAATATATACTTTGATATATTCTAACAATTTTACTGAAACGAGTAAACCGTATGATTCTTGCTTGCGCCTAAAAATTTAATTTTATTAAAAATTAGGCAGCAAAAATTTAAACTTTTACTTATAGGTATTTTAATTTTTTAGTGATTGTTTCTATCCGGGTTATAAATTTATTTATGCTTTGTTGTTCAATGTCTGTTGTACGTCATCAACTTGTGCCTTCTCCATCAACAAGTGTAAAGGTTGTTAAATTTATTTTTTGCCTTTAATGTTCGTTATTGAAGTGTAGTACTTTTACTATGCATCTGTCCTTTAAGAAAGTATTTAAAATTACATTTATAAAAGTTAAGGAAAGCAGGGAGAAGCCAACAACGTCTAATGGTGATCATACAAAATCTGAAGTATTGACAACGTCGCATCCATTGATTTCTGACGGCAAAAACATCTCAGATCCACAAATTGTCAATAAATGGACGAATGAATTTTTGCCAAGGCCAGAACCTCCCCGTTTTTTTCGACCGCTATGTAATAGACTTGCAAGGCAAAATCAAATTCTTCAAGAATTGGAGCAAAAGCATCACGAAAATACTAAAAAAATAATTGCGGAAGCAAAGCGAAGAATGGAAATGTCAATAAGACAAACAAGGGATGAACAGAAAGTTCAACTTAAAGAAAAAAGGAAAAAAATTGACAAGAATGTTAATAAAAGGTTTTGTTAGTTTTATTTTGGATAAGGGGTTTAAAATCATTTTTAGTTCCTTCCCCTTAGAAAAGATGTCAACCAGTGTTAATCAACAAAATTCTAACAATAAGAGGTCGTCTTCGCAACTAAATTCTGGTCATGATGTGAAAAAGTCAAGAAAGGATCTCATGCTCACTAAAAATGGAATTCCGGCTAAACTTAATAAGTTTAAGGCTTAAGATTTATTTTTGAATTATTTATCTATCTATATTTGCGGGCAAGGATTTTTCGGGTTCCAATTTGGCAAGTTTGTATACTTAATCTGATTCCAATTTTTTTACCTTAATGATGTATCAAATGTTCACATCAGGGGTTTATAGTAATAGTTTTCGGACCACAAAACTTCCCAAATCGAAACCTTTGAGAAATCCGGTCTATTTTGCTAGTCTTTCAAGACTTACTTGTTTTTGTTTTATAGTATTTTCCTACATAATTTTATTGGTTGTTTTAATTATGAATTTTAGTAAATACTTACTACATGCGATAATATAATAAATTTCCGAACAGTTTTTATATTTTTAAAATCCATTTGCATTTACATATGTATATGCATTATATTTTTATATAAATTTTGTTTAATTTTATATGGATTTAGGAAGTTGTTAAAATTGCCAAACTGCGATTATTCTCTGACGCGGTTACCTATACCCGCGTCCCTTCTATGCAAGAAAATTCAACATCTGATTCTGTTAATACAACTTTACGCCTTGAAACAGGTTGCATAATTATTTTTTCATCGTTGACTTTCCAATTTAAGATTTTAACGCCGAGTCCGGAGACGACGAAACTCAAGTTTTCATTAAAAGTGGAAATTATAAGGTGTGATAATTTCTAATTAAATTGTTTATTTTTGTTTATAGAAAGAAGAGCGTACCCCTCTACTCCCTGAAAGAAGTCCTACAAGCCGAGAAATGAGTTCACCTGATGAAGCTGGTATTCGTTCAGAACGGGTAAATACTTTGGATTCGCAACATTCTGATGAGGAAATTTCACGAATGTGTAAGATCTCTAAAATTGATCTTAATTTTCTTTTTTTAAAGGTAACGAGCAATATGGAACTACAATAGGCACAGATTTTGCAGATAATCTTGCTGAGGCTATCCGTGCTATAAACCATGAAATTTACCCTGAACGAATTGCTCAAGGCTCTTCTGGATCTTATTTTGTTAAGAATTTGAAAAGGGTTTTTTACTTTTTTAGATTTGAAATCATCTGAAAATTTAGGAAAAAATTGCTGTCTTCAAACCGAAGAATGAAGAACCTTATGGGTCCTTAAATCCAAAGTGGATCAAGTGGCTACATAAGTTGTTTTTTCCTTGCTGTTTTGGACGTTCTTGTCTTGTACCAAATCAAGTTTAATAACTAAATTATGTGTAACTTTTTTATATTTTAGGGATATTTATCTGAAGCTGGTGCGTCTTTGGTTGATCAAAAGCTCGGTCTGAATGTTGTACCAAAGACAGCAGTTGTTTCTCTTGCAGCTCCAACATTTAATTATAGCCGTGTTGATCGAGCTATGACTCGCACAAAGGAACGAATCCGTGATCGTTATCCTGATATTGGTAGACATTTTCGCCGTATTGGATTACCTCCAAAGGTATTTTACAAATACATGAATGCTTTCTATCTTGTAATCTAAAATAATATTTCTCTTTGTCAGCGTGGAAGTTTCCAGCTTTTTGTAAATGGCTATCAAGACGCTGCATATTGGTTACGACAATGGGAACTTTTCCCTGAAATGGCTCCGCCGACTTCTGTAATGTCTGAATTTCAATTGGAATTTGAAAAAATGGTTATTCTTGACTATTTGATTCGAAATACTGATCGTGGAAATGATAATTGGTTAATTAAATATGAGCCAGTGACTGTAGAAGGGAAGGTTGGTGATATCACCTCTGGATTGCTAGCAAAGCCGAGGGATGGGACTGCTCCGGGAACTGCAATGCGACTGAACGAGGAAATTAATTCTCAGGATGATGCTAAATTAATCGATCTTCATGAAGACAATGAGGAAATAGACGGAGGTATTTGACTTTTAAAATTATTGAGGTCTGAGGAGAATAATAAAATGCTTTTCAAATTCAATATTACAATGTATTTCAGTTATTTTTTATTTTAAACTATTTTAGTTGATGAAACTCTAAACGACAGTGCAGGTTGGGAGAGCGTACTTATGCCTAATGCCAAAATTGCTGCTATAGACAATGGACTTGCTTTTCCGTTTAAACATCCAGATCAGTGGAGAGCATGTAAATAAAAAAACTTTTCTTGTTATTAACAATTTCAGATCCTTACCAATGGGTTGGCCTTTCAATTGCTCAACGTCCTTTTAGTGATGAAATAGTCAGTAAAGTATTACCTTTGGTAGACAATACAGATTTTGTGCGTGAATTGGGTAATGATCTTCGAAAAATATTTGAGGTTTTTAGATAGTAAAATAATTTCTAAAAAACTTTTCTTTAGGCAGACAAAGGCTTCGACAAGAAAACATTTGCCAAGCAATTATCTGTAATTCGTGGTCAAATGTTTAATTTACGAGAAGCCTTACGTGCTAGAAAATCGCCTGCTCAACTTGTTCAGGTAAAATAAAAATTAATTTTAAATAAATTTATTTTTCTTTTAAAGATGACTCCACAATATATGATCGAAATTAAACGAAAGAAACTTCGTAAATTCCGAAAACTTGTAAAAAATATCAAAAGCAGCAACAGCCAAATTACAACGACAACTGAGCTTACACCTTCAACGACTAATTTAAACCAATCAACAAGTGGAAAAAGTTTAGCAGAACAACCGCGCATACAGGATAATGGCAAGTTTCAAAGTTTTTTTGAGAATGGAGGATTTTTCATAAATCAGTTTTGAGGATTTAGAGTATTACTATAATTAATATCAAAATTAATGACCGACACAATTATTTTTCCGGGCCCGGAAAGAATTTTGGATTTAACAGTCATGCCGGACCGGATTTTTTCGGGATTAATCCGCTCCGGATTTAGTCCGGAAATTTCAAAAAACCAGGATTTGGGACCCGGACTCTGGAAAATCCAGCCGGAGTCCGGTCTGGCGCCGGTCACTAATCAAAATTGTTTAAAATAAATTTAAAAATAAAAATTAATCTAGCAGATTTAACATTCTATTTTTAATAAAATTTTTATTATTTAGTTGCTGGTACTTCGTCAAGCGTTCCGGTCAACGAAGCTGCAATTGCATCAGAAGCCATGACTACTACCGAAGACGAATATGAGAATCCAAAATCATGGCACAACACATTTAAACAAAAAGTGCAGACTCGTTCTCCATTCTTTGTGATTTGGTAAAAATCAAAATTTTTAAAAATATTTTTGTAATCTTTGCCTTGGATGGAGAATGTCTTAAATTGGGATGCTGACTTTTAAATTAAACTTTTGTAATTTAAAAGGTTCCCTTGTTAATTTTAAATCATAAACGTTCTCACTTGTCAGTTGTGTTTGGATCTAAATATTAGTTAACTTAAAACTGACAAATCAAGGGAGTACTAAAAAGCTTACGCGAATTAAGATTTTTGCGCAAACACAGACCTGTATTCACAAAGCATATTGAAACTATTTAAAAGTCAGACCCTTAAGGATACATATTTTATGAAAACAAAAGCTTAAATTGAACAAATTATTTTTTTAATATTTAATAAATTTTTAAAAATTAAATTATGTATTTTTGGCATATACCTATTTATATTCCTTTTATTTTGATTTGCTTTTTATATACAGTTTTTCCACTTCTTGTTTTTCTTTTGCGACTTTTAATTTTCTTTTCCGCCTTCACTTTCTTAAAATAGACAATTACTCAACTATTATTTTATTGTTTTTTCAAATATCAAAAATAATTTCTTTAATTATAATAATTTCAACAAAAATATTTTATATAAAATTTATAGACTTTTCGCATTTATTCACAAACTTATTTTTTTTAAATTTTTTACACAGGCCATTTTTTGTTTAATAATTTAAAATTTTATCCATTAAATTTTTTATTTACTTCTACGTTATTTTCGTTAAAATATAGATAAGGTTAATCATAGGTAATAATATAATTGTGTCATCTACTAACAGTTCATAGGAGACAGAGGGGGGGGGGGTACTTCATATTTTCGCGTATTATTAGAATTTTAGGTTAATTCATTTGATGATCCCTTAAATTTTTAAATATATTTTAAAAAATATTTTTTTCTTGTTTATTTTGCCATATTCAAAATTTTTCTGGGAAATTATTACTTTTACAAGTTTGTTTCTGGTTAACATATATTTGTGAGTAATTAATACACTTTTGTAAGAGGTCATCATTATAGGCCATAACATGTCAAATAAACATTTGAGTGTATGTTTATGTACTCTTTCAAATTTTTCCCTATCAAAAGGATCGTAAATTTTGCCAAAAATAAGCAGAAGGAATATACACTATTGCTAAATAATCAAACATTTATGCTTCCAAAATTGTCTAGACGTGAGAATAATTTGAACAGACTCCGCCTTTTCAAAAATTGCACATTAGTATATTTTATTTTGTACTTAAAGTATAAATAAATGAATAAATATACTCCCTATTTTATATAATATGTATATTATATTAAAAGTTATTTTTTAATTAGGGAGAGGGGATTTCCATAAAAGGTTAAGTTCCCGGAAGAGGTATATCTCTAAAAAATTTAGACACCTTAAAATTCTGTTTTTTGTTTAAAAAATCTTTCCTTCCCTTTTCCTTGAGAATAATTAAATATACAAAATACATACAAATTCAAAAAATACCAGAAAAGATTAAAAATAACCTTCAAAAAAACTTTAAAAATTGCCACTAAAAACAAGTAAAAAATAAACTTATTTTCTTCCCATTCATTTCGGCAATGTTTGGTCAACCACTTTTCTGATCCACCAAACAATTATTAAAATTCCCATACTTATTTTTGTACAAACAAAAATATTTTTATATAAGAAAAATATATCAAAAGGTAATCCAAAAAAATGTAATTCATTTGTGGACACTTTTAATTCTTTTCTCTTTTTATTCATTCATTCATTAAATATACACTGCGTTCCAAAAGTATATGCACCCCTAGTTTTTTGATTTTTTATACATTTTTCTTAGTTATTTTGATTAGACTTTTTGTCTATATATTCTTCCAGATAAATGTGTATGTTTAAACAAAAAAATAAAAATTTCCCCCATCTCGTTCCATTTTTATAAACATTTATACAAATATTCACTGTTCCAAAAGTATATGCACCCCCCTCAAAAATTTTTATTTAGCAATCAAAAAATCCAAAAAAATTTCTCCAAAGATATCCATAAATATAGATAAGAAATACAAAAGAAATGAAGTTCTGATGTACTTCCATCATCAAGATCTTGAAACCCGAAAATCAACGGAAAACAGGGGGTAGACGTCTTTAAAAAATATTTTCGACCCCTTACAGGTAAAATAAAAATTTAATTTTAGGCTTATTTGAAAGCCCTTGAAATTTGCTACAAGATAGCTTTCAAATCATAATCCAGAAAAAATTCATCTTTGAGAAATAATGATTTAAGTTTATAGGGTACATTTTCATCACTTTTTGGGGGGCGTTTGAGTGATTTATACGACCTGAAAGTTTAACACATTTTGTCTTAAAGGTTAATTTTTTTGAGAAAATAAAATTAATGCTATCTTGTAGCAAATTTCAAGGGCTTTCAAATAAGCCTAAAATTAAATTTTTATTTTACCTGTAAGGGGTCGAAAATATTTTTTAAAGACGTCTACCCCCTGTTTTCCGTTGATTTTCGGGTTTCAAGATCTTGATGATGGAAGTACATCAGAACTTCATTTCTTTTGTATTTCTTATCTATATTTATGGATATCTTTGGAGAAATTTTTTTGGATTTTTTGATTGCTAAATAAAAATTTTTGAGGGGGGTGCATATACTTTTGGAACAGTGAATATTTGTATAAATGTTTATAAAAATGGAACGAGATGGGGGAAATTTTTATTTTTTTGTTTAAACATACACATTTATCTGGAAGAATATATAGACAAAAAGTCTAATCAAAATAACTAAGAAAAATGTATAAAAAATCAAAAAACTAGGGGTGCATATACTTTTGGAACGCAGTGTACCTCTACTTTAAAATAGCATATAGTGTCTCTACAAATATTACCGCCTCCAAAGAGTTGCCGTCCTTAATTTTTTTGTTCAAGTTCTCTTATTAAAATATCCCCCCACATTTTCCCTCATTTTCCATTTTTATTAAAGTTTTTTTAAAAATATTCAGAAATGTCTTCATCTAAATTAAAATATAATTCAAATATTATCACAATTCTTCTTCAAACAGAAAATTATTTATCAGAAAATGAAAAAGAAAGTACACCAATGCCTGGTATTGGGTTTGGCATTCAAGGAGAGAAGCCTTCTCGTTTGATTGTCATCCCTGGCGGTGTTGCTGATCGGATGGGATTAAAAGTAAAGATAAAATGTTTTTGAGAGGATAAAAATCTGTTTATTATTTGATGGATGAGTATTTTGAGGGAAACACTAACTGGTGGGAGATTCTTTCAGTTTGAGGGATGGTGCAACAATTCTGACTTTGAGTTGGACTCTGACTTGAGAGAATAAGTTAAATCCCCCATTTCCATGGGTTTCCTTTTGCTTCGGCATTTTATTGAGGACGATTCTTTGAATCCAATTTTTTCTTTAAAATTATTTTTTAACAGAATGATGACGAGCTTTTGGCAATAGATGGAAAGACTTTACACGGACTAGATCATTTAAATATTGTAACAAAATTAGCACATAAATGTGTAAATCGGAAGGAAATGCTTGTCACAATAAAGGCAAAATATTTAAATAAAATCAAAAATATACTAAATCATTCTCCTTTAGAGAAGGCAAACAACAAAAAAGACAATGCCAGAAGGAAATTTACGACAACAAAATTTTGGTAATAAAAATAAGGAAGAAAAAACGGAAGAAGAAGAAGAAAGAGGCCAACAAAAAAAGAAAAATAATTTTCCCTTTCAAAAGTTCCCAATGCCGTTAGAAGGAAGGGAAGGAGGGGGAATATATCAATCCCGCTGGGTTTGTTTGCCAAAAAATTATATTTAATTATTTTTTTGGTATTTGCCAAAAATATATAAAATAATTTATTTTTCTTTATTTTCTTGCAAGAAAATCAGAATTAAATAAAAACAAATGTGGAAAACAGAATAACTAAAACTTTTATTCTTCCCAAAGACAAAGGGAAAAGAAGATTTGTTGTTTAGTTTAGTAAATATTTTAAAAAATAACCTGAAGGTTTATTTGTTTTCTAATTTATAAATCTCCGTATATCTTTCGAATATTCTTGTTTATTCGGACACGAAATTTTTTTTTCTTTCTTTCCTATTAACAATAGGCAATTTACTCGATTTGGATATTTTTAGACTATAATTGAAATAATCATCAGTTTCCTTGTCACTCTTAATTCTAACCAGTGGTTGGAATTTTGAGATTTGCTCGTATTCGTACTTCGTACACAGGTACGAGTACGGATTTTAGTACGAGCTTCCATTCACTGCTTCTAACGACGTAATAATAATTAACCCCCTCACATTTTGTACTCTTTTTCAATTTTTTCCTCAATTCTTTATTAATTATTTTCACTTATAATGTAAGAATGTCCAGTAAATTGTCTCTAATTAATTATAATTAATTAATTTTCCTTTAAATTCCATTACTTTTTCCCTTCATTTTTCAGTCTAATCGCCTTAATTTCCAAACAAAATTTCATCTAAATACTCCACCTCAACATTTCATTAAATACAAACATCGACGTTCATTACCTCCTTTAAATTCTTCAACAAAGGAATTTTCTTTTGAAAATTCTAAAAATTTAATTAAACAAAAACAACAACCAATATCTTTATTCGTAACAGAATTTATTGGAAAATTTACTGATTTTATTATTAAACCTTTAAATAATTATGATGATGCTATTTTATATTTTGAAAAGGTGAACATTAAATTTTTTAATTTTCCTAGAATTTTAGACAACAAAAAAATATTTTTTTTTATTTTTTTAAATTTAATTTATTTTTATATTCTTTGCAGATATTAAAAGAATTTAATATTCCAACAAACCAAAAACAAACATTTTGTATACTTTCTGCTTTTGAGGATCATGTAAAATAAATTTTCTTTAATTTTAATTATAAATAATTTTTTAAAAATAATTCTATCTTTGGTTTTTATTTAAATACTGAAAAATTTTTAAATTTAATTTTTTGGAAGTTTTATTGAAATAAAAATTATTTTCGGATTTTTAAAATTTTCCCAAAAATTTTAATATTTACTTTAATATTAAACTTTTAGTTGCAAATATTTCCATTTATTTTTGATGAATTAAATATCAAACAGAATATCAATACACCAATTAATTTAAATAAAGAACAAATTATAACAATTTCTCGTAGCCAAACAGAACAAAAAATGTTTGGAATATTGACAACCTCTAATAAAAACAGAGAAAATATTTTCGAATGTTTTTTGTTCAAAACATTACCAGAAAATTTACAAAAACATTCTGAACATTTAAAAATATCAGAATTATTAAATATTAAATGCAGGTAAAGAACTTCTTCTTTTGTTAATACAGTGCCGGGAAAAATGAGAGTTCGACCAAGTTCGACTTTTGTTCAACCAAAAATTCTATGAAAATTTTTTATTACCATTTCCATTATATGTATTGAGTGAAAAGTGAATAGAGAAAATTCTGTAACTTCCTTCTTCCTCGAGATCTCGAATCTCAAAATTCAACGGAGTCCCCTAAAGCATATTAGAAGATTTTCCTTATAGACCTACCATATTTCCGAGAATAACTACCCTGGGTAATTATTGTTTCGAGCTTCCGCTAGAGGGTGTAATTAATTGAGTGAGGGCAATTTTACGAGTTTTGAAATTGATCGTGTAGTAGTTCATTTGATAGTGGGCAATTATTGTTTCAACCTATTGTTGGATGGGGTAACTATCTGAGGGAGGCAATTAACCATGTTATACGGCATATTTTTGCCTACTTCAGAATAAACTTTTTTATTTAAATTTCAGAAAAGAATCTTCTTCTTTTAACAACAAAAATCTATCAAAATTAACAACAACGACAACTTTTAATTGTTTAGAATTTACTTCAAATTGTTCTCGTATTATTGCAAATATTCGTTTTTTATCGTTTGAAAATTCCTCCTCTTCATCCTCCTCTAATTCTTCTTCTTCCCCAACAAAAGAAAAAATAAAAAACAAAATTGTTTACAAATTTTTAAAAAGTATTGGACTTGTAAATTCGTTAGAAATTGAAAGAGAATTAAATAATGATTTTGACGATTCTGATGAAAATTGTCAAAATACATCAACAGAATCTATTGCAAATTCTGGTGATTTGTGTGATCCTGAAGAGATTTTTGAAGGAAATTGTTCTTTTGAAGAAAGAGGGGTTAGTTAGTCTTTTAAATAAATAAATAAATTTTTTGAGAAAAAAATTTTTTGAATAGGAAAGAACAAATAAAAATTATTTTAAATTTAAATTCAAAATTCAAAAAAAATATATTTGCTGAAAAAGCGTCAGTTTTAGTCTGTTTTTTCTTCAATTTTCACAAGTCCATTAACCTTGAAAATTTAGAAATCCTTAAATTATTTTTTGATTCTTTTATTTTGTTTTAATATTTATAATTTTGATTTATATAGCGCGAATAAGTAAATAAATAAAATTTATTTCTCAAAAATATTAAAAGAAAATCTCCTCTTTCCTTTTTTAAAATTTACCAAAAAATATATTTTGTTTGGGAGCAACTGACTGACCATCAAACACAAAAACTGTGACTAACGGGTTTTTTTGTGAATCAGTATGTAGGTAATAGTAGAAGGAGTAGTCATTCCTAGTTTATAGGTATATCTATCGGCTGGCTTCTTTTTTACAATTTATTTTGGCTTGTAAATGTTTTTTTTGTTTTTTCAATAAATAAAGCCCTAAAAATTTCTAAAAATGTATAATTATTTATCTTTATTTTTTGTATTTGTTACTTTCATTAAAGAGATGTAAAAATTCATTTCATTTAAAAACTTAAGATTTTCCTCTCCTTTTCTAGAGTAGCTGTTAGTATTAGGGTTGCCGGCCCGGTTCGGTTCGATAGATCGAATCCGGCATCGAATTTTGGCTCGAAAATGTCTCGACCGGTCCGGCCTGATAAAGATGAGGCCCGAAAAATTGACTCGAACGTTGGCCCGATTCGAAAACGGCAGCCCTGGTTAAGTATCTCACTAATCATTAGAAAATCTTCAATTAAAAATATATTTTATCCGCATTTAGATATTTTATTTTCTCATTTATTTTTTCTCTTTCTAAAAATGAGCACCAATTATTTAAATAATCAAAATTCAATTAATCATTTACTAATCAAAAATCAAAATATTCACGTTTGCCGACTTTCTGGACGTCTCACAGCTTGTTATCTTCGAGATTCTCGCCGATGTCATGCTAAAAAATTGAAAACAAATGAATTAAAAACTAATAATTTAATTAGAAAAAATTCAATAAAAAAGTTTAACAAAAAAAGAAATTTAAAAAAAAATAAAAGAAGAAAATAAAGAAATTAATGAAATAAAAGAAGAAGAAATATTTTTTATTCAAAAATTTGAGAATTCTCCTAAAACAAAATTAATTAATCGACAAAAAGGAGTAAAAAATAAGAATAATTTTACAGAAATTTTTAAAAATTTAGAAATAATTAAAAAAAAGTTTTTTTTAATTTTTTTGAATTTTTAGTTAAACTCTCCACAAACAATCAACCTACAAAAAACAACAAATTCTCCTATAATTTCACATTATTCACAAATGCCTCAATGTCACCGAAATTGTCATTTTACGCCATCTTCACATCGACCGATTTTTAAGGTAGTTTACTAGAATGATTAAAAGGATCATTTGGATTAAATACAATATAAAAATTAGATAATTAAAAAATAATTAAAATAAAATTCTAATTATTTTTTCTGTGCATTCTAAACTACTTATTAGGGTTGTTCCCCGTCCCCAAAAGTCGGGGAATTTGATCCCCCCTCGTGGTGCTGCCTCCCAGAAAATTGTTCCCCGTGCCCCCTCCTCCGCCGTCGGGGTACAACCCTACTACTTATAATAAATACTAACTGACAACTAATCTCATTCCTGTCTAAAAAATATTAATTAATTTCACCAATTGACCTGAAAAAGCTAAAATAATCGAGTGCAGCAGTAAAATCATATTTTAAATCCCCTCTGAACTATCCTCATCTAAATATTTTTTATAAGTAAATAATCCCAAAAACTATTTAATATTTTCCACCAATTTTAATTACCAAAAATTATTTTTAAACCAAAAAATTTATCAAACTAATTCTTCATTTAATATTTTTCTCTTTACTTGCCTGTTTCAATATAAATAAGTAAAAAAAAAAGCCAAAGCCTCTAAAAAAGCTTTCGTACTTTTTCCGCTTCGTTTGTTGTGGCGGTTGGCACTTCTTATTTTTATTTTTTTTCTTTTTGCCTAATGATGCCCTTTTTTATATTTTTTTTGTTGTCAAAAAGTCCTTTTCCGTTGATGTTCAAGGCTATATGGGTCGTTAGATAAATTTAAATCTCTCCTTCCCTCTTTTTTTGGTTAAATTAAATATATTTTTGTGAAGGTGGCAAAAAGAATTATTAAGGAAAAATTGTTTAAATGAAAATTTTAGAATATTTTTTTGGGTGTAAACTTGGTTTATGTACATAGTTCAAATTTAAAAAAATTCTATGTAGTATCTTTCAAAATTCTTGCCTCCAAGAGGAAAGGGAAGAGAATCCCAAAAATTAACATTTAATTTATTTTTAATTATTCTCTAATAATTTATATTAATTAATAAACTTTTATGAAAACTTCCTTTGTTTCATTCTATTTTTATATTTCAAAATTCATCTCCCAAAGGAATGGACTGTCAAAATTTTTTGTTCAAAAATTTTTGTTCAAACAGCAAAAAAATTTTTTTAGACGAAATGCCAAAAAATAACAAAAAAATTCGCTCATTTTCTTTTTATTCAAACAAGCCTTTAGGGATTTGTCATTTCCTAACAGACATTATTTCTCTCTTTTTTTTTGATCTAAAAACTTCTTTAACTTTAAAATATCTTAAAAAAGATTACAATTTAAATTTATGAAATTTAAAAATACATAATATTTATTTGTCAGAAAATATTTTTGATTATAGGGGCTTTTAGGTTATTTTGCTTGCTCAAAAAAGCTCACTGAATTTATTAAATGCGAGTTCAATTCCAAAATTCATTGAATTAAAAATAATTTTTTACAAGAATTTCTGGCATCTTTTTCTTCGAACATATTTTTTCTTCAAAAAACGTCATCTCTAAATATTTATTTTAGATACTTCTCTAATTGCACACAATTCTGTTCTTTTGCCATTTTTTCTGCAAAAGTTTTGTGTCTTTCCGTCATAAATATTTATTTATTTACACTTTGGTTTGCGCGCCTAATTGGAACTTCCTTTTTTCTATTTTTTTCTGTTCAAACAACTAAAAATATTTATTTTAAAGCTTTTTTATTTTTTTAAGAAAAATATTTATTTTTTATTTGCAAGTAAATAAAAGTAAATAATAATAACATCTGATATTTTCTTTAGAATATCAGAATAAATTTTTAAATAATCGTTGAAATTAAAGCTCTATTTAAATTATTTCAAATTTCAAAAATTCATTAAAGTCTAATTCAATTTTTGTATTTAGTACGTCATTCTTTTTGATGGACAATATTACTCATTTCTGCTAATACAGGGTTTTCTTTATCTACCTATATATTTTGCCAAAAATATAATTGTCTAAAAATATGCCTACTACATACATAGATTAATTCGTCTTTTTTAGTACTTAATTTTTATTATTTCCCCAATTTATTTAAATTTATTTAATACAATAGTTTGGTTCAGACCCCACCCCCCCCCCTCCTCACTGTTTCCCTGGCCATTTTAAGCTTTTTTTCTTAACCTATATTTAGTATAAAGTATTCGAAAGAGCTCTTCAAGCTACATAGGTCGATTAATACTAAAATCGGTAGATTTGATGTGGCTGAACAAAATTCACAAGTTAAAACTTTTTGTGTCGCTGCAAGGGATTAAAACAAACGATCATAACCTTGTTGATTTACATTAGATTGTTACCAACAAAACATTGGCCTTACTATTTTTAAATTTAAAAAATAAATAATATGTATGTATATTTGTATTTCAAAAATCAAAAGGTATAATTTCTCAGAATTATTTGTTTTTTTAATTTTTTATTTGCAATAATTCTCTTCCTTCATCTCCTATTTTTTTTTAAATTTATATGCAAAAATCCTTGTCTTTCCTCTAAATTTTTTTACCTTTTTTATAAAAGTATTTTTATAATAGTGCAAGAACCCCCCTCTCCCTCTTCTCTTTACTCGAGAGCAGGCAAACGAGCAACGGCTTTAAAAAATGGGTGGCAGGAAGGTATTGGTTAAAAAAAGGAGAGAGAGAGAATTATTTAGTTTTCTATTATTTAGTTTGCATAATCTCCCATTGAATCTCTGGACCCCCAACGGCTTTGGCATTCCCCCTCCTGTCATTTTTTTGTTTTTATTTCTTTTGCCATTTATTTTTTCCTTTACAAATTTTCACATTCTTTTTTTTGTCATCCAATATATCCTTCTCTCATTTTCTTTCTATTTTTACGTTGACTTTCAGTAAAGCTTTGCGCTTTTTTCTTCTCTTCTTTAGTCGTTGTGCCACCGCTAGTTTAGCTTATGCGGCTTTTCCATTGTGGGGTTTGTCATGCGAAAAGTCCTCTCCTCTTTATGTCTTACTTTTTCTCAAGATTTAAAAGAAAAAGAAGCGAAAATTGAAATGGAAAAGAACTGAAAAAGATGACAGTCGGCCAAGCAGCGTTCCTATCGACCGGCTGGCAATAGACAGCCGTGGGACCTCTACACAAGAAAATATATAGCTCTCTCTCACTCTACATTCTCTCATCAACTAGTCATTCAATGAAAGCGTCGCCGGCCGCCACCCCGACTGCCTATTATTTGTATATGTCCTCATGGCAGTTGAGTGGTTAGTTGGTTAGTTAGTTTGCCGGTACCCGTCCCTGCCTGGTCCCTCCCTTCCCACACTTTTTTTTTATTTCTTTGACGGTCCTTGTCTCCTCTTCACCTTCCTTTTTTGCCATGCTTTCGCTGTCCAACCACTAATAACACGTCAATAAATTTTTGCGGCGCGCCAACCCACAGACAGTGTCTCAGTATTTGGTGGTACTCGAAAATTAGAGGGGAGATGCTAGGATTATTTTAAAAAGTATTGGCGCAAACTTCGACAAACTATTTAGAAATAGGATCCAAATAAATTTGGATGCGCGAAAAAATATTAATTTTTTGATCAATATTTTTTACTTATTGACAATTAATCGCATAATAAATCAATTAATTTTTAAAAATTATTTTTAATTAAAATTTATTTATTTCGTCTTTTTCTAATTTCTTTTCTAAATTCGTTCAGATCTTTTTTTAAATTTGAGTTTCTTCTAAATTTTCTGACAGATTTTAGTTTTTGTTTGTTAAAATATTTTAAAGACTTAAATATTTATTTTTTTTCTCATTTTCCAAATTTAGTCGATGAGAACATTACAATCTCGTCGTCCATTTACCAAATTTGGAAGAAAGGAAATTAAAGATGAGAGAATATATTTACGTTAAGCATTGGGTGGGGGAGGTTTACCCAATTTTTCCACGTGTTTAGAAATATTTTATATTTAAATTTGCATACTTTGGCGAGACGAACAAATTTTTTATTTCAGACAGTTTTTGGGATATTTTTGGAGATTTTTGGGTTTTTTAGTTTCGGTTTTTTAATCACTCGTATCCCAAAGACTCTCTTCATTTTATTAAATTTATTTTTAATTTTTGTTTAATTAGGCGTCGAAAAATATTTTAGAAAATATTAATTTTATTAAAGAGCTATTTTTGTAATTAAATATTTGTTTAATTTTTATAATTAATTAATTAATAATTATCTTCTTTTTTAAAATAACATATTTAAATACTTCCCTTCTAATTAAATAAATATATTTAATTTTCTCTCTCTCCTTTTTTCTTCTCTTTTTTTTAAAAATTAATTTCCTTTTTTAAAATCCATCTAATTTTAAATTAAATTTTTTATCTCTTTTTTAGCCAAAAAATTATTTAAAAATTAATTTAAAATCAATTTTATATTGACAACCAAATTCTTTTTTCTAAATCCTTTCTCTCTTTTTATTTAATCCTCTTTATTTCCTTTTCTGTTTTAATTTTTACTAATTCTTTAAAAAACTGATTATTAAACAATTACACAAAATTTATCCTCTCTACTTCCTTTATACTTTTTAAAAGCCAAAAGAAAAATCTGAAAGCCAAACTATAAAAATTTTCTTAAAATCTGCTGAAAATTTGTTTTTAGGCGCTCTTGTTTTTTTCTGATTGGGGTTGAGGGCCCAGTTCGGTTCGGTTCGAAAAATCGAACCGGGCCTAGAATTTTGGCCCGAAAACGAGGCCCGAAAAAATGTCTCGAACGTCGGCCCGGTTCGAAAAATCCAACCCTACTTCTAATCGAGAAAATGTTATTAAACATATTTTCATAAAAAAATATAAATTCGCTTCTTTTCTTAACCAAATTTTATTCAAAAATATATTCTTTATACCCCCAAAGCTCTTAAAATTAAAATAGTTTTTGAACTTTTTAAATGTTTCCTTTTTTTATTTTCAAAAATAAAAAAAATTTGGCTCAAAATAAATTGACCAATCCTTTTTAAACGTCATTTTGTAGTGGATGCCGTAATGTGACGCGCGTTTTTGATTTTTATTTTTGGCTTTTGAAACGAATAAAAAATATATTTTCTAAAAATAGTTCCTCCCTCCTTCTATTTTTTTAACTAAAAAAATTTAATTTTATATTAAAAGATTAAAAAATAAAAATGTATCAAAATATTTTTCTTAATAAAAATTATTTTTATTTAAAAAGAAAATTTAGAAGATTGTTAAAATTAACTTGTTTATCTTAACTAACTAAAATTTAATTTAAAAAATTTTTGATGGATATTTGTGTAATTTTTGTTTAAATTTTTTAAAAATCTCTCTATTTTCCGACCATAACTTTCTAGTTTAGACCAAGAATTTTAAAATTAATTTATTTAAGTTACCCAAAAATATCTACAAAATTTTATTTTCTTATACTATTTTGCCTGATCACTAACACTTTTTTAGCGCCGAAATGTTTTCTCTTCTTTTCCTCTCTCTCCCTTCCTTTCCCCAATCAAAACTAAAATCAGCATGCTTTCACAATCTTTTACAACATTTTATTATACTAAGAAATTCTCGTTTCTATTTTAGAATTAAATAAAAACACAGATTTTAATCTTTAGTAAAATGATTAAATGCTTTCAATTTTTTGAAAAGTTTTTTTGCTTATTTTAATTTATATATAAAACTTTTCTTGATTCTTTGCTCTTTCTCTCTTTTTTTGCCAAATTTATTATTGGGAGAAATACATATGTTTATTTTTTTATTTATTTAATTTTTAGTCAAATCGTTGGAGCCGCCCTTTTTCTATAAATCATCAATCTACAACATTTTCATCAGTGTCTCCAGCTTATTTGTTGGGAGTCATTGACAATTCTCAACAAGAAAATTGTCTAGATCAATTAGATAATATTAAACAACAAAAGGATTTTGAGAAGGAAGAAGAACAAACAGACAATCAATTAAATAAAGGTAAAGAGAAGAGACTTTTTGTCCCAAAATTTTTTAAATTAAAATTCATTACTTCCTCCTAATTCTTATTATTAAGTTGAGGGGAGGAGGAAGTTATTGTTAAGGGGGGGGGGATTTGTTTTTTAGGGAAATAAGAAATTTAGGTAGGACTGAGAAGGTGGAGATAATAAACTTAGATAATTAATATAAATTTTTAATTAAAATATAGCCTGAATATATAGCTTCAATTCTAAATTTACAAATAAAAATTTAAAAAAATTTTCTTTTATTTTACAAAAAGAATGGAAAAAAGTTTTAGAAACATTTTCCTTTCAAATAAGCATTAAAATTTTCTTTTATTTTATTAAACTAAGTTTGAGCATAAATACAAACAATTCCAATAACATTTACAAACATTTAATGCAACAAACATTAAATATAATATATTATCTAAAAATAAATCTTTTTCAAATAATTTAACATTTTGTTCCTTAAAATAATTATAAATGATAAAATTATTTTTAATTTTATTAAAAAAACATAGTGGAAAAATAACATAGCAGTGGTATGCCAAAACAGATTTTAAAAGCTAAAAGCGAAAAAGCGAAAGTTGATAAAAAACGGATTGCGAAAATGCGAAAGTCAAAAAAAGGCGAAAATCGGCGAAAGACGAAAGGCGAAACTGGCACATCCCTGATACATAGACTGATCGTTCTCCTTCTTTTCTTCCATTTTATCCCAATTTTCTTCCCGTTTCCACAACTAACAGTTCCCCTTACTTAATATTTTGACTCGCCTCAATCTCCTCTCTAACTTATTCTATTCATGAAATTTTTTTCTAATTTTTTATTCAAAATTCTGTCTTAAATTAACTAGATATTACGTCAATTATGGGGATAAAGTTTAAAGTTATCTGAAATTATTAAAAGAAAAAATTATTAATTTAACTTAGAAAAAAACAGAAAACACCTGGCCAATAAAATTGGGTGACATTTATTTATTTTCATGTTTCTTTCTTTTTATTTTTATTTACGTCATATTTTTTTGCCCTTTTTACGAACTTTTATTTTTACTTTTTTTTCTAAATTTGAGATAGAACAACAGGCCCCCTTCTTTTAAAAAAACAACCGCAAGATCTGATTTTTAACTTTTTTTCTCTTTTTACTTTAAGAGTTTATATACATAGATTGGCCAAATATCTTTAGATATGCATTCAAAAATTGCCCTATCATCTGGCAAAATTACTATCATTTTCTCACTCTGATCAAATAACTTTTGTAGGATGTGTAAGTTGATTCACCTAGAGCATTTAAAACGCTTAAGCGAGGGTTAAACGATCTAAAAAGATAAAAAAGAAGGCATTAGTTGATACCCCGGTAGCTCACTCACAAATCAGTGGTAGACTACTACGCGCCTAGCAAAAACTACGAGGAGGGTGCAAGTTCGAATCCTGCCCGGGGGCTAAACTCTTTCTGATGTCAATCCCCCTCAATTAACTAAAATTTGTTTTGAATAATTTATTCATAATATTTTTAAGACTTTTTAATACTGGGGTTTTAACGGAAAAAATTCCATTAAAATTTTTTCAAATTAAACTATCATTTCTTTGAATTCCTTCTTTTAATCTTTTAAAGCTGATCAAAAAACTATTAAAAAATGACAAATAAAAATTAATTTTTTATCCTTTAGTCGGTCAATTTAATCCTTTTTGAAACATCATTTTACAAGAAAAAATAAATAAAACTTTAATTTAAGAGAAAATAAATTTAGTTTAAAAGTTGCGCATCATTAAATAAACTAATGGATTTTTAAAACTTTAAAATTAAATAACATCATCCTTTTAAATATTTAAATAAATAAAAACATCAGAATTTATTTTCTCAGACATTTTTGACTTAAAAACCTACCTACTAATCTTTTATTTTTTAAACTAATATTATTAAAATAAATATTTTCATGAGGAATAAATTACCTATCCCCGCCCCTTTTCCTTTTATTTAAATATTTTGATATTCTCTTCTGGTTTACTTTAAATGTTAAAATTTTTTAAAGATTTAAAATCTTCCTCGTCTCCTTTCGTGGCCGCAAATTCGGCCACAATTTCAACAAGCAGACTGCATTCAACATCATCTACCATATTTTCAACACAATTTTCAACTGAAGAGAGTCTCAAAGAAAATCGACGTCCAAATAATAGAGAAGGTTTCAAATAAATAAATATTTTTATTTGAAAAAATTTTTGTGGGGAAAATATGGGAATGTGTGGGGGAATAATTATTTCTGGCCTAACCTAAATAGTCGAGATATAGTTATAATTACTAGGGCCTGGATTTTTAGGTTATAGCCTTTTTTGCAAATATTTTGGAATTTTTACAACCTATTTAGGTACCTATTTTTAAGTTTTTACAACCTAAAAATCCCCGCCCTAATATTACTATGTGATAGTTGTGCCAATTTTTATTTTTTTTTATTTTTTAGTTCCAAAATCTCCAACAGCCGCACTTTCAGAGCTTAGCTCACCTCGTAGTTCTTCTGTAAAAATTCGTTTATTAGACAGAACCCAACAACAACAAATAGGCCAACAAAAATCCCCAACCGCCGTCGTGCCAATGCCTGCTGGCGTTGGTAGCGGCGGCGGCACAAATTCGCCGCAACATCAGCAGGGTGTTGGTTTGGATATTGATTTGGAACAAGTTTTGCGTTCTGAAGCTGCACGTGCTCCTTTCCATGTAAAATTTTATTTTTAATTTAAATATTTAATTTGGAAAGGATTAACTTTTTTTGGATGAGATTTATTATTTGAAATTACTCAGAACCCGAGATAATTTAGTGAAACAACTTAGTTGTCCTCTCTAACCATTAACGTTTAAAGATCCTCAAAAATAACAAAAAAACATTTTTGAATTTTCGATGAAGTTTTCGAATTAAAAAATCTTTTTAATTTTTTCAGCAATTTTTACAACAACAATTTTGTGCCGAAAATATAAATTTTTATTTGGCCGTAGAAGAATATAGAAAAATTCCCGAAGAAGAATTAGACAGACGTTTAGATTTTGGACGTCAAATATATGACAGACATTTTGCTGCAAATTGTATAGAACCTGTTAATATTGATAATTCTACTTCAAATCAAGTAAATTAATTTAGAGAAATTAAAAAAATAAATACTCTTAAGATTCGTGAAGCTTATAAAAATAATCGTTTTACTGCAACTGTTTATGATGTTGTACAGGTAATTTTTATGGAAATTTTTAGAAATAGAATATTTTGAGTGAATTAAAAAAAAGATTCATAAAAATGTCTAAAAAATATTTTAGCAAACTTTTTCTAATTAAATTATTCTCGCATTTCTTTGCTATATTTAATAATTATGAAATAGGAGTAACCCTTATATTTCTTGCTCTCTCAGAGCCGATCTCTTAAATAATTTTTAATCTGACTTTAAAATTATTTAATTAATTTTTAAAATATCTATTTAAGTATCAAATCTTTCACTTGTTAAAATATGATTGTTGGCCTCGTTATTTACGTGCGGGTGGTCAATTGACTGAAGAATTTGGTGGAGATTCTAAATCACATGGTTAGGATTGTTTAATTTATTATACTTTTGAGGGTATATTCAAAATATTTTTTTGAGGCATTTAACGTTTCTAACTTGCTTTATTTATAAATTTTTTAAGTTAATATAGGTCAACAGTATTTAATTAAAAAATAATTTTCTTAATAATTTTTCAATTTCAGATTCCGGTGCTTCACAACATCAGGTAAAATAAAATTTAAAAATTTTTTCTTAGTCATGTATCTATATTTATTTTTGTGTTTTTTGTCCCTTTTGTTTTGTCATTTTTTGTCTTTTTAATTTTACAGCAACCAAAAACTCGAAGTAACAATTCTTCAACCACAAATCGTCGAAAGTCCCTTTTCCTTCGCCTTTTACGTCTTCAAAGATCAGGGGCAGTAGATATAGATGATGAAATTGAAGATGACAAAAATAATAAAATTTGTCATTGTTCCAATCCTTTTGTTCAAAAAATTAATGGAGAATTACAACAACAAAGGCGGCCTTTAATTCCTTTAAATTCTTGTGGAACAAATATTTTATTTTCTGTTGATGAAAATAAAATTGAAAGAAGAATATCTACTCGATTACCCAAAAAGCCTGTTAATTCAATAAATAATACGAAAAGAGCCCGAAAGAGTTATGGAGGGACATCTACAGTTTCTTTTTGGAGAGATGCTACAAAACAAAGAAATAATCGTTGCAGAGCTTGTGATGGAATTATTGTTAGATATTAAATATTTTTGAGGGGAATTAAGGGAATGTGAGAGGAACTTTGAGACTTGTTGGTGTTTTAATAGGGAATAATAAACCTTAAAAGATCAATTGGGATTTCTCTCATATTTACGGGGTTATTCTTTAATAAAATTTTTTCTAAAAATTGTTTGTGTTTGGTGGTTAGTATATTTTTGTATTTCTTTTGTAAATTAAAGAGCATTTTTCTTTTATTTTCAAAATAATTTTTTAATTTTCTAGTTTGGTGAATCTAAACCAGACTTTCCTCTTCGTTATTGTACTTTACTTTGTGCCGATAGTGCAACTTCTACAGAAATTACACTTTCTGATCCATTCCAATCTGTTAGACAATGGACTGTTACAATGGCTGAAGGTTGTGGATTAGACAAAAATGCTTGTGAAGTTGTTGATGCGCAGGTAGAGGATTAAATTAAACAATATTTTTCTTTGTTTGGTTTTGAGAATTTCGAAAAAAACTTTCAGTTTGGCTATTTCTAAATTTTTTTTCAAATCCCTAATTTCCTTTAATTCTTTTATTTTTTGATCTAAGGATATTTTAAAATATATAATTATTTTATTTTAGACTGGCTCAACAATTGATCCTGTACGGCAAGCGGTTGATGCCTTGAACAATCGAGTGGTATGTTGACTGTTCAAATTAAACATTCTTTTTTATTTTTTAGGTCCGAATAATGTCTGTAGTTAAATTCCCTGTCGTCTTTCTCGGACCCTCTGCTTGCCCTACTAGTGGCACATCATCAAAACCCTCAGCACCTTTACCGGCAAAGT